GAATTTTCCTTGCTAAGCTAGGCCGTTGTTAAATGAATCCTTCCCAATTTTGTGACCTTTCTCATCATGGCTGCCACAAAGAAGAGGGGGTCAACTTGTTTTCCAAAGCAACAAAAGACAAGACAAGAAACAATGGATGGAAAGTAATGCAGGAGAGAAACAACCTGGAATTAAGGAGAAACTTCCTCATGGAACAGCTTGCCACCAGAAGTTGTGGAGGTTTTTAAGAAGAGACTAGACAGCCACTTGTCTGGAATGGTATAAGGTCTCCTGCTAAGAGCAGGGGTTGGACTAGAAGACCTCCAAGGTCCCTTCCAGCTCTATTCTATTCTATTCTATTCTATTCTATTCTATTCTATTCTATTCTATTCCATTCTATTCCTGTATTCTCTTCTCTTCTCTTCTCATTGAAATCACTGCAGTTGTTAAGTGAATTACAAGGTCTATAAGTAAATCAGACTTCCTCCATTAGCTTGGGAAGGTTGCAAATTCTGGTCACATGACCTCAAGATGCTGCAATCATCATATGTGCATGATGGTTGCCAAGGACCCAAATTTTGATCGCATGACTGCAGGGTTGCTTCCACAATTTTAAGTGGTCATAAGTTATTTCTTTTTAGTGATGCTGTAGCTTTGAACGGTTGTCAAATTAATGGTTTTAAGTTTACATATACCCTAATATGCGGTGAACCGCCTATCTATACGAATAATTAGCCGTTCCTACTCCTAAAATCAGAGATAACATTTTTCAGAGATCCTGAAAAGAAAAGAAACTTCTCTAAATATATCTTCTTTGGCCACACTAAGGCATGAAAACGGATAGAAAGAATGGCCAGCTAGGAGAACTCACTCTAACCGTGGTGCCAATGTTATTAGAGACCTCAAATTTAATTCCTGTTTCTCTCCACTAAGAAGCAGTCAACCCTAAAACCTTGGAAGTGACAGTTTCCTGAATCCTCGATTAAAAATAGAGTAGTTTTTCTGTGGAAGAGCTCTTACTCACTCCAGCTGCTACAAGGAAGTAATGCAATCATTCTACTGCTTTTCTAAGTAGTTCAGTAACTCCAGTGCCAACTTTTTTTTTTTTTGGCATACTATGGGAAAACGTTGTGCAATGTAATTTGAAAAGGAGACATTGGGCGACAGACCAGGGGGAAAATACACACGCAGAGAGAAAAGGGCCGATTTCAACATAGTTAAGGACGCATGCTATCTACTTAAGAGCAGCCTACAGCCTCTGCATAGAACACCCTGATTGTATCTCAGCTACCATAGGTAAATATACTTTTGTCAACTGGATATGGAAAACCAATGAAATAAGATCCAGAGACACATGCATTGCAAGTTGGAAATTCCTACGGCTCCCATTGCTTAATTAGTCCAAGTACTTTTTTTGATGAATGGCATGCTTCACATTCTAACTTTTTTATTGATTAAACTTGGCAGCCTTAAGAGTGACTCATTGGAAAGATGTTGCAACACACACGTGGTGTGCCATTCAGCAGAAAATACGAAGAGCAAAATGTTCTCCAGTTAAGATTTCAAGTTGGCTGTGACGCTGTTGCTTCCGATGGACTATTTATTCTCTCAGAAGACTCCCTGGTTTCATAATAGCCTATTTTGCAGGCTGCTGATAGGCTGAGGATACACTAGGGTGTCTCAATCATTTTAAAAATGTGTGGCTTTCAAGCACTGGCTGGGGATTTCTGGGACTTGAAGTCCCCACTTCTTAAAGGAGTAGAGATTGAGAAACATTGTGTTACATCATTATGAATAGATTCCAGTAACTCACTGACTTTAATCCAGGCACTGTCAAATATATATATATATATATAAAATATCATTGCATAGGCTATCATGCTGTGCTTCTCAGCCTTTTATTCACCCGTGGCCCCCTTCCAATCTTGTTACCATCCACCCCTCCCCCCCAGGTCTCATTAATAAGGAAGAAGACTGCCACTGTCATCCTTGGCTTGTAAATAAAATGTTTTTATTGATAATAAAAAAAACCCAGAATAGGTAGTCCTTGACTTTTGTCCACAACTGGGGGCCAGAATTTCCGTTTCTAAGCAAGGTGATTGTTAAGTGAGTAGAACCTGGTTTTACTACCAATTTTGCAATGGATGTTAAGCAATGGAGGAAAACTAATCAAGGAGAGAAGCAACCTGGAACTAAGGAGAAGTTTTCTGACAGTTGGAACACTTAATCAGTGGAACAAACCTGCCTCCAGAAGCGGTGAATGCTCCAACGCTGGAGGTTTTTAAGAAGAGACTGGACAACTGTTTTTCTGAAATGGTACAGGGCTTCCTGCCTGAGCAGGGGGTTGGACTAGATGACCTCCAAGGTCCCTTCCAATTGTATTATTCTATATTCTATTCTATTCCTATTCTAGTCTATTCTTTCTTTTATTCTATTCTACTCTATCCTCTATTCTATTCTATATTCTGAATTCTATTCTATTCATTCCGAATTCTATTCTATTCTACTCTATTCTATCTTCTATTCTAGTCTTTATTCTGAATTCTAGTCTTTATTCTGAATTCTATTCTATTCATTCCGAATTCTATTCTATTCTACTCTTCCATCCTATTCTTTATTCTGAATTCTATTCTATTCATTCTGAATTCTATTCTATTCTACTCTATTCCATTCCATGTTCTATTCTGTTCTGTTCCGTTCCATTCTTATTATTCCACTGCAGTTGTTAAGTAAATCTCACTTCTCCCATTGACTTTACTTGCTGGAAGCTAACTGGACAGATTGCAAATGGCAAATGCCTGGCCCCGGGACACTGCCACCATCATAAATACATGCCAAGTACCTATGTTTAGCTCACGTGACCGTGGGGATGCTGCTATGATCATCAGTGCAAGGGCCAGTTGTAAACTACTTTTTCCAGCCCCATCGGAACTTTGAACAGTCACCAAATGAATGGTTTCACTGTTAAGTGAGGACTACCCGTATTTACAGGATAAGCCCTTCGCTTTGCCATGGCCCTCTCAGCCCTTGATTGCTTTTCAACTGGTTCCTTAGGTGAGGGTTGAGAACCCTTCCTGTGAAGGATGGAACTTGTGCAGGAATCAATTGCTGGCCTTTGAGGTGTGCTAAGACGCTTCCCTGCTTTTGCTCAGACAAGTTTGATAGGGCTTTGTCGTCCCGATTCCTATTAATGGCTCTCCCTTTGCAGCTCCCTTTAACTATCGCAGAATCACAACATTGGATGAAAGAGGGAAGGAACCCGTCTAACTGGAATTTCAAGATTAAAGAGCTTCCTTTCCAAATGGCCAGGACAACACAAGACAGAGAGACAGACCTTCTGAGTTAGAAGGGATCCTGGGGGGTCATCTAGTCCAACCCCCTGCTCAGCCAGGAAACCCTACACCATTTCAGGCAAATGGTTGTCCAGTCTCTTCTTGAAAACCTCCAGTGTTAAGAGCACCCACAACTTCTGGAGGCAGGTTGTTCCACTGGTTAATTGTTCTAACTGTCAGGAAATTTCTCCTTAGTTCTAGGTAGCTTCTCTCCTTGGCTAGTTTCCATCTGTTGCTTCTTGTCCTGCCTTCTGAGGCTTTGGAGGATGAAGGGAGCTTTGTGGTTCAACTCCCAGCACTCCGAGACTTGCAAAACTACATGAAGTATCAGTGCTGACATAACTCTCGAGATGTTGTGGGTTCAGTTCCAGACCACCACAATAAAGCAAGTATCACAATAAAGTCCCTCTTTGAGACGGGCGGTTCAAGAATGTGAAAAATAAATTAAAAAAATAAATAAGTCACACCAACTGTTTGGATTCCAGTGCCTATAAATTATATTTACACTCTGCTGCAGTCTAGTGTGCAATAGCCTTATGTCTTAAAAAAACAATCATACTTAATTAAAAATGAGTGAGCTAGTGAGCAAAGGCAGTTGGAAAAATGACGCAGACAGGCTAGTTCAAGGGTAGGCAACCTTGGCTCTTTTATGACTCGTGGACTTCAACTCCCAGAATTCCTGAGCCAGCCATGCTGAGGGGAAAGAGAGAGGTTTCCAAGCTGAGCCATGTTGGCTCAGGAATTCTGGGAGTTGAAGTCCACGAGTCATAAAAGAGCCGAGGTTGCCTACCCCTGGACTAGTTCAATGCAAGGTTCCTGCAGACCAATTTGGGGGGGGGGGGAGGTAGACATACCAGTATGCTTGCAATAATGGGGCAGGGGAAACAAGACAACCACGACAGCTGTAGATTGTACGGTACCCTGTACAACTTGCTGAGACTTTACTAGCCCCATTAGCGGTTTTTCTTCAAATTACACGAAATTCATTTGTAGCTGGGTTCCACAGAGCGGCGTTTCTCAACTTCAGTAACTCTTTAAGACCTGCAGATTTCAACTCCCAGAAAAATTAGACTTGCCAAAATTGCAAAAGGCTGCCGTGGACTGATGGGCTTGGAGTTAATCCTGACATTTAAGACAGGATGCTCGGAAGATCAAGAGAAGCTGGCTTGTGCAGAGCAGCGATTTCCTGCCCTTGGGAATATGGAAGAGTCCTTTATTCCAGACTAGAACTTTCTGCCTAATATTTCTTTCTGTTATTTTCCCCCAAACAATCCTGTGAGGTGGGATGGCTGAGAAAGAGAAATTGGCCCAAAGGTCACCCAGATGGTTTTCTAACTCAGTCTCCTGGTGAGTGGCCCAAAGTAACCCATTCGGCTTTCATGTGCGAGGCAGATCTAGAATTCACAATCTCCTGGTTTTTAGCCTGGTGCCTTAACCCTTAGCAAACTGGCTCTTTGCCAATAGTTGTGTGACTGCAGAGACATTGTGACTGCTGTAAAGTCACTTTCTTCAGCGCCTTTCTAACATTGAACAGTCACTAAATGCTCATAAATCGAGGATTACCTGCATTTACTCAGGATGAACTCAACATCTGGGAATTGTAGTTTAATAACAGCTATTATTGACCATGCAAAAAACAAAACAAAACAATCACGTTATCCAAGAGAAGGAAAAACAACAAAGTTTCAGTACTTTTTTTTTCTTCCCATTTTATTTCTCAAACTTATTTTAACAGGAGTGACTGAATTAAAAATAAAGTTTGAGTCCCATCGTCAAGGAATGACTTGAGAAAGTGGGTCAGGCGAGCAAAACCATGGCTTCTCTGTCAATGAAGAGACACCACTGCGGGGGGACGGGGGGGAACGATAAATAGTTTTGATGCAGTCCATGGAATATTATGTAGGGTTGTCTAAGGAATTGGGGGGGAGGGGGGTGTTTATGTGTACTTCTTGATTTCGTCATACAAGACTAGGACGAAAGCACCTCCCATTCCTCTGAGGACGTTGGACCACGCACCCTTAAAAAACGCTTTGCCGCCCTCGTCGCGCGCAATCTTCCGCCAGCAATCAATGGTCCCAGAGTACATGATGTCGGCTGGAAAAAAACAGAGACAAACAGAAAACCAAGTGGGCAACTCCATTCATCTGATGTTTGCAACAATACAGGTGCTGTTGCTTTGGTAGTGCTGGAGAAATCCTAATAAAACCTTTTTTTTTAGGGACATTCATCAGAGACGTTTCTACCCCGAAATGCAGTTTAAAATGGAGCAGGGAAAAAACAGCAGAACGGGTAAGAGAGATAAAGGAAGAGTTAGCTTCAGACTCAAGGTCAGGCTTTTTTCAAACTCCACTGTTTTAAGATGCATAGACATCAACTCCCAGAAGTTCCTGTTGGCAGGGGGATTCTGGGAGTTGAAGTCCATGGTTCTCAAAGCTGCTGAGGCCGAGAATCTATAGACTAAATGACGGTTTGAGATGAATGGGAAACTGGAATGCAGTCTCGCACCTACTTTAAGCATCACCAGCGCACGTTCTGGAAGTTAATCTAAAGAGGATAGCGAGAGGAAGAGGCTGTTTCTTATTGGCTAACACTGCAGCCCGTCGCAGTGGGCTCCTGCCAAGTACAACCAATCAGGAATAAGAATCCAATGTCATGGGCCATCTTTATAGAGAAAGGACGATTTATAAATCACGTCAAAGAGTGTTCTATTACTAATGACAAAGTACTGGGGTCTTTTTTTACCCTTTAATAACAAATTCAGGAAGATGCTTGAGCTGAAAATGATTTTTTTCCCTTTCTGACTAGCTCCTCCAGGTGGCTATTCAGCTCAATAAAAGTCATAATTGATACAGGAGAGAGAATCGTGATGTTCAAAAAAATGTCATTTTTCTCCTTAGTTACATTTTTTTCCCCTACTGGGTGGGCCTAAGAGAGAACAAAGCAAGCTTGTCAAGGATGAAACTTTGGCAAATACATGCCTCTACATTTCAATTTGCCTCTAGAGTAAGGGGGGAGGAGATGTTTCTTTCAAGTGGGATAAATGGAGGAACAAAACTTCTATGATTTCTCTGAAGACTGAGAGAGCCTGAAAACTTTTCAAGGACACCATAATAGGTGTGGATTTGAAGCAGATGGTTCCCATAATAAAGTGAACTTGTTCATATGGACTAGGGAAGACATTGGGGGTTTGGCTGGGAAAATGATTGCTTAAGTCTGTGAATTGGTGTTGGAACTTCAAAGTTGACGTTACCATGCAGTGTATTCAATAAACAGTAAGATTTTTGGAGATGGAATGAAGCTGGAGCTTTATTTGAATTCTCCAGCTAGATTTGACAAAGCTGTGAAAGAACAGTCACAACGGGACATTTGGAAGAAAAGCTAGATAGATTCTTCGGTGCTCTCTGGGCTTGGTGGTTTGCAGACATTTCAATGACCCGATCAGATAGTGTCCTCAATTTTACCAGCTAGCTGGGTCATGAAAATTCCAAGCAAGCAAACCACAAAGCTCAGAGAGCAGCAACGATTCTAAATTGAACCCTGAGCTACAAAAGCTAGCTACCCACCTCCTTTGCGTCCAGACTGCATCATCATACGCCGCCGGACAGTGTCGAAGGGATATGAAGTCAGGCCTGCAACGGCCGTTACCGTCTGTGCGATCATCCAGCTAATTAAAATGTGAGTGTTCTTCGGATCGGGAAGCATTCCTGGGTAAAGAAGCAAAACAAAACAAAATTAAAAAAAAACACGTCTGCTTAATTACTGGCTCTTAGAGCAGTGTTTCCTAATCCTGACAACTTTAAGATAGGTGGACTTCAACTCCCAGAATTCTCCAGTCAGTGAGGCTGGCTGGGGAATTCTGGGAGTTGAAGTCCACCCGTCTTAAAGGTTGGGAAAAAAATGCCTTAGAGTAGGGGGTCTCCAACCTTTAAGACTTGTCTTAAAACTATGCTGGCTAGGGAATTCTGGGAGTTGAAGTCCACCGATCTAAACGGTGCCTGCATTGGAGAACCCTGCCTTAGTGCTTCAACTGGGAGGTAGGGCAAAGGACTATAAACCCAACTCCCCACTCCCTTTACCTTTTGCGGTGTCATAAATGCCAAAATACGCTGCTCTGTAAATGATGATTCCCTGGACAGAGACGTTGAAGCCTTGGTAGAGCCCACGAAGACCGTCGGACCTGAAGACCTTCGCCCAGCAGTTGGCGAGACCAGTGAACTCTCGTTCAGCCCCGGCTTTGCCCACATCTGCAGCCAGACGTGTTCGGGCAAAATCAAGAGGGTAGACAAAGCAGAGCGATGTGGCTCCGGCAGCGCCCCCCGATGCCAGGTTGCCTGCAAAGTAACGCCAGAACTGGGTTCTTTTGTCAACGCCGCCCAGGAAGATCTGCTTGTACTTGTCTTTGAAGGCAAAGTTGAGGGCTTGTGTGGGGAAGTAGCGGATCACGTTGGCGAGGTTGCCCCGCCAGAAGGAGAGGACCCCTTGTTCCTTGGGGATTCGGACCACACAATCGATGATGCCCTTGTACTGTTGGGCGGCCGTGATCTGCATGCTGGCATGTTGGACCTGCCAAGAGGGAAAGAGGTGAAGGTGAAAAACAGCAGCACTGGCTACATTCAGACTTTCTTCCTTTCCTTTCCCTTCCCTCCTTCTTTCCTTTCTTTCTTTTTCCTTCCTTTCTTTCCTTCCTTCTTTCCTCCTTCCTTCCCTCCCTCCCTCCCATACTCAATGTCTATACCAGTGGTCTTCAAACTTGGCTTTGATGACTTGTGGACTTCAACTCCCAGAATTCCCCAGCCAGGCGTGCCTGGCTGAGGAATTCTGGGAGTTGAAGTCCACAAGTCATCAAACGGCCAAGTTTGAAGACCTCTGGTCTATACTCTCCCATCTCAGCCAAGTGACTCTTGAGTGGCTTACAATTCCAAAACACTGAAAACTCTTTAAAAAATATTAAAACAATAAAAACACCCACCCAATAAATCAGTATAAACAGCAGCCATGATGATACTAATACTAAAGCCAAGCAACAGAGCCCTTAACACATTCTGAGCCCCAGGCCCAAGTAAACAGTCAAACTGTTAAAACCAGAGGCCATCCCTGGGTGCGAAAAATTTAAAAAAAAAATGGGCCAAGAGTGACTGACTGGTCACCCAGCCATTTTTTTCATGTCCAAGACTAGAACTCCCAGTCTCCTGGTGATTGGCCCAAAATTACTCAGCTGGCTTTCAGGCCTAAGGCAGGACTAGAACTCACCACCCTCTCCTGATTTCTAGCCAGGTGCCATAACCACTACACCAAACTGGTTCTGTTCAATTGCAAATGTTCACAACGATTCAAAACAGAAAGTGAAAGTTTAGCTTTGGGAGTGCACAATTCAGTGCCCTTTGTGGCTTTTAGACCAGTGGTTCTCAACCTTTTTAATGCCGCGACCCCCAACCGGTCGTAAGTCGAGGACTACTCAACCGGTCGTAAGTCGAGGACTACTCAACTGGTGCAGCACCGTTTGCAGAATGGGACTTTTGGCAGGCTCAGCAGGGCAGAGACCGCCTGGACAATTCCTATTGGCTTTTGAAAGCCAATAGAATTAGACTCTATTCAAGAGAGTCTATTCTACTGGCTTTCAAAAGCCAATAGAATAAAAGGGAGTAGCACAGCTAAGGAAAAGGGGGAAAAAATGGCGGACTGCGTTGTTTGGCGACCCCCGTGAAATGGTCTTTCGACCCCAAATGGGGTCCCGACCCACAGGTTGAGAACCACTGTTTTAGACCAACCCTGGCTAACCATTTCAGTAGGCCAAGGACACAAGTACGGATCCCAAATCATTGGAAAGAAGGCAATTATTGGAACTGCGGAAGGGCCTGGCAGTCAGGTTTGAAACATCAAATCCTGACAAGTCCTGTACGGTAAAATCACACACGCTGTGTCTTGTCGAATAGTGTGCCGGAAGTAACGTTTTTATTCCTCCACCCTGAGACGGAAGGAAGAAACTGCAGTTGAAGCTCTCTTTTAAAAAAAAACAAAAAAACTTAAGTCTGAGTAACTGAGGGTTTTGTCCTAGGGGCCTAGGAAGCAAGTAGCACTGGGGTCCCTGTTTTAAATCTCAGGCTTTTGAGTTTTGAAAACTTGGAAATTTAGAGTGGGATCTGGAAAGCAGAGCACTTGGGCTAAAATAGGTCGGAATTCCTAAAGGTAGACGTAGACGGGAGATTACAAGGCCAGCCAGAGGCCAAAGGCTGAGTTCAATGGATTTGCCTCTGGATAAACTAGGTAGACAATGGGTTCTAATCCACCTGGGTGATAAGAGCTTCTTTGCAAGGTGACCTCTTTCTTTCCGGGGAGATTGTGGCTTGGCGCCATCCTGGGATCAAGGTGTCCTTAGCTGCCTGCTAGCTAAGGAACCAGGTCACAACCCGGTCCCCAAACACAGCTGCATCTTCTCTCTTTCTCTCCAATTCACCGCTCCCTAAAAAAATCCGGCAACTGCTTCTTTCCTTTTCAATGTGAATTTAAGACTTCCTGTTGCCACCCGGCAAGAAGCGAGGATGCCATTTAAATCTACAGTGACCTTGCTAGGCCTCTTCCGGTGCATGGGCAGCCCAGAGAGAGAGAAAAGGAAGGATAGCTCAAATGGCTTCCGAAAAAAAAAAAGCAGCTCGGTTGAAGCGCGGGGACCCCCAAAAGAGCGGGTGGAGCAACACAGGGGTTGCTCCATCCTCAGATTTTGGCGCAGCTGCCCTTCCCTCCTTCAAGGTCACAGGATGGCCGGTTGGGGCCCTGCAGATGGAGGAACCGGTGGAGGGGCAAGACACCAGGGCAGGATTAATCCCTTTGCAAAGGCAGGAAAGCCGCTCAGAAGGCGCGGAGGAAAAGGCAAAGCAGCTGGCAGAGAGGGAGGGAGAGAGAGAGCAGGCGAGGAGCGCCTTGCTAAAGGCCTCTCGTCGCCCTGCGTTCCGCTGCAATGCAACCACCGCAACGCCGGCCCGGGGATCGGCATCGACGGAACCGGTTCTCTCCAGAGCTGGCAGTTTCCACTCCTCCGCCACCAGCCAGGGGTGGCGAGGCAGAAGCAGGGGAAAGAAAGAGGGGGGGGGTCTTCCTGTGGGTGGGTCGGTGGGCAGCCTTAAGAACCCGATCGGTTATGCAGAGATCCGTGGGCGAAGGCATCGCGATGGTGGGCGCCGTCCAGGGTCCTGGCCGCCCCCTCCCCTCGTTCCAGGCCGTGGGGGGGGGGCAGCAAAGGGGCAGTTCAGCCCCCCCTCCACCTCCTTGGGGCGACCTTGGGGAAGGGATGGCGCAGCTTTTCCCCACCCGCGCACGAGGCCGTCTCTGCCCGCGCGGCAGGACCCCTCCCCGGATGCCCGGCCCCGTGGGAGCCCCCTCCCCACCGTCCCACCCCGCTTGGCTCCCGGCCCTTCCGATCCCCAGCCGTCCCGCCTTCCCCCCCCCCAGCCTCGACCCCCGTCTGATCCCCCCCCCCGCGGCCCTACCTGGAGCAGCAGCTTGACCCGCTCGATGGGGGCCACGGCGGTCTTGGAGATCGCGGCTGCCACGCCGCCCGCCAGGAAGTCTTTCAGGAAGGAGATGGCCGCGTCGGTCATGCTTGCGGCGGGTGGAGGGCGAGGCTGCGAGGCGGCAGACGGGGGGGGGGAAATCAACGAGGCGGCGCAGAGAGGCGAAGGGCGGCCGGCGGACTGGGAGCGAGCGCTTGAAATGGCCGGCTTTTATAGCGCGCTGCAGACTTGAACGTGGGAACGGGGGGGGGAACGAGACGCGGGCAGCCACGCACAACCGCTTCCCACCGCCCTGATTGGCTGCCGGGCGGAGGGTGGGACCGTGGGGAGGACTGCGGAGGGGGGGTGGGAAGTGGTGGTGGGGGGAACCCAGACCCCGGGCTCCCCCCTCCCCCGCAATCTGTTCCGTGGCGGGGGGGGAGGTCGGGGTGGAAGAGGAGAGCGGGGGCAGTGGGGGTCGCCTCCCGCCCGGGAGATCCCGGTTGCTAAGCCCGGATTAAACCCGGGCGAGAGACCGGCTTTAACCTTGGAGACGGGCCTCCGCGAAGGATGCCGGCTTTCCACCTGCGTGACGTCCGACGACCCGCGGGCAGGGCGTTCCCACGACAACCTCGGAAGAAACGCCGCGTGTCCTTAAATGTCCCCTCTCCGCCTGACCGCGGCGAGGGGGGGGGGCGGGGACGGGCACCCCCTGCCCGCCCCCGCCCGATCGTGATTGCCACCCCTGGTTCTTCTGCCCGGGCGGGGCTGGGACTATGCTGCCCCCCCAGGAGGGATCTGAACCCAATTGAAGAGGGGGGGGCTGATCTCAACACACAGAAGGCAATTCCCCCATCTTAAAAATAATAATAAAAAAATAAATCCAGGATCTGCTTTCCCCTTTTGCTAAAAGGTGGTTGGCTTAATCCGGGTTGGTGGAGGCGCCGCCATTGCCTGGCTTTGCGGGGGGGGGGGGGGCGCGGTTGCAATTTGCAGCCCCTGCCCCAGATACAGCCCTGAGCTTATGCTTTAAAAGGATGGGTGGGTGGGGGGAGGCAGGCTTTTAATCATGCCACGTCTGTTACCATCTCAAAGTTTCCTTTCTGGGGCTGTGGCTGGTTGTGCTTAATGATCCATAAACAAACCAGCTTGAGTTCAACACAGCATCCCATTTGTGTCGCAGTCCCTTGAGGTGGCCAGGTTGGAAGGCTTTCTAGGCCTTGGATGCAGCCTGGCCTGGAAGAGGTGAGGGACAGAGAGAAATTTTGCCCAACTTTTGGCCTTAATTAGGAAGGATAGCCCTCTGGCCGGTGCACTGGATCTTCTAAAGATCTTGAGATCTGGCAGGCATCCCTCTGGCCCCAACCCTGGCTGGGAGTTTTTAAATGGTAGAGTTTTTGTTTCCACCCACCCCACCCAAAAAACCCTTTATTTTCCTTAGGTTCCCAAAATCTGCACAAAAGCAAGCTAGCTGATGGCTTACATTTTCTTTTGACATTCACATAAGAAAAATATCCTGAGCCGTGGCTTTGTTATGAGAGCTGCTGGCAACTAGTATCTTACCTGAATCATGCAATCCATGCCCCATAATAATAACTGTTTTTAATTACAAATTTTTGCTTTTTAAAAAAAATTTTGTCGCTTTCATCAACATGATTAAGCCATATCACATCCGACTTAACTGGACACTGGAGAATCTTCTGAGAAATTTGTGCTCTTCGTGTTAGTTTTGGACTCCTAGCAATGGTGCTACCAGTGTTTAAACAAACAAACAAACAAACAAACAAATAAAAGGACCTACACAACTCCCTGAATGTTCCTCTAAGTGACTTGCCGGGGGTGAGAGTCCCTTTAAAAAATTGCTATTGGTGCCTCTTTCTAAATTATCTTTTCCCCTGCTTTTTCTCTTGGTCTCTGAAGGGACTCGATCTGTTCACTTTGAAAAACCTGGCCCGAGGCGACTGCATAATTTGCCTGCATATACTCCTTATATTTGCTTTGCGATTGTCATTTCCATAATGCATTTATTGCCGTCGTTTTAATCTCCATAAGCTATCCACCATCCGTTATAGTCGCTCCATCCCTGGGGGCTTTTAAGAAGAAACTGGACAGCCATCTGTCTAAAATGGCGTAAGGTCTCCTGCTTGAGCAGGGGGTTGGACTAGATGACCTCCAGGGTCCCTTCCAACTCTTGTTATTCTTACTTCACTAGGTTAAGGCAGCGGGACCATCGCCCGGTTTATTAATAGGCACAAACCACCTGACCACGAGACTTTTAAGCCGCAGTCATTTGTTCTCCTGTTTAATAAGTTCAGTATCCAGTCTACAGCAAGAAAACCCATTAAGAACCCATTATTGCTAGGAATTTTAGAGCAACTGTTGACAGCCTCATGACTTTCGGCTGGTATCTAAGATAACAAGGAAGAGAAAGAACTGTGCCGGCATATTAAATTTCAAGATTAGGAGAGAGGGAACTTTCCTGTACATTTGGTTACTGCTGTTCATTTGCAAGCTTTTGGGGGGATCTAAAAAAAAAAAAAAAGAAGAGAGAATTAAGAGTACACGTCCATGGAGATGCTCCAGGTCCTAGGTGCTTTTTTCAAGAGGCAAGTGGGCCTTGAGTTAAAGGTTAGTATGATTTTGATTATTGTATAACTAGTAAATTTTAGTAGATTATGTTTAATATGTTTGTATAACCCTGTACTTGGCTCTGGGACGTGGGGGGTGGGGGTGGGGAGGGGGGTGGGGGGAGGATGGGTTGGAGATCAAATAGCTCAGAAAAGTAGAAATAGTTTTATTGTATATAATATTGATGTTTCAATTTGGAGAGAGGAATCGCTCGGGCATTTTCCCCTGCACAGCATCCGAAGTGGGATGAGATAGTAGGAAAGGTAGAAGCAAGTAGGAAGGTTGAGGAGAAGGAGGAGAGTAAGGAATAAGAGGGAGGAAGAGGGAAGTGAGAGAAGAGGTCGGAGGGCGGATGCGGTTTGGGGGGAAATGGGTGAGCAATTCCGAAAGTTGTGTGTATAAATTTATTTTATTCTTTATCTGAAGTATTTTTTATGATGTAATGGAAAAATGGAAAATAAAAAAATTTTGCAATAAAAAAGAGGCAAGTGGGCCTTCTTGTTTTTCTTTGAAGACGTTTCGCTTCTCATCCAAGAAGCTTCTTCAGCTCTGAACTTGAAGCTCAGAGCTTGGACTTTGAAGAAGCTTCTTGGATGAGAAGTGAAACATCTTCAGAGAAAAACAAGGAAGTCCATTTGCCTCTTGAAAAAGCACCTTGGGGACATCTAAGACTATAGTTCACGGGGAGAATCCAAGCAGCACATACTACAGCCCTTCTTGGACTGTTCCATTTTGGAATAGGTAGATGGGGGGGGGGCGGTTTTGCTGTTTTTCAGGAATTAAACGTTCAACCACCCTATTAAAATTCATTCCCCGTGGAAAGTCAGCATGTCAGGGACATCTCTAATCGGTTGTCCATCAGCTAGCTTTCTATGGCCAGGGGGATTTTGATGTGGAGAAGGATCTCTTTTTAGCCTCCTCTTCCTCCTCACGTACACAATTCCACTTCTAAGAGGAGAGCTGTACTTCAAAAAGTCCCCATGGGATTCCCATCTTCAGGGTATGAGATTGTCTCGCATTGGCCCCTGGTTTTCCTTCCTGACGATCCTGTGACGAATGACGGTTTCACACATTGCTGACCTGAGATTCATTATTATGCTGTGACGGATCAGGCTGCACTGGAAAAGGAACGGAGTTTTTAAGAGTTCATAAGTTAGGAGACCAAAATGGCGATACCATTCCAATCAATAGTTCAATAGTTGGAATGTTTGTAACTCAGGGTTGAAGTGTGGGGTCCCTGGTGCTCTCTGAGTGTGGTTGTTTCTTGCAGATGTTTCAGGACCCAACTAGGTAGCATCATCATGCTGGAAGGGAGTGAAATTTGTTCTCAGGTTATATACATATATATATATATATATATATTTGAGAAAGCAAAACCCACTCTCCCTCCAGCACTGATGTTGTTACCTAGTTGGGCAATGAAACGTCTGCAAGAAAACAACCAAGCTTAGACAGCACCACAGTTCAATAGTTGGCAATAAATGAGAGTGGATGGATTTTATCAGCTTGGGAGGCTGTCCGGTTGCACAGACCATCTTAAATAAAGAAATTATGTCCCATTTCCTTGAGTTTGGGGCCTCTGGCAGAAATTCCTCGGAAGACAAGATAGCTGGCTTTGAATCTCAGTGCCTCTGTTTGCTGGGAAGCTGCATTCAAAAATGCATCCAGAGGCTTAGAAGTTTCTACGTCCAAGGAACTTTATGTCTTGCAATTCCTGAGGTTGTAAACTCTGGTCTACACCGGGAGTAAGGGCGTAGCGTAAAGGGGAATCGGTGTAACCATTCCGGTACAGGCAGACCCGCTTGCAGAATTCAAAAGTGCTGAACATGATCCCAAAGTAAGGGACGATCTGGGTAAATAAACACAAAAGCTAAAATTACTTTCAAAATTAAATCTTCATTGTTATTATAATTTTATCCCTAGGATGTCAGTCTGGGAAAACACTGAAGTCTTGGATAGTTAAGATCCTTCGATTAACATTTTATTTCATTCGTTGTTTTTGCAGCGTGCATACAAAGGTTTCTACTCGGACGTAACCGTGCAGGAATGGCAAACTTTAACTAGCCACAACACCTTTTTAACTGGTGGGGCTTGTATACTTGCTTACTTTTTTTTTTTAAAAAAGGAGATATTTTGTTTCTGCTGTGTCTCTCTAAAACTTTGTAAGAGAAAAGTATATCTATTGACACTGTTGCAAAAACGGTCTCTTTGCTTAAGCTGAAAAACAAGCTAGCATTTTATATATATATATATATATATATATATATATATATATATATATATATATATATATATATATATATATGTAGGTCTTTGGTGTTCGGGTTTTCTCCCGCGTAAAATTGGAAGTGTCTTGGCGACGTTTCGCGCTGCTCGAAGCACGAAGCTGAAAACACCAGCCTGAAGATGACGAATGGGACTTCGTCGAAACGTCGCCAAGACACTTCCAATTTTACGCGGGAGAAAACCCGAACAACCAAGGACCTACATACAAACACCCGCGAAAACCTCAGAAAACATATATATATATATATATATATATAAATAAAAAGAACTGAAAAGAAGATAAGACAGTACAGGTAATCCTTGACTTACGACCACAAATTTCTGTTGTTAAGTGAGCTTTGCCCCCGTACACGTGACCGTTGTAAATACGAGTCAGTTGCCAAGCCTCAAATTTTGATCATGTGATCGTTAGGATGCTGCAATGGCCGTATGTTTGAAAAATGAGCGTAAGTCCTTTTTTTTTTCGGTGCTTTTGTAATTTTGGTCACTGTCCTAAATGCAGGCCGGTTGCTAAGCGGCCGAATTTTGATCACGTGACCACGGGGATGCTGCGACGGTCGTTAAGTGTGAAAAACGGTCATAAGTCACTTTTTTTCCGCTTTGAATGGCCACCAGGACTATCTGTCAATGAAGAACAATTAACCAGTGGAACCACCTGCCTCCAGAAGCTGTGAATGCTCCAACACTGGAAGTTTTTAAGAAGAGACTGGACAGCTGTTTGTCTGAAATGGTGTAGGGTTTCCTGCTTGAGCAGGGGATTGGACTAGATGACCTCCAAGGTTCCTTCCAACTGCTATTCTGTTATCCTTCCTTCCTTCCTTCCTTCCTTCCTTCCTTCCTTCCTTCCTTCCTTCCTTCCTTCCTCCCTCCCTCCCTCCCTCCCTCCTTCAGCACTGGAAGTTTTTAAGAAGAGATTGGGCAGCCGTTTGTCTGAAATGGTGTAGGGTTTCCTGCCTGAGCAAGGGGTTGGACTAGATGACCTCCTATGTCACTTCCAACTTTATTATTATTGTTGTGGTTGTTCTTATTATTAATGGAACAGCAAGATTACTTTCCAGTGGAACTGCGCAGGAAGGCTTACCCTGAGTAAATTGGCAGTTAGTCCATTCCAGAGAGCGAGGACTCCTTTTTTTTTCACCGTCTGTTTAAAGCAATCTATCACACCGGTAAAATGGACATCGACCCCCCCAGAAGAAGGGAGGCAGGGGCTTTGAGCCTGCTCGGGAAAAGAAGAGAGAGAAAGCTTTTAAAGCAGTTACATCGGCCATGGGGAATCCTTGAATTACGACCACGATTGAGCCCAAATTGTCTGTGGCTAAGTGGGACATTTGCTAAGTGAATTTTGCTCCAGTTTACCATGTTTTTGCCTCAGTTTGTTCAGTGAATCGCCGCAGTTGATAAGTCAGTAACATGGTTGTTAAGTGAGTCTTGTTTCCCCATTGACGTGGCTTGTCAGGTCGTAAAAGGGGACTTGGTGACCCGGGACACTGCAACCGTCCTAAGTACATGCCAGTTGCCTAGCGTCAGAATTTTAGTCATGTGATCATGGGGATGCTGCGACGGTCGTGAAGTGTGAGAAACAGTCATAAGTTGCTTTTTTTCAGTGCCACTGTAACTTTGAGCGGTCACTAAATGAACTGTTGTAAGTCAAGGACTACCTGTGATTTAAAATACGAGAGATCCATTTTTCTGCAACTCCTGATCGTTCACGTGCCAGGATCTTACGCCATCAAAATGTCACCGAAGGACAGACTGGCGTTGGAATTGCTCTCAGAAGGACAGATGGTGTCTGAATTTTCAAAAACTGCACTTTCGGTAGTCCTAATTTAACGACCACAACTGGGTCAGCAAGTCGGCCACTAAGTGGAACTGCAACTGGGCTTCCCCTCTTGCTTCAGCTATCCTTTGCTTTGCAGACCTCTGAAGGTCATAAATGTGAGGATGGTTTGCAAAGTTCCTTTTTCATCCCTATTGTGACTGCGAACAGCCACTGTACAAGGGAATCGCTAAACGAGGACAATCGGTGGCATATTTAATCTCAGAGATTTGGACTACATTTTTTCTCCATATGGACCAATATTTGTTGAATGATTTCTGGTTTTAGCAACTGTAAGCCTGGTTTAACCCAAGGATTGTTACTCTAACCAACATAGCCTCGATATTCAAAACTAGAGAAATAATTTTGAATCGCTTGTCTCTGGCCTGGTTCCCAAACAAATGTGTTTTGATGTTTTTGAGGCACCCGGTGGAATGTCAAAACTTGCAAGTTAAGCTGTGAAGGGCTGACCTCATTTCCTTTCCACATTTTTTCAACTTCAGAGAGCAGGCTGCATGAAGCTTTGAAGATATCAAGAATATCTTCTGAAGCTGAAGAGTCAAACCAGACGGTCAAGAAATAATGCAAAAAGAAAAATAATTGCTGCGTTGTTCCACTCCAGATATGAAGGATCATATATATATATAAAAACCTCTTGTGCTTAAAAACTCCTTGCAAGTAGAAGACTAGCATGACCCAACGTTCACTGATCTGCTACTTTTCTATTTGCAGGGCCTTAAAATAGGATATTTCAAATAGGAACATTACATTTATGTGCTGAAGGAGAATAGATCTAAACACCTTTTTCATCCCAACCTTTACTGTTGAGGACTACCTGTCTTAGTTCAGACTTTAAGGGTCCTTGCTGCTCTCTGAGCTATTTTGTTTTCCTGTAGACGTTTCATGACTAAACTAGGTAACATCATCAGGACTAGTAATAGCAATGATGATGTTGCCTAGTTTGGGTCATGAAATGTCTGGAAGGAAACGAGCTAGCTCAGAAGGTACCAAGGACTCCCACAGTCCTCCTCTCCACACTCCCCACTTCCTTCTAGCACTGATGATGTTACCTAGTTGGATCATGAAACATCTGCAAAAAAGCAAACAAGCTCAGGGAGCACCAAAGACCCCTTATGTCAACCCTGAGCTACAAATATTCCCCAGGTTCTCTGCCATGATTGTGCACATATGATTCATATATCATACTAGCACAATGCTTATCCCATTCGGAGCCTGGGTATAGTAGGTTGACAGGCCAACAGAACCAAGACCTACAGAAAGAACATTTTAAGCATGCCCGTGTGGAGGACTTAAGTAAAAGCTGTTTCCTCTGTCTGTCTCTGACCTTAGGTGCCGTAAATCAATCGGCAAAGACAGCTTCCAGAGGTGATAAGCCTAAATGATCCCCTTTGCTCATGCAGGATCAACTCTGATTTGCAGGCTTGGCAAAGATTCACGTTTCGCTTACAGAAAGATGATCTGCTGGGCAGAGCTTCAGCTGATGCTGCCAGCCGAGTGGGCGACATGCCTGCTTATAGGAGATGCAGTCTGCCTTTTCAGCTGTTACAAGTCAGTCCTCAGCTTCCCCCCGTTTGCTTAGTGACTGTTCAAAGGGACAACGGCATTGAAAAAAGGGACCTATGGCCGTTTTTCACACTTACGGCCTTTGTCATATCCCCACAATCCTGTGATCAAAAGTCAGATACATAATAATAATAATAATAATAATAATAATAATAATAATAATAATAATAATAAAGTTGGAAGGGACCTTGGGGGTCATCTAGTCCAACCCCCTGCTCAGGCAGGAAACCCTACACCATTTCAGACAAATGGCTGCCCAGTCTCTTCTTAAAAACTTCCAGTGTTGCAGCATTCACCGCTTCTGGAGGCAGGTTGTTCCACTGGTTAATTGTTCTAACTGTCAGGAAGTTTCTCCTTAGTTCTAGGTTGCTTCTTTCCTTGATTAGTTTCCATCTGTTGCTTCTTGTCCTGTCTTCTGGTGCTTTGGAGAATAGCTTGACTCCCTCTTCTTTGGGGCAGCCCCTGAGATATTGGAACGCTACTATCATGTCCGCCCTCGTCCTTCTCTTCATTGCAACTGGTTCATACTTATGACCATGGCTGTGTCCCAAGGTCACACAGTCACCTTTTGCGACCTTCCAACAAGCAAAATCAATGGGGGAAAGCAGATTCACCTAACAACTGGGTTACTAACTTATCACCGAACAACTATGGCAAGAATGGTCATAAAATGGGGCAAAACTCACTTAACAAATGCCTCACTTAACAACAGAAATTTTGGGCTCAGTTGTGGTCGTAAATCTAGGACTATGTGTATTAGATTAGATTAGATTAGATTAGATTACCTTTATTGTCATTTTTTCCTCTGGCACAACGGCACACATTAAAAATAAAATTTAGTTGCTTGCTCTCAAAGTGTACATATACATAACACACATTTAAAACATACTATATGTAACATATGTATACTATAGACCTGCACCCTTATATATAAGTAACGTATAAATATTAATTGCTGTCCATCTTCGCTTGGCGACAGTTTGAAGATATAACCTACTTGACAAAAGGGAGTTATAACTGGATTCTGAAATTCGGATGGTTGGGCTCCCTTGCAGTTACACAATCACAGTTGTCCTTTGTGGTCCTGTGAATGCATTTTTATAATGGTTTTCTGAAAACCGGAAGCTCCTGGGTTTGCTTAATGACCGTCACAAAAAGGTCATAAAAGCAGGTCCCTCGTGTGACCCCATGATTTTATGATCACCATGGCACACGACTGACCGTAATGGACAGGCTCCATTAAGATTACATATTGAGGACTAGCTGCCCTTGAGCTCTCAAGAGACAGAGTAGGCTTGAAATGCAATAAATGTAAATAAAACGGGAGCCAATTTTGTATCTCTTATTTCTCTTAACGTGCCAATCAGCAACGAAGGGAAGAAACAAACCAGGAATAAAATTGGGATGAATACCACCGACGACCCAGTAAATGGACTGTTTCCTAAACAATTTATTTTCAAGACCAAACAGGCGGTCCTTGACTTAGGACTATAATTGGCTGAGTGACCATTTGAAGTTGCAACGGCACTGAAAAAGTGATTTATGACAGGTTCTCGCCTTCACTGCAATGTTCCCACAGTCACGTGATTGTAATTTTGGGCACTTGTCAACCTGCGTGTATTCTTGACAACTGGGGCCATGTGATCATCCTTTGTGACTTTCTCAAGTCACCTTTGACAATCAAGAGTCAATGGGGGAAAGCAGATTTGCAGCCCCAAAGATAATAAAATTGGGTGCAGCAGTCATGTGATGGCTCACTTTAAAACTGCCTGGCTTAGCGATGGAAGTTTTGCTGCCAATTACGGTCGTAAATCAAGGACTATCTGAATTTAATAGAGTCCTTTAAGGAAATTCTGCAATAGAAAGGAAATTCCAGCCAAGTGAATATTTAAGTAGCAGCAGGGTGCCCCCTAGTGGTTCAAAAGAGGCAAACGTTTCTTCCCCCACAGCCCTAGACTGAATCTGAAAAGAGGGGGCAGGCAATGAGGTTGGGGGCTGTGATTCTTTCATTCCTACCCCCCATTTCTGTAATGGAATAAATAAAAGAGACAAGAAAGAACTTTCTAATATTTTGCAGAGTTTTTTGCTGGGAGGATAATACGGGTGATAAACCTATCAGTACGCTAATTTCCTTCTTTTAGTAAAGGGAAAACTTGTGCTATTAAAAGTGGACTTGTTGTAATAAAAAAAAATGTCAATTCCATTTGCAGATGCTGTCGTGTTTTTAACACTTGGCAAATGACAACTGTACTCCTTTTGGGGTGTGGGGGAAAATGCATGCGCAGCAAACTGCCCTAATGAAGCAGCCAGAAGGTCATCCACTTTTGACTTAATGCCTCACCTACTTAAACAGATAATATGCTTGAGTTCCTTCTCCTATCTTTTCCTGCCTTTGTTAGTTCCTTCTCCTGTTTGCTCTTTACCTGGTCTTTGACCATGTACCGTGTTACTAGAAAATAGTTGCTTACATCAGTGGTTCTCAACCTTTTTAATGCCGCGACCCCCAACCGGTCATAAGTCGAGGACTAAACTGGTCGTAAGTCGAGGACTACCCAACCGGTCGTAAGTCGAGGACTTTCCCTGCCCGGGAGCGGCGTGCATGCGTGGTGCCGCCCCCTGCGCCGGCCGAGGCGTAGCTGGCAGCGGCAGAGACGGAGCAGGCCGACCACCGGCTGGGCCACCAGCTGGCCCAGCCCAAGGGAGGTAAGGCACCTGGCGGAAAAGGGAAAAAGAATGGCGGACAGCCTTGCTTGGTGACTCCCATGAAATGCTTGATCGATCCCAAATGGGGTCGCGACCCATAGGTTGAGAACCGCTGGCTTACATGAAGACATTTTCCAATGAAGAAACCTTTGTCAGCATCTAATGGTTAAGCCTATGTATGTAACAAATATATAAGAAGCAATAAACTCAAGAGTTTGTCAAGCTATGTCCTGCAGCTTCAAACCTCTGCTCAAGACATGCCTGCGTCTTTTTCTTAGCGTCTTACATTGGGGCAGTCCCCTTTTCAGCCCAGCCCACCTCACTGGGTCGTAAAAAGGGGAAAACAGAACGTCTACCTGTATTTAGACAACTCTGTAAGACCGCGATGTACATCGCATTAGCTCCCAAAGAGAGGCAACACTCTCGCCATTCCCAACCAGATGTTAAGCTGCACACCTTGACAGGTGTGAAAAGGTCCCTGGAGTAGAATTTACCTGCATTTTCCTCTTGACTGTTTCGAAGGGGAAAGAGGAGGTTTGAGCCACTGCAGCAGCCAGGCAGCCGTTGAAGAAGTTTTGCATTGGTGTGAAAGAAAGGCTGGGTTGACCCCAGAGTTCATCCAGGTGAGTGTACACAAGGAAGGAAGCAATGGAAAAAGGGATTGCACCTGTTAGGGAAGACAGACAAGGTAGATTTGGTAGTGAATATCCAGAGGCAAGGACATAGGTATCAATATTGATCTACTAGGACAATATCTGTGAAGGCCTAGCTCTCTGGAGAAGACTCTGAGGGTGGGAAAGGGGGACGAGAAGAGGTCAACCAGCAGCAAGATGGATGGACTCAGCCACAGCAGGGATGGGGCAGATCTGAAAGGCCAGGTGAGGGACAGATCGTCCTGGAGAAAATCTTCGTGATCACTAAGATCACCAACTTGAAGGCACATAATCAAGCCGTCACAATATTTGGCGAGCCTGGCCCATCCCAGTTAATACTGGAGTGCAATGTCCCATGTCACTTATAATTGGACTGATAAAATTTGAATTACCACAATTAGAAAGCTGCGTACTTCTGGCAAAACTTATTTGTGGAACTATTTGGAAATCTATTCTCCGGTAAAAAAGCATTTACTGTAAGCTTGATAAGGTTGATGGGGAACAGAGCAAATGAGATGGAGGGCATTGAAGAAATTGGAATGAGGGGTGCTCTTTGGTGCTTTTTGAACTTGTTTGTTTGCTTGCAGACCTTTCATGACCCAACTAGGTAACAATATCAGTCTAGAGCAGTGGTTCTCAACCTTTCTAATGCTGCGACCCCATAATACAGTTCCCCATGTTGTGGCAACCCCCAACCACTTATACATCACCGGGTGCCAGGGGCGTGGCCAAAGAAAAGGGGAAAAAATGGCGGACAGCCTTGTTTGGCGGCCCCCGTGAAATGGTCGTTCGACCCCAAATGGGGTCCCGACCCACAGGTTGAGAACCACTGGTCTAGAGAGAGATCCCCAACCTTTTGGGCATTAGGGATCTGTAGAGAAAGCTTTTTCCACGGACCGGAAAGTGTGTGGTTTTGTGTGCTGCTTGCATCCCACGATGGGGCTTTGCTTGTTTGTGTGGACCGGTTGCTGGCATGCCGCGGTTCGGTACCGGTCCATGGACCAGGGATTGGGGACCTCTGGTCTAGAGGAGACAGGGGTTCTAGCGTTAATGAAGTTACCTACTTGGGCCATGAAACATCTGCAAGAGAACAACCAAACTCAGGGAGCCCCAAGGACCCCACAGTTCAGCCTTGAACTACGAATATTCTCCTTTATTGGTTACTGGACTGTCCTTGGAAGAGGCGATGGGTGCAAGGTTGGAAGTGCCAAGTTAGGGACAGATCATCCTGAAGGAACTCTATTTATGGCGTATGCACACACCTCTTACAGAATTCTGGGGGTTGAAGTCCAGACATCTTTAAAAAGTGCCAAGTTTGGACTTCCAGTTTTGGTATGCGGCGACGCTGGTTGTTTCTAGAGACTCGTCTCCACTCCAGCCGGGTTTTCTTTGCCGGTAGACCCCCTAGTGGGTCGAAAATCGCCCTGGGGGGGGACAACCGAGGAGGAGGCTTGCTGGTGACTGCGGGAGGGCGGCAGCTTCTCCCGTGGCTCCAGCTATCTCCTTAGGGCCGACGGAGCAAAGATCGTCCTGCAAGATGGCCGATTACCCTGCTGCACCAATCGAAAGTCACAATTACATCTAAGCGTAATAGACCCATCGCGGATGATCCGGGTGAGACCCCTTCTGCTCCACCCTATTCTGTTTTTTTATTTCCTGTAAAAGCTTTGTTGGAATTATTTCCCTGTCTTGAAAAAGCAGCTTTTGTATGCGTGGGAAGAAAGGCGCTGAACAAAAGGATAGAACAAAAAATTTTTAAAGACTACACTTTATTCTCATTTACTTTGGGGGTACAGAAAAAACTCTTTTCTGAGCTCTACTATTATTTTATACTGGAAGATTATTTCCTTTTCCACTTTTTCCTTTAAAAGACAGAATGGTGTCTGGAAAAGATTTTTTAATCTACTGAGGACATCTAGTAGCGAAAAGTTAACATTGCAACTGCTGATTATTGTTTGGAGATGAGAAGGACTTGACCTTTAAACTATTCTTGAAGAGAAAAGATAAGCTGATGCAGCTGTGGGAATTGTGGAGGTGGATATTTATTTGCTTAACTTTTATTAATTACAGCCTCCACTAAAAGAAAAAAGGGATTCTCTTCAATTACTATTAATATGGAGAAACCTTATTCACAATTTAAACTGTAAACTTATATTGGAAAAGATTTATGAGGCTACTGAAGAAATATGTGCTACAATGAAAGAGATTACTACAGAATTAAGAGCCAGAAACTCTACTGCAAACCTTCAAACTGACTTTCAGACTACATCTGATCATTCTACAAACCAAAACATACTAGAAGAGGAATCAACTGAGATTAAAGAGGAATTTATTTTACCTTACAAGCATCTCATCTATACCTTCGAGGATCAGAAAAATCAAAGATTGAGATTTGAACTTTTAAAGCAACGAGGCTTTAAGGATAAGAGAAATAGATGTCCAATGCAGAGGTCAGGATGCTTTTTACTGTCTCAAATGATATTACAAGCAACAAAGAGAGACCTATCGGCTGAAAGGGAAGCTTTGTTATGGAAACCTGCCTGGCACAAAAAGAAGGCCACAATAAGACTGAAAAGAGAAATTTAAAATTATATGTAATGGATCAAAGGCACTGTAGAACTATGGATTGATTTAAGGATTAAGATTTTGAGTTAGAACTAAGAGAAAAATGGGTGATTATTAGAATGTATATATTAAATAGATTAAGAATGTATTTTTTGGAATAGGTTTATTTGTATGAAAATTATTATGTAATGGATGAAGAAAATTGAAGGGGTGTTTTAGATTTGGATTGACTTAATAAGTAATTGAATGTTAATTTAATATGTTTTTGTTTGATAATATGGATGTTACTAGGTATGATAATTAACTGGATGAAATTTGAATCTTGTCCAATGGACTGAAATAATTTAAGGTTTGATATTATCTTGTTATCTTAAAGAGATTGATTGATGGATGGATTAGATATGTATAGGATAGACTAATATTTTATTTTAATTAGGAGATATTAGTGGAAGAAGAAATAAACAAGACTTATGATAAAATTAAGGAACTAGAATATACCTGGAAAGGATACCTGAATTGATAATGTGTTTATTTAAAGTTAAATTTGATTATGGTAATTGTAAATTCATAAAGCTCCAAAACAGGTTTAGGATTAATAGAAATTTAAATTAAAAATGGACTATCTTAAATATATTAAGCTATTTGAGGAAAATAGAGAGGGAATATTTGATGTATTGATTTGAGTTATTCGTATATGGTTTTATTTCTGGATGTTTGATTACCCCAGCACCAAGGTGTGTCTTGAGCACTTTGTTCTAAGAATTAAAAAACCAATGAAATTTGTTTCAAAAAAAAAAAAAGTGCCAAGTTTGAAAGATAATAGAATATCAATCAATTTGAGGAGAGAAAACTTAAATACCTAATACTGACAAAGAAACACCCCGATAAAGTGCAGAGGCTCCTTCCTGGTGGTAAATCATGTATAAAGCATGAAGAATGCCTTTGTAGGGAGGGTCCAGGCGATTCTGCACAATCAGCCGGGTCTTGATCACCTCCGTCGGATAGGTTGCAACGGCCGCCATCATTCCCGCCAGACTCCCAGCCACGATGGCGTTCCACTGGGAAATATGACCCAGATCATCCATCAGCAACATCACACATCTAAGGTGAGATCAACAGAGGAAAAAGTCATTTTTTTCCCAGATTTTTCCTTCAACAAGTGCTTCAGCTATGCAAGGACTCCAAGCTAGGCCCTTACTTGACCCCTCCTTCCAGCTAGCTGGTCGTTTCCCATCATCTTTCTTGAAGGCAACGGGGGAGATCTAGGTGGTGTAGATATTTGAAGCCAGGGATTTAGCCAGAAAACCCCGGATGGAAACTAATCAAGGAGAGAAGCAACCTGGAATTAAGGAGAAACTTCCTAACAACAAGGACAATTAACCGGTGGAACAGCTTGCCTCCAGAAGTTGTGGGTGTTTCATCACTGGAGGCTTTTAAGAAGAGACTGGACGGCCATTTGTCTGAAATGGTATAGGGTCTCCTGCTTGAGCAGGGGGCTGGACTAGAAGACCTCCAAGGTCCCTTCCAGCTCTATTCTGATTCAAATGATTCTGATTCTTCCCTTTTGCTCCACAAACGACATAAGACAGTGCAACCTCCTACGCCAGGTTCGGGCTCACCCTGCGGAGCGCGCCGGGCCGGGGAAGCTGCTTCGTTTTCACGACCCGGTCGGGCGCCGGACACAAACCCGGATCACCGCTTCCACTCCCCTCACCTAGCCCGTCCCTCCCTCTCCCTCACGGCTTACCGGCGGTAGGAGGCGAGCTGCACGGCGCTGTAAGGCAGGAGGCGCAAGCAGGCGGTCAGGTTGCCCTTCCAGAGCGCGCCCGGCCCCTCGGCCCGGCACAGCCGGCTCCCCGCCTGCCAGAGGCCGCCGCCCGGCCGCCCGGCCAGCGCCCCGATCTGGCCCAGCACGGTGAGCACCTCCAGCGGGGCCGTCAGGCTGTGACTCGCCGCCCCGGCCAGCCCGGCGCAGCCCAGCCGCTGCAACGCCGTCAGCCGCCCGTCGCGCTTCCAGGTGGCCATGGCGCACCATGCCCGCCGGCCCCGGGCCGCGGTGGAGGCGTCGCCGGGCTCCGCGATCCGGCGGGCAGGGAGGCCGGGGGCGGCGCCAGCCAGCAGCCTGCCAGCCGGGCGGGCGGGCCGGAGACAGGAAGGGGAAGGGCGCGCGAAGCGGGCCGCCTTCCCGGCCCCGGAGCGCAGGGCGCGCGGCGAGTGGAGCGCAGGGGAGGCTGCAGCGCAGGGACCCGACGAGGGCGCAGCAGGAGCGGATCGCGGCCGGGATGCCCGCCCGCCTGGGCAGCCGTTGGCCAGAGGAGGCGGCGGATCTCTAGGCCGGCCGCCTGCCTTTCGGCTCCCGGGGGACGTCGCCGGCTGCGGGTAAAGGGGAGAAGAGCCGGTAAAGGGGAAATCTTTGTAGCTCCGGGCTGAGTTGTGGGGTGCCTTGGTGCTCTCTGAGCTTGATGGTTCTGTTGCAGACGTTTCATGACCCATCTAGGTGACATCATCCGTGCTAAGAGAAAGCGGGGTATGTGGAGAGGAGGAGGTGGAGAAGGAGGATTGTGAAGACCTTGGGAACATCATCGATGCTAGAAGAAAGTGGGTGTGTGGAGAGGAGGAAAAGAAAGAGAAGAGGAGGAGGACTGTGGGCTCCTTTGTGCTCTCTGAGCTTGGTGGTTTTGTTGAAGACGTTTCATAACCCATCTAGGTGACATCATCAGTGCTAGGAGAAAGCGGGGTGTGTAGGGAGGAGGAGGAGGAGGAGAAGGATTGTGGGGTCTTGGTGCTCTCTGAGCTTGGTTGTTTTCTTGCAGATATTTCATTACCTAAACTAGGTAATATCATCAGTGGTAGTCAGGACTAGCTCCCCGTCATCACACTGGTTATGAGTAATGAAACGTCTGCAAGAAGGTGACCAAGTTCAAAAAGCACCAAAGAGCCCTCAATGGGGAGAGTTTGGGTGATGGAGATGCAGTGGGGCGATGTCAGCTTGTCCCCGGTTTGGGGCACTATTCGTCCTTCTCTTCTTGGCCTAGCACCGGAGTAGGCAACCTTGGCTCTTTTATGACTCGTGGACTTCAACTCCCAGAATTCCTGAGCCAGCCATGCTAGCTCAGGAATTCTGGGAGTTGAAGTCCACAAGTCATAAAAGAGCCAAGGTTGCCTACCCCTGGCCTAGCCTATCTGCCACGGTCCGTGCCAAGTTGGCCCAGCCTGGCAGGCAGCATGTTTACAGTGGCCAGGATGGGGTTGAGGTCCCGGAGTTACATTGTCTGGTTGGTGGGTTTGATGAATTAGGCTTCCCCCTTCTCGAATCCTGTTCTGGAGGATGCTGGATTGTCCTCCTGCCTGCCTCTCCTTCTTTAAAGCAATATAAAGCAAAGTCCACTGAGGTTTTGCTAAATATATCCCTTCTCCAGAATCTTTTCTATGGTTCTCTACATCCCGAGAAATCTCCCTGTTTGCAGAGAAAATGGGATTATTTTTAAAAAGCTTGCATGCAAAGAGAAAACTGTTTCCAAAAGGGATTGCTTAGGGTCCCGGGGATTTGGCCCCTAAGGAGCCCCTCTTCCCTGGGGGAAGGGGGGGTTAAGAAGTGAGGCTCCCTCCAGCCCCTTCCAGCTGAGCCCTGATTCAGATGTGTGGGATTCGGGCTCCCCCCCCCAGCCCTGAGCCCGTGGAGGGAGCCGAACCCCGACCTCTGCATATGGCAAGTGGCTTTTTGCAAGGGTTGGGGAGGGGTTGTTTGGGGGTGGAAATAAGGCTTGTTGGGGGGGGGATATCATTGCCATAGGGGTTGCCAAATCGCCCCACATCTGTGCAGGAAGGGCTGAAACTGGCCCTAGAGGAGTTGCGCGGGGGGGGTGTCATTGGTGTCCTGGAGGGTCTTCTTGCTCCCCCAGGTCAGTCCTGGGGCTGCCGTGGACCCCTCGCCATGGGTCAAAAGCGGGGCAGAGCTCCGGACGAGACCCGGGTTCGAGTCCAGCCGCCAGGACGAGGCGGGATGTGTGCCTTCCCACCAGCCATGGGAAGCCGGGGTTGGGGGGGGACCCGAGGCGAGGGGTCTCCCCTATAGCCCTGCGGGAGGAAGGGGACCCCCCGGGGCCCGTTAGCGGAGCGGCGGCCTCGGTTGCGGGACTCCCGGCCTCTCCTTGGCAGGGACCGGCGCCTCGCGGCTCTCCGGAAACCCCGGCGGGGCCCAGGCCGAGGTCCGTCCGATCGAGGGCGGCCAGGTGGGGGGGGGCAGGGCCGCCATTGCCGGGGGGGGCGAGGGGGGCGCGGCGGCTCCGCCCCGGGGAGGCCGGACCAGGAAGCGGCGGTGGCGGAGCGGCGAGGCAGGCCCGGTAGGCCGCGCGCGGAAGAGAGGCCGAGGGGGGCGGCGGCGCCTGGGCGGGAGATTTGGGGGTCCGGAGGGTCTCCTGGGTCTGGCCGCGCCCGGGCTCTGAGGGGAGGGACTCCAGCTCCCATCTGCCTTGCTCGTCCAGGACTCCAGCTCCCATCCGCCCTACTTGTCTGGGACTCCAGCTCCCATCTGCCTGGCTTGCCTGGGACTCCAGCTCCCATCCGGCCTGCTTGGCTGGGACTCCGGATCCTATCCGACCTGTTTGGCTGGGAATCTGGATCCCATCCGACCTGCTTGTCTGGGACTCCAGCTCCCATCTGCCTGGCTTGGCTGGGACTCCAGCTCCCATCAGTTCTGCTTGGCTGGGACTCTGGATCCCATCCGGCCTGCTTGGCTGGGACTCTGGCTCCCATCCACCTCACTTGTCTGGGACTCCAGCTCCCATCTGCCAAACTCCTGTAGATGTCAAATATCTGAAAGTACTGCAGTTCCCATCTCTTTGCCTCCTGCAGGCATGGGGTGAGTGCAGTACATTCGGGTGTATCTGGGACTCCAGGTCCCATCTGCCTGTCTCCTACAGGTCCTGTACAACTGTGAGTACTCCAGCTCCCATCTGCCTTGCTTGTGTGTGGGACTTCTCCTACCTGCCTGGCTCCTGGAGTGAATCGGAGACATCCAAGCATGCCTGGGACTCAACTCTGCCCAGTTCCTTCTTAGCTTCTGGGAGGACTCCATCTCCCATCTGCCTGCCTCCTGCAGGTGCTGGGGTGAGTCCAGGACCTTTGAGATTCTCTGTAACACCAGCTCTCATCTTCCAGAGTTGCGGTGGCGATTCCCATCCTTTCTTCCGCGGGCCCAGTGCTTCTAGAAGTGTCTGGAACTGCAACTCCCATTTACCCGAGCCTTGGGTCCCAAATGTCTGGATGGGATAGGAATAGAAGAGAGGAAATGGAGTTAATCCCTCGCATGAGGATGGATGTTGTAGTCCCACATATCTGCAGGGGAGGCCTGATAGAGGGAAATTGCCGGCTCTTTGCAAAAAACAGAATTGTGCCCTGTGGCAGAGGAAGATGGGCTATGGGGACATTTGTGGTATTGCTTTGGCATGCTGCTGTGTGACCCTAATAAAGATTGGTTTGATTTGGGGAGGTGGGAGCGTGAGACACGGCCCCTGTGCCACAGGTTGGGCTGCAAGGGTGGGGTTCATGCCGTATAGGTAGTCCTTGATTTACAATCATTCATTTACGACCATTCAAAGTTACAACAGCACTGAAAAGAAATGACAGGACCAATCCTCACAGGACCATCATAGTATCCCCACAGTCATGTGATCAGAATCCGGGGGTTTAATAATCAGCACGTAGTTACAAAGGTTGCAGCGTCCTTAGGTCATGGGGTCACCATTTGTGATCTTCCCATCTTCCTACTGGAAAAAGCAGGATTCACTTACCAACATCATGATTCATTTAACAACTGCAGTAATTCCCATAACAACCCTTGGCAAAAAGATTGTAGAATTGGGGACAATTCATATACCAACTGCTTTGCTTAGCAACGGAAATTCTGTTCCCTATTATGGTTATAAATCGAGGATTCCCTGTAGTCTGTTAAGAGTGAGTTGGGTATCCCAGGGCTTGGAGTGTGAGGACAAACAATTTAACCCTCTAAATTGTTCTCTTTTAATGAGTTTTCTGCATTTCTAGCCAGTCAAGAACAAAAAGTCAGCAATGACAATGTTAGGGGCCCCCATTTCACATGACCTGTGGAGGAAATGACCAGAAATTAAAGCATATAAAAAGAAGCTGAGGTTAGTTTTCCTTCCCAATTCCTTTACCCCCCCCCCACTTAATTTTTTATCTGGGTTCAGATGAACATCTGCTGGGTTAATTTGGGGTTCAGGCTGTTATGTGGAGCCAGATTACTTGATCAATCGACTGATCCATAAAGTAGCAACACAGCTTGGAAAGAGAACTCGGGCCCTAAAAAGGATAGGGCCTACTTTACTCATGTAATGCTGTCCTTAAAATTAAGAATAAAAATGCTATACACATTTAAAGAATGGAGACCTGGATGATTCTGAGGTCATTGGGTGAGTTTACTTTTGGGCTCGGCATGAAACAAATTTCACACAAACAAGGAACTGTGATCTGAAACAACTTTACCAAGTAAGGGAAAACAAGGCAGAGTAATTTTAGCCATTTTGCAGAAAACCTACCCCATCATTTGCCAGAAGGAAAAAAAAAGGAACAGTTGCATCAGAGTTGTTCTATAAGGGAGGGAGGTGGTTTCTAAATACGATATATAAATATATATATATATATATATATATATATATATATATATATAAATATATATATATATATATATATATATATAGAGAGAGAGAGAGAGAGAGAGAGAGAGAGAGAGAGAGAGAGATAATAAGGCAAGTGGGGTTTCAGCAAGACCATTATGAAACTGAATTCAGCTAGGAGTAGCAAAGGCCCCTTAAGTCGAAGGAAATTTTCCATTTGGTTTGCTTCTTAAAATTTCTATTAACGAAGAATACATAGTTTCAGAAATATATGAAGATATGAAGAATATAGTTTCAAAAGTCATAAGCCTGTTCACCCACTGGAACTAACCCACAGATAAAATCAGATCAAGTTAGATATTTTCAAATGTTCTACTAGAGACCCATTTTTCCAGAAGTTGGCTGTGTACGAGTTGCAGATATGTTTGGTTGTAATTTTCAAAATGGGGTGGTTTTACTTATTTAAGATATTTAAACACCACCCTTCACGTTGCGGGAAAATCTATATTACTGACTGTGTTTGTGGCTGTGTTTATTTCAAGAGGATGTTTATCAGAAAGAAAGATGGTGTGTTGTTCTCCATCAGCAGCACATTTTATGGATGTACATCTGTGATGGAGATGTTTTGTAAAGGATGGGCACAGGTGATGCTTTGCCTCTGGGTGTATTTGATTATTCAGCCTCCCTTGAGTTCTGCAATTTGGGTCTAAAATCTCAGAAGAGATCTTTGCAGAATTTGCTAGTAACCTTCCTCTGCACATTCACGCAGTGGAAAGAGTGTGTTGAGCACTGTTTTGTGAGGAGAACAAAGAAGCTTCTTAATAAATTTAACATTGGATAGGCAGTTCTAAGTATACAAACCAAAATAACTCCCATTTATCACGCAGAGGCTGAAGGCAAAATTAGAAGACTGGCAGAGAACAGAAACATGTGTTCCAAAGAGCCAAAAATTGTCAAGATCAAAAAAGTAACTGGAATTTCCACCACCTATTAATCGCTTCTCAAAGGATACTCAAGGTTTGTAATGGTTTAATTATTGTATGGGATTCGCAGAATAGATTGTGGTAGGCTGGTTAAATGAAAGATAGACTAACAGGCATTCTGAAAGCAGATATCTATTTAGTATTTGAACTGGTCAAAAGCTGAAAATATATTTGCGTGTTTCAGAATAGAAGACTATTGTGGAAAGATCACAAAAGCATTTATTTCTATGCTAATTGAGCTTATCCAGAAAAAGTGGGTTTTGTGCTATTTGAAAATTAGTTAAAATAGGTTTTTTTTTATATTAAGCATCTTTAATTAGTAGCAATCTATTTGTTAAAATTTTTGGTGTTTGATGTATGCAGTTCAGTTGATCCTTTGATCTAGTATGCAGTTTACAGAAACTTTTTTTCCATGTGCTCTTGTTGGAATTACTAAACTGCAGATATTTTTTTTAAAAAAAATCTTAATAACAATCCTAAACAATCCTAGTTTTTCCTTACTAAGAGTGAAATCATTTGAAGTGGGTGGAACTTTTAAGTAAACAGAATTCTGTCTAAAGATGTATGTCTTCTTTTATTCTACTACTTAGAGCCTTGTCAGATCAATTCCTTTTTTTCTTACTTGATATTTTTAACAATCTGTCTGTTCTTGAACAACAATTCAGATGAATCTTGTTTTTAATTTTCATGGACACCTTTTGCTGAAGGTTTAGATTTATAATTTTAAGTCCTTATCCAATTCAGTTAAAGATCGTATTAGTTATGCTTGTTCTAATAAAGTAAAAGCAATATGACTGCATTTAGTTTTAAATAAGTAGGTACTGTGATACTGCAATGAACAAGGATGCAAATTTAAATTGGATTAATGAGGTCACCCGAATAACAATTTATTAAAAACCAGTTAGGCTACCACAACAAACTCAGTGAAGTGCTTGGTGTTCTCTGAGCTTGGTTGTGTCTTACAGACATTTCATTACCAAACTAGGTAACGTCATCAATGGTAGACTAAGATACCAGCACTGATGATGTTACCTGTCTTGGTGATGAAACGTCTGCAAGAAAACAATCTTATTTAGAGAGCCCCAAGGACCTCCCCTTTCAATTCTCAGCTACAAATGTCCTCCTACATCAGAACAAACTCAGATATAAGACTGTTTCTACTTCCTTAAATAAAATAGGTTCGACCCAGGGGTAGGCAGCCTTGGCTCTTTTATGACTCGTGGACTTCAATTCCCAGAATTCCTGAGCCAGTCATGCTGAGGGGACAGGGAGAGGTTTCCAAGCTAAGCCATGCTGGCTCAGGAATTCTAGGAGTTGAAGTTCATAAGACATGAAGGGGGGCATAGTTCCCCCATTCTGGCTCAGGAATTCTGGAAGTTGAAGTCCACGAGTCATAAAAGAGCCAAGGTTGCCTACCCCTGGTCCAACCCAGTGGGAGATTGTTGGAAGGCCCAAAGTCACTTTTGCCAGAAGTGAGAGTGTCGTTTGGTGCACATAACTTGCCTTTGAATTGTTTTTCCGAAGGATATTTGGGCACCATGACAGTCACCCTGGTCTGCGACCCCTCAGAAGCAGTGGAGCTGTGTGCCTCTCAGCAGCTTTACCTGAAGCCCGTTGCGAAACTGACAATCAGCGTGGTGCTTCCGGAACACACTGGAGCTACCCGGGCCTTCTCCAAGTGGGAGGTGATGGACAAGCTGAAGAACATGATCTGCCCAGACCAGTTCACCAGCGTGAAGGTGTCGAAGAGCACCAAGGGCTTCATCCGATTCGAAGGAGAGGCGGAAAGCAAGCGATTGGTCACCAGCCTGAAGGAGAAGCTCCATGGCAAGCTGATCAAGCTGAACGGCTTCAAGGAAGACTTGCAGGTGGTCGCTACGGAAGCCCCTCCGGATGGCCCACCTTCTCAGGAATCAGAGCCCAACGTGAAGAGCCAGAAACCGGAGGAGGAGAAGGAGAAGGAGGAGGAGGAGCAGAGCCAGGTGCTCCTGGACTGCCTCCATCTGGAAGGCCTGCCGTGCAAGTGGTTTGCCCTGAAAGGCTCGGAGAGCGAGACCCCCAACGAGGACATCTTGAGGACAGTCTTTGGAACGTTCGGGAAGATCAAGAACGTGGACATCCCCATGCTGGATCCCTACCGGGAGGAAACAGTGGGAAGAAGCAGGAACAATTTAATTTTCCGGGGCCTGCGGTCCTTTGAAGCCTTTGTCCAATATCAAGAGTCCAAGTCGTTTGCCAGGGCCGTGGAGACACTCAAGGGCATGAAGCTGATGTTCAAGGGGGAAGACGGCAAGGCTCTGGCGTGTAACATCAAGGTAAGGCGTCCTGCGCTCGTGGGAACCCTCTCTTAAGCCAGGGTTGCAAAAAGAGACCCAAACCTCACGGGCCAGAAAGATGGATGGATGGATTGGTAGATCTGAGCACGCTGATCAGCTCCGTTTCCTATCTGTTGTGGGGCTCTTTTTCATAAAACTCCGCGCCCCGATAAATCAGTCTTTGCGAGGGCGTCACGTTCCTCTCATGCTTCTACATACAGGTAGTTCCTTTAGTGACCGTTCAAAGTTACGTCATTGGAAAAAAGTGACATATGACCATTTCCCCACACTTAACGACTGTTGTGGCATCCCCAAGGTCACGTGACCCAAATGTCGCCGTGTCTCCCGGGGGTCTTTTTGCTGGCCTTCTGACCAGCAAAGTCCATGCGGAACCCAGATTCTCTTAACAACCGTGTTACTAATTGAAACACTTGCTGTGATTCATTTAACAACTGTGGCAAGAAAGTTCGTAAAATGGGGGGGGAAACATTTCACAAATGACTCGCTTAGCGACAGAAATTTGGGGCTCTGTGTCGTAAGTCGAGGACTACCTGTCCTTTGGCTGCAATTTTCTTGGGAGGAGTCTCGGCAGCCGTCCAGAATGTGGTTCTGAAACCGATTCTGCTGATTCCTTGAATTTACAGGTAGTCCTCAAGTTACGACAGGTCGCTTAGGTGACCGAAGTCACAACCAACCTCCCCGGAGGTACCTACGGTTGGATTCGAAGTTCCGATGGTTGGGAGTTTCCCCTTCCCATGTTCATGTGACCACATTTCAAGTGTTCAGCCAACTGTGCTGCAGTTGTGTCGCAGTGTCTAGTTGTACAACTGCGTTTTGCAACTGTTTTGCCAAAAACGGGGATTTCCTTCCAATTTTCAGCAAAACTGCGCCCGTCGCAAAGCAGGGGCTTGCTTCACGCACTGCAGCGCGTCCACTTCACGACAGCTGCAGAAACGGTCATTGGGTTGGTGGGTGACCTAATTTAAGACCGTCCCGAGTTATGACTGTGAAGGGCAGGTACCAGGATGGTGATAACTCGAGGACTACGTGTGCTTTAAAAGGTCCAGTAACGCCCTACGTTTTCCATATTTCGTTCTGGAGTGTAACTTCTTTGCCTATGAACAACAAGCCATTTAAAAAAAAATAAAATAACTGGGATGGAAAGGCCGCGTATCAATCAAAGAAACAAGAGTGGTCCATTTGAATGAGCCATGCGCTTTGTCGTTGCTGTTTTGACACAGGTGACCTCTGACACCACTAGTCATTTCAGTGAGAACGCTATAAAGCAGAGAACGCTAGAGAGATTAACTCTGCAAGGTCTAGAACGAGAGAGAAAGAGAGAGGAGAACAGAGGGAGAAAAGGGACTGAAAGGTGAGGCACTTAACTCCTTCGCTTTAATTATTAACAGGAATAATTAACGCTGATCGTTCTTTATCAGGAGGGCAAAGACACGCGTGTGTGCGCGTTGCCGTGTGGGCTCCGACTGAAACGAGTAACAGGTTAAAAAAAAGGACTAAATCACATTTTTGCATCCATGCCTTTGAAACTGTGGACCAAGAACACTGAATTTTGGTTTTTTGGTGTGTGTGTGTGTGTGTGTGTGTGTGTGTGAGAGAGAGAGAGAGAGAGAGAGCTCTCCTGCTATTTTTAGACTGAGAATCCTTGGCTTACAACTATTTGTTTAGCGACTATTTGAAGTTGCAGTGACTCCGAAAAATGTGACTTAGGCCCAGTCCTCATGCTTAACCGCCATTGCTGCATCCCCTTGGCCACAGGATGGCAACTTGGGTGCTGGGCAACCAGCATGCATTTACGGTGACGGTTGCGGCATATCCCGGAGTCACGTGATCCCATGTGCTTAACGCCCGCCCACCTGATTCAGTGAACAACGGATCGTAAAGTTAGAAGTGACTCGCTTAACAAGCACCTTGCTTAGCGACAGAAATTCCGGGCCCCGTTATGATCATACGTTGAGGGCTACCGGTAATGTCTACGTTGTCCTACTTTCCCATCATTTATGTTGGGTTGGCTAGCAAAGAGACAGTTGATGAATTCAATAAAAACAGGTCCCTGATTCCTGGAAATCTTAACTGCCACGCCTACTTGTCTCCTGAGATTTCAGCAAATGTTTTCCACGCCATCCCACGTACAGTACATTATTTATCATGAGAGTTTGCACCTGAACATATGAAAGTTGAGTGAAGAGTGCCATCTCGTGCATGCTGCACTAATATTTCTTTTACTTTGAACTTCATATGACGTCTGGCAGATGTTGCAACCAAACATACCTTAGTCAGAACAAAAGTCAATTCTGCTAGTCAACTCCTCCATGGCCGTGTTGAGTACATAGACCAGTGGTTTATGCCCGAATAGTAGATTACAAAGTCTGTAATAATTGAGAGGTGGTTTGCAAATTGGTTGCAATCCAACATTATAGATATAATCACCAATGGCTTCACTTGTAGTTCGCTTTTTCAGTTGCTGCCATTATCTTAAGGCAGAAGTATATCTAGCCTGAAATAAAATTATTATTATTATTAAAAACTGCAGTTTCAAGATCCAGTGTTGACTGTTACATCTACTTGTAAGTTTATAGTACTGCTTGTTTTCTCAGTCTGCTTTGCCTCTCCCAGTGGGTTCTGTAGACATAAGTACACCTGAGCACTGTTAGTTTTTTTTTTTTTTTTAATTCTGCAGGGAGGGTTCCACCCACTCCATTGGGTTTGGAACAAAAGTTGTTATGTTACAGACCAAAATAGCTTTGTGACTCTCTCGACAAACGCAGGGCTTACGTTTATATCCCCATCCTTCAAACCGTTCAGCGATTGTATATAAAATGGAGGCCTTTTATTCCTAGTGGCTGAAGGAGGCCGTGGGATTGCTTAGCGTTCTAGCTTTGTACCAAATTACAACAGATTTAAATAGTGTCTCCCAAGCTTGGGGAAAAAAAAAGAATATTTATTCAATTTATTTGCCGCTTGTCTCACCTTGCGGCTACCCTAAGGAGCTTCTAAGGAAGAAAATGAAAGGAGTGTAAACAAAAGTAAAATAATAGAACAAATAGGAAAAAGGAACACAAGGAGAATATGCGGGAGATGGTTGGTTAAGAAGTGTGAAAATAAACAAAAATAAATAAATATATCAGTATGATGTATTTGCTTAACCACTGTGGCAAAACGTTGTAACATTGGCCGTGATTCAACAATCACCTTGTTTAGCTGTGGACATTCTGGTCCCAATTCTCTCCCAATCAAGGAGAGAAGCAACCTAGAACTAAGGAGAAATTTCCTGACAGTCAGAACAATTAACCAGTGGAACAACCTGCCTCCAGAAGTTGTGAATGCTCCAACTCTGGAAGTTTTTAAGAAGAGACTGGACAGCCATTTGTCCGAAATGGTATAGGGTTTCCTGCCTGAGCAGGGGGTTGGACTGGATGGCCTCCAAGGTCCCTTCCAACTCTATTACTCTGTTGTTCTGTAATTGTCGTCATAAGTCAAGGACTGACTGTGTTAGTCTGCTGTATCTCTTGATTGCAAGGGAGGCTCAGAACAGCAGTGGAAACCACAGACCTTCAAAATAACCTGATCTTTCTTCATGCCACAGATGTAGAAGGAACATCTGCAGCCATCACTTAAAAGAGACAACAGACCTGTGAAACTTACCCAGATGCAGCCAGCTATCTCTTTTGAACACACAGATTTCTTTTGGGGGGGAGAAATTGCTGCCACATTTGTGATGACAGATGACTTATCCTTCTGCAAGTTGATTAGACTTACTGTGAGCTTTGTTTCTGCCCCCACTGTTCCCCTAAAAATGTGATAAGCAACCTCAGAGCCTCTACTGTAGATGTTCTCAAGGGCATCCCTCAAATTCTTTGAACAGCCAGGGTTCATGGGAGCTGTAACACAAAGCAGAGGGAGTGCGTTATTCACAATCTCTGCTTTTAAAAGTTCAGCTGTTTACAAGGCCAGTGGCCCTTAAAATACTGGTTCTCTGGGGCGAGGCAGTCATCCTGGAGACAAGGAGTCAGATTAGAGATAGTTAAGATAACAGAAAAAGGAGCAGTGTGACCTGTGAGTGGGAGAGATAGGACTTATATGTATGCTGAATTTTTTTTTTTAAAAAAGGATCCCACACAGAATGTAAATTCAAATGCCCTTGGAAAAGATTAAAGCTTTAACTGGGAATGTCAGCAGGGCCTCGATGTGTAACTACTAATATCTGAGTATTTGTAGGAATGTCAGCTCTTTCTACAGAGCAGCTCTAATTTCCTCCAGCTTATTTTATGTCTCCTTGGAAATCCGCAAGGTGTTAGCCTCCCATTTCGAAGAGGCTTTTCATTTTGTACACCCTGTAGCAATTAGATTTCACAACAGGGCTCGTTTTACGCTCAACAACCTGAAACACGTGCACAAGATACGCATGTTCCTCTAAAAGGTTCCGTTATTGCTAACTGCCTAGAAAAAGACGAGATGACGACGAGAAAAAAGGCGGAGAAGGAAGGAGGAGGGCTAAGATCAAGAGACGGGGAAAAAGGCGGATGGACCGAGAGGAGAAACACCCCAGAAAGCATCTGAAAGTGACAGCTGCAGAAGAAGTGAACGCCGCAGACCTGCCTGAATGGGAGGAGAGAAAATATCTCCTAGCTCAGAGAAGGGTGGAATCAATCAGACTCCTCACAGTGCTGCTAAGCCAAATAAAAGTAAGAATATTGGGGAACGCATATTCCAAAAGGGTTATTTATCTTTCCAGTTCTTCTTTATTTTTAAGTAATTTAGCCATAAAACGTTGTTGGGTGTACATATATCAATGAAATGTGCTCCTGCTGTTTCTTAAATTGTGTTTAATTGTCTTATAATCTTAGAATTGCAAGCCGCCCAGGGTTGAGTTGGGTGGCTACAGAAATCGAATCAAACCCGCCGATTCAATCAAAAGAATGTGTTTCCTCCAACATGGTAATTTGGATTTTGCTAAAAGTATTGGAGAGAGAGAGAGAGAGAGAGAGAGAGACAGACATTGCATTTGTATCTTTCCCACTGGAAAGGGGGTGAAGGAATAAGCTGTATTAGGACATTATCTATATACTATTAAAGCTCTCGTGTCTGTAACCTTTAGCTGGGCGAAAGGGAGGCAAAACCGTGGAACTGAAACATGGCAGATTTCACAAAACATTTTATGACATTAACATTACCGTAATGCATTTTATGACCACAATGAGAATATCATAAAGCATTTCCTGTGGTCATCTCCTGATGTTTAATTGTGCTCTACAATTCCACAGGGCTTACTTTCAAGGCAGATACACCTCTAAGCATCCCCTGGCATTTTTTAAGACCTTACCAAGTACATTAGAAGCTCTGCCATTGTTGAAGGCATAAGGAGCTCTCTCTGAAACAATGATCCAACCAGTCTAGTTGTTGTCTAGTTCCAAATAAAACCACCACCACCCCCATTTCATTGGGTTGAGCACCATTAAAATTGACCCAATTCCTCATAGTGCCCAATGATGGTTGCAGTTGAGAAGATGTGGATGTTCCCCCTGTAACCAAGGTGGACAAAACCCAAATTACACGTGAGAGATCTTCATTGTTAAACTGCGCTGAATTGTCTCTGCTTTGTGGTGCAGTAATCCTGTTTGTCTTTCTGTTTCTGTTGAAGAATTTTGTCCTGTCCTCCGGGCAAATGGAGGCCTGTCTGCTGGAGCCTCAACCTGAAGGAGAGAAGACTTCCTCCACCCTTCCCGTAGAGGATGCGCACAAGGAGGAGACAGATGTGCCTTGCCTTGAGCGTCAAGAAGTGGAGGATGAGAGCCAGCCGGCCTGTCCCTCCGCCCTGCTCGAACATGTCGCGATCAAAAAAGAAAACGAAGAACAATTCCTGGCTGAAGACTTGCCTCCATCCCCTTCTCCCTTCGGGAGAGCTCTTTCCAACGGACCCGCTGCTAGGGCAGTCACCAGCCACTTAACGGAGAACAGCGCCAACCCCTTTCGTGCCACGGGCTTGCTGCAGGTGACAGTCACTCAGGACTGCCAAGCGAACGGGTCGCCCCCCTACAGGTGGGATTACCTGAGACCCAACCTGGGGCCCTTCGCAGATGCTCCTGAGGCAGCCAAGGCTAAAAAGCAAAAGGTTTACGAAACAGAGGAATTCATCCATTATTTACTGAACTACTACCAAACCCCCCGATACGCACGCATCTGTCCCAGCGCAAAAAGCCCGTCGGATGCATCTTGGTGGCACAGGGTGGTGTCCTGTTACGAAGACGGCTTCCGGGTCAAATTGCAGAGCAGAGATGAAGACTGTTGGACGGAAGAGAGCTTAGGGTCAGATCTCCCTGAATACGACCCTCAGGTGGCCGACAATGATGAAGAGGACCCCTGGGAAGTAACTGACGTAAGGTCTGAGCCTGCAGACCTCATCACGCCGGAAGACCAGGCGTGTCCTCAAGAGTTCAGCAAATGTTGCCAGGGAGAATGGGAGGATTCCCTGGAGGAGGAGGAAGAGGAGGAGGAGGAGAGCGATGGCTCCCCACCGGACAGGTTGCGTAGCCCCCTCCCAGGAAGCAACAATATTGCTCACAAAAACACGTCCCAAGAAGAGACTCCTGAACCGGCCGTGAGGTCGTCAGCCAGCATGTCTAAACTGAAAGACCTGCTGGAAGAGATCAGCAGCGATTCGGAATATTTTAGCGAGGCGCTTAACGAGCCCTGGAACCCATCGGAGCAAAGAAACGGCAGCTACCCAGTCAGCTGCAAGACGCGGCCTCTCCACCAGCACAAGGCCAAAGAACTCTTGATACGCATCCAGAACGTTGGCGGGGAGGACCAAGAGGGGAACCGTGGTGGACGCAGCTTCTGCGATTCCGGGCCGAGGGCGAAGACGAGCTTCAAGAGATCCAGCAGCAAACTCTGGTGCAAAGAGCCGAAGATCCAGTGGTCGTCTAGCGAAGAGGAGAGAGACCTCAGCAGCCAGAAGAAGAAGAAGAAGAAGAGGGAAAGGCTGTCCGATAGCTCCTTCCTGGATGAGGAAGCTCAGCTCCTCCAAACCAACCACTGCGGAGAGCTGGACGCCTTCCGCAAAATCCAGAGGAAATGTAGCAAGTTCATCCATCATAAAATGAAATGTAAGACTCTCCGGGCTTTGGAAGGAGGGGTGGAGATCAAAGACCTTGTCCACCTGAGCGCCTCTCAGCTACCCGAGGAAGCTCACCAGGTGACGGGTAAGGGGAACGTGGACGTGGGTGAGAGAAGGCACAAAGCAGAAGACCGGCAGAGACTTTCCAGGCGCCTGGTGGAAAGGTGATAAAAGAGGGGCAGCTCAGGGGTGGCGTAGAAACGGTGGGATGTGTAGATAGAGGAAGGTGGTGGCATCCAAAGAACTTGGTAGATAAAGCGGTCAACTTTGATAGCGCCTCTAGAAGGGGCTAGCAGCTCCCGCAACAAGAGTGTCCTCAACTCTTTTGAGTTCCTTGCCTTTCTCCCCTGCTTTGCAGGGTCCTCCCTTTTCAGAAAAAGCTGGAAATGGTTTCTGGAGGATGTCCTTTGCTTCCTGTTGAAATAATTCAGTTCAGCCTATGCTTGGACTTTGGGGGAGGATGCTACTTGGGTTGATTTCCGATGGATGGGGGCGGGGGGACCTCGGAACCATCCCAGTACAAGTTCATATGAGGTCATTTTATATAACCCCTCTCAAGGGCTTCACTGTAGACCTTGAACTTTGATAATATTGACTTCGGCTGGTTGGGGTATGTATGCGTGCGTGTGTGTGTATGTTTGTGATTTAGTTTTGGGGGATGCTGGGTCTCTTCTGCATGCTGGAAAAGAAAGAGCAGCATGGTGAAACACTCTTAGCTTCATAAAAACAGGTGGCAAATGTCAATTCCTGGATCCGGTGTCTGTATAGAGAGGGACCACTTTTCTGTACAATTAGTGAAGTCAACATGTGGTCACCCAGTAGCTCAAGAAATCTTTCCAAGTCCTAAAATTCAAAGGCCGAGGGTCTCTCTGTTATTGTCAGAAAGGAAACGGGCAGGAGAGAGCAAACACCATATTTGCAGTAGGCAGAGAAGGAAGATGTTTATAATTTAATGACAGAAAAAAAATATGGGATGATAGAAAAAAAAACACAGCTTTATCCAGGATCGCACAGGGTAAAGAATGTCTGATCTCCACCATTTCCTGCTCCCTTTTTGGAAAACTGGGTAAGCAACGGATACCCAGTTTTTCAGCCTGCTGTTGTCTCACATTATTCGGCCGAAAACAAAGCCTTGCGTTGACTCCTTCATTTTTTTTGAGGTGAGAAAGCTCTTAGTCCCATGGAGTTAGATTATCTTCAGAAGTGGCAAGGTTCCACCTAAGTCTCCCTGCATTGCTGATCTAAATAATCCCCCGAAATGGCCATGAGATCCTGGATGGCAGAAGAAATGCTGATAGGATGAATGAACACCCTCTCCCCCCCCCCCATGTACTGGACTAGAGCAGCATCTTTGGAGGGAGGGGCTGAAATTGGCAGAGCCTGGGAAAGCATTACATCTACCTAATGTCTCCACCTTGCACCTTCCATCCATTCAATCCCTTCCCACTCCCTCTCTGAGCACGTTTCTGTTTTGAAAAACACATCAAGAGATCATCTTGCAAATCTTCTTCATTGCATCCGCTTTAATCCTGATTTAACATACTGTGCCCCAGAAAGTCGGGTTTACAATTGAAATAGGTAGAGCTGACCATCACTTTTCAGCTCCAGGAAATTACCTCTCGAGGACTCCAGTGTGGGCCTTCCCTTGCTTTGTTGGTCCGTTGTTGATTTAGTGACTTTGCAGAACCACGGTGGGTATCTGGGGTGTGTGTGTGTGTTTCTTTGGTGAAGTGGAAGCTCCCCCCACTCCCCAGACTCAACATAGGCTTTTCACGGAGACCTTCTTTGCCCCTCAGTTGAACAAAAGTTGGTTTGTTGATGTTTGGGAATCCCATTAGCAAAACAAAGCCTCCAGGGTGGTGTTAGTTGCTTGAAATAAACACAGAACTGGTGAAAAATGCCAGCTTAAAAGGACCCCTTTTAAATTGCCGTCACCAAATTTAGTGATTTGGCAGTTCTGAGGGTGCCGGTGAAATGGTCTCACCCTGGACTGGAAAAACCACAATTTCTTAGAGAAGAATTCTATGCAGAGGGGAGAACAAGACATTTTTGTTCCAGTTCCCGCTTCACATGAACGTGATTTATTTATTCCATGTCATGGTACTTCTACGTGATATGACTTAGCTAGCATACCGTCCACGTTTTGTTAAACTTGGCTCCAATAAAAGTAGTGACGAACCAAAGTACGCAGGAATTTGTTCTGTGCTTAAGGCTGTTTGTGTGTCACGCTGGTCAAAGGTGCTGGTTTTCTTTCAGCTCTTTGAAAGTCCAACTTTACACTCTGAAGCTATAATCTTTCTTTGCTTTGGTGAGGGACAGGCATGCATTTCCTGAGCGGGTGAGTGAATAGTATTTTTCTCTATAAACAACCTTTTGTACTTGCATTGTTTCTTAACCCTCTGGATCCAATTGAAAAGTTAGCTGTGAATAAAGTTGTTTTATAGGAACATCCTTCCGGGACTACGGTGATGTTTGTTTTCATTGCAGATGCAATTTCCATTTCCCGTTTCGAGTCTTTCTCTTTTTCGTCTTTGCTTGGAACTGATTTGCAGATGTGCATACTCCTTTTGAATAAAATCTTTGCGCTCGCTTTTAAAAATGCTTGCTTCCTTCACTGGAAAATCACCGAACAGTTTTGTAACCGTAAGCCTGAGACACCTGGGGAGAATGCAGCTTTATAACATGCCTGTGATCTCCAAATTCTGGAAAAGGAGATCATGATTTATTGGACCAGGCATCATAACCAAAAGGCTAGGCCAAGGGTAGGCAACCATGGCTCTTTTATGACTCGTGGACTTCAGCTCCCAGAATTCCTGAGCCAGCCATGCTGAGGGGAAAGGGAGAGGTTTCCATGCTAAGCCATGCTGGCTCAAGAATTCTGGGAGTTGAAGTCCACGAATCATAAAAGAGCCAAGGTTGCCTACCTCTGGGCTAGGCAGTCCAAGGAATAAAATGTGTAATTTTTCACTTGATATTTTAGATAAGCTGTTCCTTTCTTCCACCCCAAAAAGACAGGAGGATCCACAAAAATTCTTGGCGGACCACTTTTCCTCAACCTAGCCATCCTTCAGTTTCCAGAATTCTCCAGCCAACATGACCATCGTGGAGGATTCTGGGAATTAAGATTTACCCATTTTGTGGGGCTTCTAGGTTGGGGAAAGCTGGAAGAGCTTTTTGCATTGGAGAAACACCATCTGGTGGCTGGGAATTCCGGGAGCTGGAAGTCCAGCTAGCCTGTCTTATATCGTAGCACCTTTATTTTCAAGAATGCCTCCGAACCTATGAGAAAATGGCCAGTAGCTTGAGTCCAGGTCTATATTTAGAAGTGTGCCCAACTGTTTACAAGCTAAAGTTAAGGTAAGAACATCTTTTTATGGGGAATACAAATGACAGCGATCCATGTGGCGGCTACTCCATCAGGCTTGAAACACCACCAGGCCCAAATAGAGTGCTTTATGTTCTAAAAGGGCTTTGAAGAAGCTTGAAGACCTTGCTGTCTCCCTGGCATCGCATCGGAGCTGACTTGCGGTTCAAATTGTGTGTGTGTAAACCATTCAGAATATTGAAAACTGAAGCAGTACAGAAGGCCAAAGGATAAATGAAGTCTTCCCTGGTTCCAATAAAGAAGAATATTTATAGCTCAGGGTTGAAATGAGAGGTCCTTGGTGCTCTCTGAGCTGGGTTGTTTTCTTGCAGGTGTTTCATGGCCCAACTAGGTAACATCATCAATGCTAGAAGAAAGTGAGGTGTGTGGAGAAGAGGAGAGAGATGACTGTGGGGTCCTTGTGCTCTCTGAGCTTAGTTGTTTTCTTGCAGACATTACCCAAAATAGGTTAACATCAGTGCTGATGATATTACCAAGTCTGGGTAATGAAACGTCTGCAAGAAAACAACCAAGCTTTGTTTTTCTGGGTCTCCCCCAAGTTTTCCCATCTCTTTGTTTGCAAAATTGGCCAGTGGTTTTCCTGCTGCCTTTCTTCCCTCACACAATCTCTCCTCCTTGCTGCCAGTTATCTTGAAATGGAGATTTTGGGGGTGTCACCTATGTAAACACATCGGAATCCCCAATCCTCTTATCTAATGCTCAGCTGGAGGCAGCTAATAAACAATGGCATCTCCGGAGACTTATCAGATTTCCTGAGCAGGTTGTAAAGAGATGAAAACATTGGATAGAGAGCACTTCACTTTTTTAAAATCCTGGTTTGCACAGAGGTTAAAGAACATGGCTTCGAACGTGGGAAAGTTCTGCAAGACAACGGAACTTTTAGCCTGTTTGTATCCCTCGCTTTACTTCCATAATTGCAACGATCTAAAATGAGATTTAAGGAGCAAAACCAAGCGAATTTAATTGCATTAAATGCAAAAATCCATCTGTTTGAACCTTTGACAAGTCAGTCCAGAGCCTGCTAAGCAAGCTTCTGAATGAAAGGCAGGCTATTAATCTAAAAACCAAAGAAATAAACAGCCTTTGAAGGCTACATGTGCCCCTGAGCAGCGTGCTGTGGTGTGTCTTCCATAAATTTGAAATGGGCATCAGGTTCCTAATCAGCTTCACATCACCAGCAGTTCTAAGCAATTCTGGAGGAGAGATTCCATCATAAAACACCTTTCTTTCCTGGGTGATTTTGGAGCGTTAAGTTCTGCCCTTCATATTAAGTCAAAGAAAAGTACATTAGGAAGAATTTTATTTCCTCTCCTTTAAAAACAAAGCAAGCACAACCATTCAGCATCAATTCTGCAAGAATGGTGACTTTAGAAAGAAGCAGAAAATCCTAAAAAAAAATTAGAGGTAGGTCACAACATTTCAGCCAGTTAAATGTCTTTAGGGCAATAAGCAAGAACAACAGGGAAAGATCTTGTAAGGATGTTGTACATTTGGGGAAATGGGGATAGGCAACCAACCAACCAACCAAAAAATCTTAAATTCCGTACTTTTGCATTTACAAAGGTAGAATTTCAAAGTTAACAATATTTATTGCTTGCTGTGGAAATGTTTTTTTTTTTTTTTTACAAGGAGAACAGATCTCTTACCGTTTGAGCCCCTCAAAATGGTGAGTCTATAAAAAGGATGGGAAAAGAAACAAACTTGGGAATAACTTCTTGGAAACATGTTCCCTGGTTCCATAGTCCTTGCTTACTTTCCTAAATCCAGCCCATTCATACTGTGAGTGGCCGCACAAAATGAACTGAATCTCAAACTACACCCTCCCCCCAAAAAAAAAATGTATCTGAGAATTAATAGAATACTTGCAGTGGATCAATTATCCTATCGTGAAATTTTGGATTTTATTATCGTTATCTGCACTCAAGGAAAGTTGGCGGCCTTTTCAAGGAAGATCAGCAAGGCCCCTAGTCTCCCAATTTAAAACCTTATAAATAAATTTAAAACCTTATAAATAACTCAAAGAGTCACTCAAAAGTTCCATAATTTACTCTGGTATTTGGTGTGTTCTCTGCGCTAAAATCAGCGCCGCTTTACTTTTTGCAGTTGTTAAAAACTGTCAACGATTTTCCCAGAGCTGAATAATCCTCATGCAACATTGTGCAAGAATTCCAGGATTCTCCAAGTTACTGCTACGTCTCCTCTTAAATGTGATTTTCCCACTTCTCAAATCTTAGGTGACCAACACGGTTTAGAATAGATTTTAACTCTTGTTTGCCACCTCCAGCAGGAGTGAGTGGCTTAGACACAAAAACATTTCAAGGAATTAACACTGGCTGGAAACCTACAGCCACTGGGACTTCCGTTTGCAGGCAGTCTTCAATGTACAAACAGAATTTCCATTGCTAAGCAAGGTGGTCGTTAAATGAGTCACTGAATCACATGCTCATTAAGCTCCCCCCCTTCCTTGACTTTGCTTGTCAAGCTAGCTGGGAAGGTCACAAATTGGGAACATATGACCTGGGTTGGTGCAACCATCTTAAATAGCTGATGGTTGTCAAGCCCCCCAATTTTGACCCAAGGGATACTGTGGGAGACACAAATGTGAGGACCGGTCCTAGGTCAGGGCTGTTGTAATTTCGAAAGTCACTAAAAGAACGATTGTAAGTCGAGGACTTACACCTACATGCTAGCAGGATCCTGTCAACATCTTAAAGCTTACAATTAACCATCCATTATAAATGGGCCCCCGAAGATCGCACTGCAGCTAAACCAAATTTGCTTGTTAGATTTGCACCAGGGTGAATTAGCCTAGCAGAAAGAGGAAAACAATCTTTTTAAAAAGAAGGTTACTTTGCTTCAAAGCTAGGGCCCGATCGGGTGGGTGTAAGTATCTATATAAAAGCACTTTTCAACCACTTCCAATCCTACAGTAGCTGTGACAACAAAGCCACACTAGACTCCACTTTCCTAAATATATGAAATGATATAAGCCCGTCACAGAAATTGCACCTGTGAAGGAAACTGCAGCAGACAAAGCTCGCTCAAAGGATACACAGAGATGAGCAATCGGTGGAAGACAGGTTTTTTATAAAAGGAATGATAAAGACACGGGCTGGGGAAGATACAGGAACCCTTTCTGAATACCATCAATTCGAAGGAGGTTGAGGGACAGAGCGGTGTCTCCTACAAGGGCCAACCTTCAGAGCATTGCAATGTCTGTTCCATAGGTCCTCACAGTGACATCCTGCAAAGCACCATTAAATGGAAGGGAAGTCCTACCTACAGCAACTGCTTGGCTGGTGAGGATCCTTTACGTACCACCAACTGGTTTGCTCATTGCTCTACTGCCCAAGGAGTAGCTTGGATTTGAAAAAAGGTTAGCTTGGATTTGAAAAAAGGTTAGCACTGAGTTACTTAGGAATGTTGATTAAAATGTGCAGCATTACAGCCAATGTCACTGCAAGTCCTAGTAGTTCTAAAAATGGCTGATATAGAAACGGGTAAAATAGAAGGGGAGGGGAATATGATAAAAATGTTCCTTAAAAATTAAAAGCAAAGAAACCGTTAGTAGCTTCAGATGGCTCCTCGTCGCGTTTGCTAATCGTTCTTGCGGTCATTAGCATCTTTCGTTTCTTCTTCGTCAGAATAAACCGTCGGTTCTTCCCCATCCTTCAGCAGTTTGCCGACGTAGTGATATTTAACTGAATAAAGACCCACGAAGTAAGAATTATTATTTCAGCCAATACTGACAAACTTCAGATCAAGTTTTACCCTTCCCAAGGGACACAGTATTGCCCATTTCAAAGCCCCAAAGCCACCGATTCAGTTTAGATTCCACAAAGGAAAGTTAAGATGGCCTGCAAAGAATATAGAGGATTGATTTCCCAGCACCCAAGAATTCTTGTGTTACTAGGCAAGCTCTTTCGGCTACATTGCTAAAAAAGATTTACAGAAAAAACTTCCCTCAATCTGATTGGACTTCAGTGCCTACAATCGCCTAACCCGGATGGTTTGTGGGGAATCAGGTCTGGAAAAGTTAAAATAGTAATTCTGTCAGCCAGTCCAAGTAGACCAGACAGAGAGCATGATCGGAGGAGCTATTCCCATTTTATTGTAAGGCTACCTTAATACAGTGATGGCGAACCTTTTAGAGACTGAGTGCCCAAACTGCAACCCAAAACCCATTTATGCATCGTTGGGTGCCGGGTAGGTGTGGCCATTGGGTGGGTGTGGCTCATTGGGTGGGTGTGGCCCATTGGGTGGGCGTGGTAGGAACGGCAGACTGGGTGGGACTAAACAGTTCAATCAATCAATTCCAACTTTGCAAGATCTTTTTTTTCCTGCAAGAAGTTGAAATTGACTGATTGAACCTTTTTTTTTTTTTTTGCACATAGCGGTGGATGCCTAAAGTGAAAAGGTTTTATAAAACCCAGCTGAAGGCCTAGGACTGGGGTGATGGCGTGCGTGCCCACAGAGAGGGCTCTGAGTGCCGCCTCTGGTACCCGTGCCATAGGTTCGTCACCACTGCCTTAATAGAATCTGGCAAGGCTGAAAGTACAAACCACTCACTGTCTCTTTTTACAGCCTGATAAGTGAAGGGAGATTTCTCTCTGAGTCTCTTTCTCTGCCCATTATGCAACTGTGGGTTATTCCATCTCTTATCTGATCATTCCCGAGGGAGCATCTCTTCCATCTCCCAAGGCCATTTCCACATACCCTAACAAATTCCCATTCAGCGTACCTTCGATCCATATTTACAATTACGTTTTGGCCGTGACCCTCTTAAAACAAATGCTTTGTGGGAAATGGCGCTTAAAGATGCATGGAATCAGTTTAGGGCTGGGCGAAATTTGAAATACTTACATGTAAACTGCTGTTCCCAATCAGTCAATGTTTCTTTCTGCGAAGCATCCAGGTCAGAGAGATCATCGTATTCATCTTTCAGAGCTTCTTTATCGAGGCAGAAAGTAGCAAGACCACGGGAAGCATCTCTCCCAGCAAAGATGCCATAAGGTCCCTCTGCAGAGAACAGCCAAGGTTTAGAACAGTGGAATTTATGTCCCAACAAAATAGAATAAAATAGAATAAAAATAAGAATAAGAATAGAATAGAACAGAACAGAATAGAATAAAGAAAGAAGAGGAAATAAAACAGAATAGAATAGAATAAAAAAATAGAAGAGGAAATAGAAAAAATGAAGAATAGAACAAAGAAATGAAGAATAGAATAAAATAGAATAAGAATAAGAATAGAATAGACTAAAGAAAGAAGAGGAAATAAAACAGAATAGAATAGAATAAAATAGAATAGAATAGGAAATAGAATAGAAAAAATGAAAAATAGAACAAAGAAATGAAGAATAGAACAAAGAAATGAAGAATAGAATAGAATAGAATCAGTTGAAAGAGACATTGCAGGTCTTCTAGTCCAACTCCTACTTAGGCAGGAAATCCTATACCATTTCATCTTTCAAAAACTTGTTAAATTGGGATTCTCCAGTATTTGGGTAAACAGACCAAATCTTTGCGCAACATTTTGAAAGCAAATGCCTACTTAAAAAAAAAAAAATTAGTTGCCAGATTTTTCTAAAGGCTGCAATTTTAGCTTGATCCATCAAAGACTTTAGACAATAAAAGTAAATCAGTAACTTTACTGGTTCTTATAAATTGTTGCTGGGTTTCAGAAATGTCAAAATGTTTAATCGTTCTCTAGCTACTGACCTTCTCCCCCCACCCCAAACGAACAGAAATTTCACTGTGTTACATTTCGTTACTTCCCTCTTTTAGACCCTTTTATATTTTTAAAGCAAGAAGGGGGCAAATATGCAAGGTCCGATGTTCAGAACACTTTATTCCAATCTGCAAACTTTATCTGCCTGCTGTCCGCTCAAGATAACACAACTGAGCTGAGCTAGGTATCCAGAATGAAAGATAGGCAAAATTGACAGATGACTTTTCTTGCAGTCAGAAACAGTGAGAAAAAGAGGCACATCCCTTATATTAGAAAGCCAAGAAAAAAACTAGCAAGCATTTTTGGGACATAGTTCAAGAAAGGGGCCTCACAAAATTCAGATTTCTAAAGGGAAATTTTTATGAAGCTCTTCCTAGCCTGTCCTATACCTGTCTAGCTTTTGACCAAAGTAAAATTAATCAACCTAGGTGGGTAGATCTCTAAATAAATGTGCGGAAGGACACTGCTGCGAAGCAGGTGTCCAGGGTGGAAAGAGAATTATTTTGGAGTCTGAAGCACAACTGCAAAACATGGACCTGAAGCACAACTGCAAAATGTACCTGCTATTGCCTGACATCCAGGCAATAGCAGGTACATTTAGTAAACGACTGTTGTTTTTTAACTGCTTTACTCTGACATTTTCTTTAGCTAACCTTTTCCCCTGCGACAATTGCTTTTTTTTCTTTTCCTTTTACAAATAAATTTCCCAGTTGTGGTTGTAAGTCAAGAATTACCTCTAGAACCACAAGAGAGAATGGTTAACTATTTCATTGCTGGTTGCTTTTCCAGCTACTTCTGTTCCAAAGTCAGTTAAGTGGGAGCACCTAGCCATCCTTGGGTGATGTTGAAAAAGGAGAATTAGATGGGGTGCAATTGGATTTTATTTTATTATTTGGTGTTCTCAGGGCTTTAGGAACATTGGGGAAAAAAAGAACTTCAAAAGCGATGGTATTTGTTGCAAGAAAGAGAACCAAGGACGTGTTTCTGAAATTTGGGATAGAAAGTTTAGCCTTGGGAAGATTAGGATATCAACAACGTCCTTGGTCATTGTCCCTCGATGTGGCTCGCCGCACAATCAGGCAGATGTTTAGACTGGATCTGGCATTTTTAATCCCGCTATCGAGCCCTTCATGATTATGATCATCAAGAAGCACTGCAAACTACAGTACAAAAGAAGAGCAACAAAGATGATTAGGAGACTGGAGGCTAAAACATATAAGGAATGGTTACTAGAATTGGGTATGTCTAGTTTAATGACGAGAAGGACGAGGGGGGCATGATAGCAGTGTTCCAATATCTCAGGGGCTGCCTCAAAGAAGAGGGAGTCAAGCTATTCTCCAAGGCGCCTGAAGGGAGGACAAGAAGCAACGGGTGGAAACTAATCAAGGAGAGAAGCAACCTAGAACTAAGGAGAAACTTCCTGACAGAACAATTAACCAGTGGAACAACCTGCCTCCAGAAGCGGTGAATGCACCCACTAGGTGTGATAGAAACAGACTTCAAACTAGCTTGCAGTTGGTAAACATCTCCCTTCAAGAAGAAAAAAGGCAAAACCTGTTTGGCCAATTCTACGGAAGGATTGCCAAGAGCTCTCAAACCTTCCTGGTTTTCTTGCTCCTTAACTAATCTCTGAAGGCAGAACCGGAGGGGTGGGTGGATGGGTGGGTGGCCTCTTTGAGGCCAAACTCCTGGCCTTGTGAAATGCGTAGCCTGTCTCCTCCCACAGGCCAGGACAGCTGAAGGCGGAGTGGGGAAAGGGAAGCTGGCACAAAACAAAGGGCAATTTTTGCACCCCCTCCCCCCCTTCGAGCTCCTTCTTAGGACCTGGGGCATAATCCACTTGGAGAACAAGACTGGCTGGTTAGACGTGGAATTGAGAGGGAGAGAGGAGGGGGTGGGTGGGCTTGGCACCAGTGCCTGGCACAGAGCAGTCTGTTTCCTACATGTACCCTTCCTAAATTACATATTTAATTATGCTTTTAATCGGAGTCCCGTGCAACAATCCATGCTCCTCTCCGGGTTTCCACCTTCCATGGTTGCGTGTTCCCAGGGAAGGGAGATCTCTCCCTACTACTCCACCCCGTTGTGCTGATTCACACAACCACAAAGGCTGAAGGCAACACACATGGTTGCCATGCCTTAAGAAAAGACGCTGGGCCTGACTGATTTCATGCTGGGCAGCAAAGCTTTTGTCTCCGTGGTTTGTCGATCACCCAGCTTCGTTCCGAGCCAACTGGCTGATCGGATGGCAGCCATAAATATTTTATGGGGCACACAAGAGTAACTGGTTTGGATCTCTCTCTCACACACACAAGGCCTCCTTCCCTTGGGTTGCGTTCCTGGCTGCCTAAATGTCACAACGGGGCCTCAAATGCAGGCTTGCAAACCCAAAGCCTTTGGCACTTTGGTTTTCAGGCTGTTGAAGCTTGTGAATTCAGACGTGTTGCAAAATGAAACCCCAGGTTCAGCTAAATCTGGATTTCATCAAGGCTTAATCTGAAAGAAGTGTATTCAGTTGACAGTTGTATGGTAAAGCTCTTAGTCAGAAATGAACAGAACCAACTCCAACAAATCTGTCTCTGGAATTGACTTACTGTAGTTCCCAGTTGTTAATTTGGAAAAAATTGCTATGAACTGTTTTGAACATTGATAAGAGGACGGTATGTTAGTCTACGGTAGCCACAATTCAACATGTCATGTTGCACTTTGTAGTTTATTATTTATCTATTTGCATCCTGCCTTTAATATTTTTTTTATAAATAACTCAAGGCAGTGAATATACCTAATATTTGTTTTCTTTTTCTATTGGTTTCTATTCGAACAACAACACTGTGGGGCGGGCTGGACTAAGAAAAAGGGACTGTCCCCAAGTCACCCAGCTGGTTTTCATGCGTAAGGCAGAGCTAGAACTCCCAGTCTCCCAGTTTGAAGCCTGAAGCCTTTCCCACTAAACCAAACAAGCTCTCCAACTTTCCAACGGATATATTGTATTAAAAGGCATACGCTATGAGACTCCTCCTGATTATTGACTGAAAAGTGATTTTAAGTTCTGTGGACCTTTCAGACTGCAAAAGAGTTTGCTGGACTTTCGCAGGGGTAACCTTTGCCCTATTGCGCCACGAATTGGGAAAGCTTTTGTAGGACCTGAGTCCATTTCCAACCAGATTAATCTTGGAAGTGACATTTTTCAAGAGATTCTGCAAAAAAAAAAAAAAAAAAAACGATGCCTGGATTGTTCTACTAGTCATTTACACCAAGTTTTAACCTCCAAGTGGCACCTTCACAGAGCAGATTCTTTGCTATCAGCGCCTGCAGGACGGGCTAATAAATTCTGCAAGGCTGGATGTGCATATAGGTCTGTGCTGCTGGCCAGTGAAAATCTCAGAATACAAAAATGGCCTTTGCGGACAGCAGGGAGCAAAAAGAGGAGTGTGTGCCAAAGTCTACATTAGGTCTTAAAGTCTAATCCAGTGTTTCTCAACCTTGACCATTTTAAGGCATGTGGACTTCAACTCCCAGAATTCCACAGCCAGCGTTGCTGGCTGTGGAATTCTGGGAGTTGAAGTCCACATGCCTTAAAATGGTCAAGGTTGAGAAACACTGGTCTAATCTGAAAACCATCTCGTGCCAATCACATTGACCAATCCCACCTGATCGAGCAGAGAAAGTATGTTGCAGATCCTGTCTAAAAGAATTTTGACTAGCAGGATCTAGGAAGGGAGCCTTCTCTGCTGTTGCCCCCAAGCTTGCCCTTTCTATTCTGGCCTTCCAGAACAGCATCCAGATCTGGTTCTGCCAATTGGCCTGGGTGTGTGTGGGGGGGTCTAAGAGTGCCAGGCAACCCTGGAGGGGGCGAGGGGGCTTGAAGGTGCTCCCTCCGCCTCGTCCAACGGTCTTAAATTCTGTTTTTAATTCTATTTTAACTCTCTTTCTGGCAGTATGTTTTTTTTTACTGCTAATCTGCCCAGAGTTACTTAGCTGCGAAGAGCCTGCAGAAATTTGATAACTAAGCCAAACAAGAGACTGGATCCTTGCACTAAATACTTCCAACGTAACACAGCAGACCTCAAATCCAAAGGAATCTACTTTAGAGTCTGCAACTCTGCCTTGCGTAAACCCCCCTACCCCAAGGATCTGATGCAACGTGGGGGGTCCTCTCTGGGCCTTTCTGGCTGATTGCAAGTTGGGGGTCCTCTCTGGCGGATTGATTGCAAGTTGGGGGTCCTTTCTGGGCCTTTCATCTGATTGCAAATTGGGGGTCCTCTCTGGTGGATTGATTGCAAGTTGGGGGTCCTCTCTGGGCCTTTCTGGCTGATTGCAAGTTGGGGGTCCTCTCTGGCGGATTGATTGCAAGTTGGGGGTCCTCTCTGGGCCTTTCTGGCTGATTGCAAGTTGGGGGTCCTCTCTAGCTGATTGATTGCAACTTGGGGGGGTCCCCTCTGGGCCTTTCTGGGGGCCACGGATCTCAGACACCCCCCCTCCTCACCCCTCCGGGACTCCCAGGGGCGCCCGGCTCCCCTCCGGGCCTTTAGGCGGCTGGGGTCGCCCGGCAGGGGGGGGGTCCCCGGGGAAGGGTGGGGGAAGCCTCCGCGGGGCTCTTGCCTCACCTGGCCCGTAGAACTTCCGTCCGCGGCTGACGTCGAAGACCTTGCCGTTGAGGCCCATGAGGATGCGCGGGTTGGCCAGCCCGTCGAAGGGGCGCAGCTGGGCCAGGGTGAAGTCGCGGCGCTTGAGTTTGGGCAGCGGCGGCGCCTCCTCCTCGCCGTCGGGCTGGGCGCTCGGGCGGTCCCCGCGCACGATCTGGTAGAGGAGGAAGAGGCAGAGGCCCAGCAGGCTCAGGTTCAGCGGGGAGCTGACGATCTCCAGCAGCAAGCCGGGGCTGCCGGCCTCCGCGCCCTCCGTCGCCGCCGCCGCCGCCGCTGCTTCCTCCTGGCCCGCCATGGCTGCTCGGATCGCGGAGGCTGCAACTGCTGCTGCTGCTGGATGGCCGGCGGGATTGGGGAAGGCGCGGGATGGAGGCCGGGCGAGCTGGAGCCCGAGGAGGAGAGGAGGAGCCGGGCTGCTCCGCCCGAGCCGAAGCCGGCGGCGCGCAGGGAAGGCGGATCAGCTGGGCGGAGAAGGAGAAGACGCGGCGCGCAAGGCTGCCTGCCCGGGCAGGTTGCGCAAGCGGCGCTCCCGCCCGGAGGGCAGCCACCCCTGCCTTCCCTTGGCTGCCGGCCGAAGCCGCCCTTGCAATCTGCCCAGCTCGGAGCTTCTTAGGGCCAGGAGCCCGTGGGACGACTGGCCTCCCGAAGCTGCGGCGGGAGGCTTGGGAGAGAAGACTGGACAGCCAGTTGCCTGGAATGGGGTAGTAGGGTCTCCTGCCCGGAGCAGGGGGTTGGACTAGAAGTCATAGAAAATGATAAAATGAAACTGCTCTGGGACTTCAGGATTCAAACAGACAAGCACCTGCAACAAACATAACATCCCGGACTTAACAATTGTCGATAAGAAAGACAAAAAAGGCTGGATAGTGGACGTGGCAGTGCCTGAAGACAGCAGTCCAACACTGGAAGTTTTTAAGAAGAGACTGGACAGCCATTTGTCCGAAATGGTGTAGGGTTTCCTGCCTGAGCAGGGGGTTGGACTAGATGACCTCCAAGGTCCCTTCCAACTTTACTATTATTATTATTATTACTACTACTACTACTACTACTACTACTACTACTACTACTACTACTACTACTATTACCTCCAGGGTCCCTTCGGACTCGTTACAGATAGCCCTCGAACTTACAACAGCACGTTTAGTGCCCGTTCGAAGTGAGGACGGCGCAACTGCAAGCTAATTATTCTCAGAATTCCCCACTGATCTTAAAGTTGCTGGGAAACGTCTAGTGGATAGAGAAGTAGTTTTCTAAGCCTTCATAATGTGATGCTATGTCTTCCTGACAACTACTGCAGAACATGTGGTTTATATTTTCAAGGTTAAAGATTAATACCCTGGTTGTGTTGGGACAGTAGTTGGCTTGTCAAGCAGTAATATCAATAATGGGACAATAAAGGAGTATATTTATAGCTCAGGGTTGAAATGAGGAGTCCTTGGGGGCTCTCTGAACTTGGTTGGTTTTTCTTGCGGACATTTCATGACCCAACTAGGTAACATCAGTGCTAGCCAGGCACCAAATCTTCATATTGCCATTGAAGATAGTCAATTCCCTTCCCTCAGATTAAAATTATAAATAAACCAGGGTAAAACATCTAATCTGCAACTATTATGATGCTCTGAGTTATGCTTTGGGTCCGGAGGCCATATCAGTGATGAATAAACAATAAACAAATGAATAAATCCTTTACTCAGAAACTCCCACATCATCTGGTTGATTACAGCTGTTCTTGTGGCAATCAACCCTGATGAATATCTGTCTACACACCCTGTATGTGCAATTCTCGTCAAGACGCTTGCAATATCGATCCTGTAACCTCACTGCTCTTTTTAAGTGACCTCAATAATAGGAAAAACAAAATGGCTTTAAATGAGAATTTAAGGCACTAACACTATTAACCAGCTCCATTGATGTTTGTCTTGAGTTATCCCCCCTATCTCCTTTTTCTAGTTTCTTTTTTCCCTGTTTCCCTGTTTGTCCAGTAGTTGCAATCTGGACATTAAAAACAAAATCAAACCAGAATCTATAGGCGGATACTCTGGGCCCAACATGAAATGGATTTCAGTAGAAAGCTGCAAACTGTGAGCTGCTGAGAGTTGCTTTGATTCTGGCAGCGTAGAAATGTGTTAAATAAATAAATAAATCATATACTTAAATGCTCATTGGCATTCAGCAGATTTATTTATTTAGGTAAATTCACATAAATATAATTCAAATAAATATGAATTTATTTGCTACCTATCTCATGGCAAATGACCCCATTAGCATATTCCCTATCCTGTTTCTAAAAACTTATTTTAATTTTTTTTAAAAAATGAACAGAAAAGCAGCATGTAGAAAAAGGCCAACTTGGAGCATAATCTGCGTTGCTGATGATCACTTTAGCCCTGAAGTCATTTTTAGATGAGTGACACTATTCAATACTATGGTGACTGATTGCACCTGGAAGTTGATTCCCTTTCTGATTGGCCCACAGTCACCATGTTGTGTGTCCACAACCTTTTTTGCAATAATAATAATAATAAAATAACAGATTAGTATATGTGGATTTTTGCAGAGATAAGAATTTTGGGGTATTGCTATTTGGGAAAACAACAGATTTTTTAACTGGAGTCTTAGTTCTGTTTTTGCCCACACGAGGGAGTGCTGGCACTAATGAAGGAGGATTCAAGATTTTTTTTTTAATTGAACAGGGTAAAAAAAAAACCCTATAAAATCCAATTGTCTTGCTTCATTTGTGGAATTTTGCAGTGGAAGGGGTAGAAAGAGAAAGACCCATGCATTGTATTTATTTCTTATTTTTTAAAAAAAAACAACCACTACTGGAGGCCCACGGGAGGATTTCAGTAATAAACAGTGCAGTTTACAATCCAAACGCTGGGTTCACACATTAGACGGAGCCTTCACGTATCTTAGTTGTGACACCGTATGGTTGCAAGCATAGCTTATTTATGCGTTTGTTTGATCCATTTTTACAGCTTCTCACCTCAACAAGTGACTCTGGCCAGCGAATAAGAACAAACCGAATAAATATGTTATAGATATCAACATTAAAAGCCACAGCAGTTGCAAAGAACAACACAACCAACAGTGCCAAATACAGTCAGGAGGTGGTGTTTTTGCACCACCTGGGTCCCCAAATGGGTCTATAGAACCATGGTTTGAATTGGTAGGCTCTGACTGCCCTCTTGACCTTCAAATGAAGCTCAACAGTATATTTGAATAGAAAAACTTTATTATCTGGGTGCCCATCTGAATAAGTGAATCTGAACAGGGAAACCATCTTAAAGTAAATTAAGAACAATTCCCTCCTCCTCCTCCCCCTCCTCCTCCTTCTCCCCCCCCCCTCAAACATAAAAAGTAGAATACACAGCAGAGATCAGAGATGGCAGTTGCAAGCCCAGCCAGGAGGGGGCGCCCTTCACACCCTCTGGAGAGACCCAGGTCTGGACACAGACCCAGTGGACGCTTCCAAACCCTCTTCAAGGGCAGCCCCAGGGACAACACCCGACAGTAGTCTTTCCCAACCCCTCTGCCTCGCATCCCCAAGACCAGAGGCGGGGTAAAGCGGTGGAGAGCACCCCGGAGGATGATCAGAGTCTCCCAAGATAGATCTGGGGCGCTCTGCCCATGCTCCACGATGCGCTGGATTTCCCGCAGGCGCTGCACGCTTGACCCGCGCGGGGCAAAACCGGGCAGCTGCAGACGGGCAACACGCGTTCGGGGCTAGCGCGCGTTGCAGGGACGGACCCCGTTGTTGAGCGTCGAGCCGGAAGATGCGTGCATTGCGCGTGTCGTGGGAACGCAGCCTCGCGGGTGGGGGGGCTGGGCAGAGCCAGCGAGCCAAGAGCAGGAAGGCGCCCGGCAGGCAGGCAGCAGCCTGGTCCTCTCCCCGTCCGGGAACGCCCGTGGGCGGCGACTGCTGCTCGGCGGGCCGCGGAGGGAGCTGCAGCCGGGGGCGGCTGGCGGAGGCAGGAGGCCCGCGGGACGGCGAGCGGCGCCCTCGGGACAGAGGGACCCGGCGGGCAGGGCAGAGTCCTGGGGGTCCCTGGGCGGCAGGTATTGGGTGTGTGTGTGTGTGCAACCCTTTGCAAGATGCATTGGGAGGAAAGCAATATTGGGGGGGTGTCCAGCGCCTTCTCCCACCCCCTCCCACCCCCCCTCGCTTGCATTGCCCCCGGGGGGGCGCTGGGCTGAACTGCACCTTCTTTGCAAGGGGAGGGGGGTTGTCCTGGATGGAGAAATCTCTGCCTCTTTCCCTCCCGCCCCCTCTCCGTCGGGGGTCTTTGGGGACCCGTTGGGGGAAACTGGAGAAAGCGCACTTTGCCCATGCTCGGAGGCGCTCTCTCCCCTTGCTTTAGCTGCCCTACTGGGGCTTCGCTCGGGCGGCCGTCCGCAGTTAGCTCGGCTCGGGAGTTGCGCGTTGCGTATTAAGGAGAGGGTGGCGGTCTGGGCGGTCCCGGGACGGGTCGGGGCTTGTAGTGGCCCGGAGCTGTTGCAAGAGAAGCGGCGCTGCTCAAAACCGAGAGCGGCTCTTCTGAAACAACGCGGGGTGTGTGTGTGTGTGTGTGTGTTTTGCTGGCGTGGGAAAGCCAGTCCTTTTAGAATGGGGGGCAAGGGGGTCGCAGCTGCCCCCTCCCTTAGTGACAGGTGAAGAACCGACTGGCCCGAACAGAGTTTGCTGTAAAGGACCTTCATCCCTTTTCCCGTTCCTAGAGAGGGGATCCGGGGCTTGCCTCCCTAACCCGATTTATTTTTCCAGGAATCGATGTTTACAACAGGACCCTCAGGGCAGGACAGTGCAATGAAGAACAGGCTGGAAATCTCTTCCTTGGAAGGGGTGGGAGTGGGTGGGGGAAAGATGGGAACCCCCTCCTGACCTTAGTCCCGAAGGCCGGCCAGCTCATCCGCAAATCTAAGTTGAAATTGGTGGTAGAATAGGGGTGAGTGGTTAACAGGTGATCCAAACTGTGGTTCTACATTATCCTTCTCTCCCCCCCCCCCTTCCTGTCTTCTAAGTGCCCAGATTTGGTTCTGCTTCCTGGCTCGTTGTCCTAAATCAGTTTTTTTTGAACTTGGCAACTTAAATGGTGTGGTGCTGAACTCCCAGAATTCCCCAGCCATCACGTATGGCCTTCAACTCCCAGAATTCCCCAGCCATCACATATGGCCTTCAACTCCCAGAATTCCCCAGCCATCACATATGGCCTTCAACTCCCAGAATTCCCCAGCCATCACGTATGGCTTTCAACTCCCAGAATTCCCCAGCCATCACGTATGGCCTTCAACTCCCATGTTGGCTGAAGAATTTTGAGTTGAGCTGGACACGTCTTAAAGTTGCCCAGTTTGAAAAATTTTGTTCTAAACTGATTACAATGCTTGGAGAGTGGATTTCTAAAAGCAGATCCTTTGTGTGCCTTTTGCAAGTGTGTAATGGAAAGGTTGTATTGTAGCAGAGAATGGCTCTGTTGTTGACGTGACTGGCTGAATGTTCCTTCCTCTTTACATCCACCCCAATGCAGTTTTAAAGAGCTTTTATTTCCAGATCAGTAACATGACTATTGTTATGGTTTGATCTTCTCTACAAAAGTTCATTTTCCATATTTTTCTTTCTCTGCTAACTTTTTCAATCTTTTTTTTTTTTTTTTTACAAAAGCTCACTTGCCACAGTTTTGTTTCCGGCTAACTTTTTCAAAACACCAGTTATACGGCCTCGTCCTATGTCTCATTCTTGTAAGATCCTGTTCTTACCCGAGAAGTATTTGGCTTAACTTTAGTAAATCAACCTTAACTGGCTAAGTTGAGAGAACTTCCTCAGGATCCACTTTTACTCAGCAAATTACCAAGCCCGTGATAAACCACAAACAAGCAAATGTTGTTAAAACTGAATATATTATGTGAACTCAAGCCAATCTTAAGCTTAAACCACATCTCAGCTCCGTGGTTTAGCCAGGGTGTTTTACTCCCCATCTTTGTGCAAATCCGGCTGAGTTTAATGTTTGCTTGGTGCCTGCTCAGTTTTAGCATCGCTTTCTTGCAAAACTGTAGATTACATGGTGGGCAAACTTCTGAGTAAAGCTTTGGCAGAGCTTCTGCTCATATTTTGTCTTTGATTGTGACTGTGTATTCTTCTGCATTTAAATAAATATTTTAGGTAGCAGAGGTCCTAGAGCAGAGGTCCCCAACCTTTTGGGCACCAGGAACCAGTTCCTTGGAGAGAGATTTTTCCGTGGACCGTAGGGGGCGTGGTTTTGTGCGCTGCCTGCATCCCACGAATGGGATTTTGCTTCTTTCTGCAGACCAATTGCTGGCATGCTGCAATCCACGGACCAGGGGTTGGGGACTCCTGTCCTAGGGGACACCGAAACAATCCACAGCATTCAATCACCTGGAAGCTTTCTTTTTTTGCTCTCTAGCTGAGATTGCTCACCTTCTTCTCTTGAGTCCCATCGGCTGGGCCAGCCGTGTGGTCAACCTCCAATTCACTAGTTAGATCATTAGAGCATCCAGACTTGGAAAGGTGAACCAAGGGATAAAGCAAAAATGATGGTCTTTCCCTGCCCCTGGTTTTAGTTCACCTTAGGTCCATCCTTATAGGAACGCATTCTCTCTCTCTGTGCTACTCCATTTCTACCTTGCAGCCCTCCTAACTCCAAAACAGTCCAGTCCTGTTAGATCAGCTCGACCGGATTCAAACATTGCATAAAGCCAGAAAGGAATTTGTTTGCATAATATGTAAACTCAGCCTTAGGGTGTTTTGTACATGTGGTGGGTGTATAATAAAGCATGGCTTAGGGCTCGAGGTAGGGGTGAACCCACCTCTACAAATCATGGTGGAGAGAAGAGTGGCTTATTTCAACCTGGCTAGAGGAAACAAAACGGGCAATGGGAGAATTTATGCATGTAACTCACAGGTAGAGTTTTATACTGCGTCCCTGACGGCTGAGCAAGTTGAAGATTTAGGCTTTGTCTGAACTTGCCTCCCTGTCTCCTTATGGATGAAAAGAAATTCCATAGAAGGTGTTGGTGCTTGTCCTTTGCACATGTAAGTTTGGCAAACTAAGGTTTGACAGTATATGTTTGGGAGGAACACACACTCCCCCCCCCCTTAAAGGGATTTAATTTGTCCGGGATAGGCTGCTAATGTTAAAATAGTTTTTTCTCCTTGCAGGGATAATATGCTGATATTCCTTGGTTTATACAGGTAATCCTGTATAAATACAATAGTTCATTTGCTTTCTGTCTAGAACTTACAATGACACTGAAAAAAATGACTTATGATCGTGTTTCACACTTACAACCACTGCGGCTTGGCAACTAACTCGTATTGATGACTGTTGCAGTGTCCCGGGATCACGTGATCCACTTTTGCAACCCTCTGAGAAGCAAAATCAATGGAAAAGCCAGATCCACTGAACAGCCGTGCTACTAATTTAAGAACTGCAGTTGTGATCATAAGTTGAGGATTACTTGTAATAATTTCCTTATAGGACTCTCTGTGCAAAGTGATAGTTGGCGCAAGGAGGCTTACTGAGGCCTTTTGCATTTAGAAGGCGAGAGGTTTTTATTAAACTGTGACCTTAAGCTCAGCCTAATTTATTGTGATCATGGACCAGCACGGAGAATAAACAAAATAACAAAATGTCAGACAGAGTTAAAATAGACTTGTAAAACAATCTAGCATTAAGTGAGATCCAGGATGCAAGCCTACATTAAATTACAATGTAAACGCTAACATTACATTAAATAGAATGACATCTCAGATGGCAATAAAGTAAAACGATCTAAACTTGTTACGTCTACAAAGTAATCGGACCTAAAATGTAATGACTTATCGTTATCAAGAATGTGTTGCGGGATATTGGCCCATCAGCTTCAAGCAAACAGGAATGTTGGTTTGTTTGAACTTGCTTTACTGGAAATGAATCAAGTAGGTTAGCCAATGAATCTGCAGCTGTTCTTCAGAACAAAAGACTTTATCGTGTATTTACATGGGTTATTGCAATCCTAATTTTCATTTTCATCTTTTTTTTCTTTAGATTTTGATGTTTGTATTTACATCTTGTATCCCTGATATGCAGTAATTGTTTTTATTCTGGTTGTTGATGTTTACCTCCAGAGGTGTTTGTGGAGATGGGCAGCTTTACAAATTGATTATACAAAAGAATTATAGTTCAAGTTTGGGCTGAGTCCAGCTTAGATCACCCACAGAATTGCATTGTCTGACCTTGGCCTCTCTCTCAAAAAAACTAATCCATGGGCTGAGAGTTGACCATAAATCATGGTTTATATGAGCCGCTGTGCCTGAGTTCATCACGTACACTATACTCAATCCAAACAAACTATGTTTTGGCACTATACGTTATTTAAATGAGACCAAAAATTTGACTTTGCAAAATGGTAAGCGTTGAATCTCTTTGAGGAAAAAAAAAAGTTACAGACAAAAAAAGTACTCTCTTATGACCTCAATTGTCCGTTGCTAGGCAAGACATTTTTAAAGTGAATTTTTGCCCCCTTTTACAGCAATGGTCGTAAGGGTGAAAAATGGTCACTTTTTCCAGTGCCGTTGTAACTTCAACGGTCACTAAATGAAGTATTGTTAGATGAGGCTACCTATAGTGGCAAAGAATGACCCAAACACGGTATTCTTTCTTTCTTTTTTCTTTGCAAGGAATCAAAAGAGAGTTAGTTTTATTTTATGGGTCAGGCAAATGGGGAGGATGATTTTGTGATGAGTCGCAAATACAGTTTGAGCCGCTTGAGGAGAGTTTAAAGAGCGTGTGGCAAACAGATATTTAGGTAGTGAGTAATATGGATGTCATTAAGCAGATATCCTTGAACCAGTTTGCAAAGCTAGCTTAAAATTCTGAGAGGAGAATTGGTTCTTAGTCTGATCAAGTTCCTTGGTTTTTATTCTGTCTTTGGCTCAGCCAAGGAAACAATTGACAATGTGGTCCAGCTACTGTTATTTATAATCATCTTGGGTTTTTTTCTTCTTCTTCCATTTTTACTTCTTTCTGTGTTATGTGTCCATTTTTCTTCAGGATGGTGTTTTTTTTTGCAGCCTTTCCTGGACAGAGAAAAAAAGACAGAATTCACACATTGTGCTAAGCCACAACATGGCTTGCAGAGTTGGGCCTTTTAACCTTGTGTGTATGGGCTTTTGCAAACCAGGGTTCATAGCTTATTGTGGTATGAGAGCTCAGCCTTTGGTGCGCAAACCGTAATTTCATGAAATAGTTGGGGGATTTCCTATGGCTGGCTGAGGATTCTGGGAGTTGAAGTCCACACATTCTTCAAGTGTCTAAGGTTGAGAAACTACGATATAAGTTTTTTTAAATTAATCTTCAGTTGCAGTCTAGCTAAAGGAGATGAAAACACGTCCCGCTTCATCAGCTTCTTTAGAATAACTTGCAGGCTTGTCTCACGGAGAAGGCTCTGAAATGGCGTGAATTAATTGCAAATCCTGATTAATAAAAAGGATAAGGCGGGGACTACATTAGATTAACCACGTTCCCCACGTAATTTCTGATATGAATGCTTCCACTCTCTGAGTCAAACCAGCAGGATGCACGTAAAATTAGACAGATCTCTCCAACTTCTGCAAAAGTTTTTTTTTTTTTTTAAAGGGAAGCAAAATAAGAAGCGCAAGAATGACTGGCCACTGAATGTTGCTGGCCGCTGAAAGCGAAGGGATTGGGTGAACTGGTGGGAAGCCTAGTCAGAGAAAAAAAAATACATGTTGCAACAGTTTTGTGGCATTTTGTCATTCCTCTTTGCCAAAAGGAACAATTTTATATCCTTCTTGATAAACTGTTTACTCTGATGCTTTAGTTCCTTCTCTCCTTCCAAATGTTTATCTGGAATGATTAAAACTATCCTTTTTTTTAAAAAAAAAATTCCCATGGAGATGAGACAGTTTCTTTCTCTTTCGTCCCAAGGCTCTTGTTATCTCTGCCAAAAAGAGACAAATGGTTACGATTTTGGGCTCAGATGCTGCGGTTTGGTTGAGCTGGAAAGAGAGAAAGAAGAGAGAGATAGAGGCAGAGAGAGAGAGAAAAGAGAGAGAAAGGGAAAGAGAGAGAAGAGAGAGAAAGAAGGGAGGGAGAGAGAGAGAGACAGAGAGAGACAGACAGACAGAGGAGAGAGAAAGAAGGGAGAGAGAAAGAGAGGAAAGACAGGGAGGGAGGGAGGGAGAGAATTAAACAGGAAAAAGAGGGGAGTGAACAGTTCATACCAGGGTTGGGAACAATTCTGCAAAACCTACTGTAACTTTACATTGTATCAGCAAACCGGCTGTTGTATCTTTGTGGGTTGCGTTGAGAAATTGGCAAGTGTGGAATTTGTCTAAGCGTTCAGTTCAGCAGCTTGATGGGGGCGGGAAACGCTGTTCTGCCTGCAAGATGAAGGCTCAGATGTTTGTGGATTGACGGGCTGCAGATAAAGGACCATGGCAGGTTTTTACAACTGTCTGAAGACGAACAAGTAAGTGGCTTTAATTTACGCTGTCTTGCTTTTCTTCCCTCTTTTCGAAGGGAGCCCAAGTTAGCAGATGCTGGAAAGCAAAACACGGCTCCTTACTTTCTGGTGCTTCCAGCTTGTTCCTTTTTTGCAACCTCTGTGCTTTTGTCGTAAATAGTTTGGGGCTGTAAACCTTCCTGCAAAGTCTGCAGGTTTTGAAGATGCCTTTGGAAGGAAAGCTTGCTTACATTTGGCAGAGGAGTTTGCTAGTAAAACGTCTTGCTTTTCCTGAAGGGCTATTAAATAAAAAGGGGGGAGGATATTGATCAGGAACACCACAATTCTGTGCAGGTTTATTAGAAAGAGGGATTGAGAGAGAAAGAGCTTCATAGCTCTGGAACCAATCATTTTTTCCATACTAAACTGATTAGTGATTGTAATTGATTAGTAAATTGATTAGAATGGGATTTTCTTGCATCAGGAAGGTTGAATGAAATGGAAGAAAAAACTGGGCAAGGATTGGAACATAAAATAACATAAAATTCCCTCTGATGGCTGGAGGGTTCTGCCAAAATTGAGAAATACTGGCTTAGACAGATCATTGGCTAGATTCACACAAAATGTTAAAACCTAAACCTGGATTAACAAAATCCCAGGGCCGTCTCCTCGGAACATGCTTTGCTTACCCAAGCAAACCAGGTTCCATGGGTGACTTTTCATCAATACAGATCCACATGCTACCCAGCTCTGCTTTATCAGAGATTTAACATGTTGGGTTAATCAGGCCGCATGGTGGTTGGTTATCTGATTTTGGAGAACAAAATGTGGCTATCAAAACCAGTTTATGACTGTAGGTTGGGTGTAAATGAAGGGCTTGTAACAGAAAAACAGAGTTGGAAGGGACATTGGAGGTCTTCTAGTCCAACCTCCTGCTCAAACAGGAGACAAGCGGCTGTCCAATCTCTTAATGTCTATGGAGATTCTCAGTCATCCAGGCCATGTCTGTCTCAAAGATGCTTCCCCCCCCCCCAAAGAAGCAACTTTCTTGTTTTTCTTTGAAGACATTTTACTTCTCATCCAAGAAGCATCTTCAGCTCTGACTGGATGGTGAGGAATGGGAGAATTTATACTCCTTGCAGACCGCTGGTCATTTGCATCCTTTTAGAGAGTCGTTGAGGCCACCTGGAGGTTTATCAGGGTCGCCCGAGTAGTGCAGATGGGTGTGGAGTCTTCTTGGAGCTGCTGAAAGGACTGTGTTGTAGACTGGAGATAGATGATGTCATATCCCTCCCCCTCTGTTGAGAGAGGGCTGTTCAGTTTTGACCTAGATGGCTTCTTTGGCCCATCTTTCAAACCAGCGGTCCTCTCTGTCCAAAACGTGGATTTTGCTGTCTTCAAAAGAGTGGCCTTTGTCTTGTAAATGCAGATGGACTGCTGTATCTTGTCCTGATGGGTTTGTTCTCCTAGGTTGTCCATTCTCTTCTTTAAAATGGAGCACCCACAACTTCAGGAAGCCAGGCATTCCACTGTTTAATTGTTCTCCCTGTCTTCTGCCCCAGGTCTGGAGCTTTTCTTGAATTCCACCTCCTTTGATATATTCTTTAAAAGAGATGCTGATATCAATAATGCTGTCTAGACCGGTCTTTGACCATCAAAAAGGTTTGGTTTGATAACAGTATTTATCAATTTCCCGGTCACTGGAAATTTTTATTGAGGGCTGAAACCCGATTCGTATTTGGATGGGGGGACTTTCATAACATCTAGAACTGTACACAAGAATGGGATCCAGACTGGGATCCAGGGGGCCCAGAATGGAGACGTCCTGGTCCACCAAATAGTGCTGGTCAGTGTTTTTTTCAAACTTGGCAACTTTAAAAATGTGTGAACTTCAGCTGCCAGAATTCACAACTGGATGGGATTGGAACATCCAATGACATGAAATTCCCTATGCTGGCTGGGGAATTCTTTGAGTTGAAGTTCACACATTTTAAAGTTGCCAGGTTTGGAGAACTGAGTCCATATAGATGTTTGATGTTAGTATGGCAGAGTTGCTTCTGGCAACCCACCTCAAGGGCGCCTTGCTGGTTGAGTTCCTGGACCACAGAACATCTGTATTGAATCAGCTGGACTCAAATAAACCGAGGAGGGGGGTGGAATTTAATCTTTACACATTGCCTCCCCCTCCCCCTTTTAAATCCCCTCCCCCCTCTTCCAAGCCAATTGAAATGGAATTGACTCTTTCTCCTAGCACTGCTGAATCTTTGCTAGCGATTTGAAAAACGCCAAGCATTTTTCAGTGGTGCTCTGATCATGTTCCAGGAGTATGATACCATATCCTGCATTTAACAGGGCTGGGGGGGTGGTGGTGGAGAGGAAATGAGAGGGGTGGGCAGGAGAAGCGAGATCGTTCTTGCTTTTTGCAATTTTTTTTTAAAGAAACAAGGGGGTTGGGATGGGACAGCCTGGGGATGAATTGGAAACACATTGAGTCAATGTTTGTGAGGTTGTGAAGCCCTGAACAGGAGTTGGTGTTTCTTGCTGTGTTATAGGACAGGCAAGAAATAACACTATAACACACCAGACACTTTCTCCACAATCCAACCTGCAGTTCAGAACTTTGAGTAGAGGTTGCACGAAAGCAAGAGTTGTTTGACCGCACACTTCCTGAAATAAAGTCGAGAGGGACGCCTTTATCCCTCATGCTTGGCTAATAAATCCTGCTTTAGAAATCACAATGTCTGCGTGTGTGTGTGTGACACACCGAGCCTAAACACAGCTGCATTATGATTTAGTGGGCTGGGTGCCTCAAGTCATAGTGTGGCGCATTTGACCTGTGCTGTGTGTGACCTGCTTAGCATGAAAATGGCACTTGTCCCATCCTGTTGGCTGTGCAGGAGGCTGGACTAGAAGACCTCCGAGATCCCTTCCCACTCTATTATTCTGTTAACGAAGGGACAGAAGTGTCTGTGGGGGGGGCACACCTGACTCACCATTTGGAATGAAAAAATGGGGGTGCTCCTTGGGGATGGTGGAAGAGCAGATTGCACAAGCTCGGAGAAAGAAACTTCACCTTCATCCTAGACCCGAGCGACAGATATTTGCCAGTACTGCAGATTGTACAAAATTTGGCCCAGCGTGAAAGATACAGGTTATGTGACTCAGGCGGGTTTTTTTTTTTTTTCATTGCTGGGTGTCACATATTGTGACCCGTTTTTTTCTCCCCCTTTTTCTTTTCCTTTCTGTTCGTTTTGCTGCAGAAATCTGGCTTGCCCTCCGTTCTCTTTTGTCTTTTGTGCTTGTGTAAATATGCCAAAAGAATTCCCTTTGCTTCCAGAGGGGCATAAGGCGTCCCACGGAGCAGCTGTTTCCTGTTAGGATTTGTTCCTTCCAGCCTGTGTGGACCCCCTGTGATGACATCAAGGCCCCCCCAGGAGTCCGCAGAACACAGGTTGAGAACCCCCTGGTCTGAGGTTATTGCAAACTCAGCCATAATCTGGGCTGGAGGAGTGTATTTTCATTCCACGACTTCCAGGAGTCAGGGGAAAAAAATTGAACAAAGCCAGAATAAATGGAAAAAGATTTGGGATTTTTCAAGGATGGGGCCAAAGACCTGCCTCATTGCAGAGGAAAGATGTCCCGTCAAGGATTGCTTGAAACCTCTAATTTTTAAATCATGTTTGGTTAGGAATGCCCGTGCGGTGACTCTTTGTTTTCTTATCAAGAACATTAAGGACTAGAGCCTTCCTTTAAAAATATCCCCAAACCAAAAGGGTTTGGACTGAGTCAACTTCAGGCTACAGCTTCCTGGAGGCCTGTCAGACGTCTTCTTTGAGCCGGAAAAAACATATTTAGGGCTGTACCTCTGAGTTACTTTCCTCCAGCGGTGTGAAAATTAAAAAAATAAAGCTTTTTAATGCTTTCTTTCCTCTCCTGCCAACCCTGATCCCGACTTCCTGAAAGGGAGGGCGAGGCTTTCCGCCAAGCCAGGATAATAGTTTTCAGTTTGGGCTGGAGAAGGGGCTGCTTTGAGAAGCGCGCAGATCCTTGTTGTGCTGCTGCGAGATGAGTTTGGCGGTGTCTCAGATGGAAGGCAACCAGCTACCTGGATAAACTTCTTCCCTGCTTCTTTCTCTGCTTGCAGATCTAGGAACTGCATCGCGATGTCCACATCAGAGGAGGAACCAGAGGCGCTGGAAGGAGAGGAAGTGGCCGATACATTTGCAGGCGAGTTCTTAAAATAATAGTAATAATAGTAATAGTTAATAGTTAATAGTAATAGTTAATAATAATAATAATAATGGTGCATTGGAAAATCTGCAAAAAATATCATTTGCCTGTAAGCAAAAACTGGTGGGATCATAAAATAGAGAAAGTCATAGAAAATGATAAAATTAAACTGCTCTGGGACTTCAGAATTCAAACAGACAAGCACCTGCAACATAACACCCCAGACTTAATAATTGTGGATAAGAAAGACAAAAAAGTCTGGATAGTGGACGTGGCAGTGCCTGGAGACAGCAGAATAGACGAGAAAGAGCTGGAGAAGATAACAAAATACAAACACCTACAAATAGAAATAGAAAGTTTGTGGCAAAAGCAAGCAAGGGTAGTACCAATAGTCATAGGCTCCTTGGGTGCAATCACAAAACAACTGGAGCACCACTTGAACACAATTGGCATTGACAAATTCGCTATTAGTCAATTGCAAAAGGCAGCCTTACTAGGAACTGCTTCCATCCTGCGACGATATCTGTAATACCATCAAACAGCCACATCTGCCTATCCCAGGTCCTGGGTAAGGATTCGATAGGTAGACAAAATGCCAAATCCAGTCTGAACATCTGGCTGACTGTGCAATGATCCATAATAATAATAAAGTTGGAAGGAACCTTGGAGGTCACCTAGTCCAACCTCCTGCTCAGGCAGGAAACTCTATACCATTTCAGACAAATGGCCGTCCAGTCTCTTCTTAAAGACTTCCAGTGTTGGAGCATTCACAACTTCTGGAGGCAGGTTGTTCTACTGGTTAATTGTTCTGACTGTCAGGAAATTTCTCCTTACTTCTGGGTTGCCAAGCGTCCAAATTTGGGTGCTGTGACTCTGGGGATGCTGCCACAGTCCCAAGTGTGAAAAATGGTCATTAAGCCGCTCTCTTTTCAGTGTTGTTGTAACCTGGACAGTCACTAAATGAAGTGATGTAAATCGACGGTGGTCGTAAGTGGGGGACTGGCTGCATTCCCAGTTTAACGTTCTGTGCAGAGCGACATTGAGTAGCGAGGTGATGCTTGACTTCAATTTTGCAAATCCAAAGAAGGGTCAAAGTGCTTAAGGGTGCTCTGGCTTTGCCTGTCACAGTGTGTGAATTGTCGCTTATGGCACCCATGTCCTTTCCAACAAAAGCAGAGGTAGCCGTTCCGTTGTTTGTGTCTCAAAGTGGCCTCTGTCTGCAGTGAATGGGGGTGTCACAATCTTGTTCGCACCCTGCTTCCTGGCACGGGAGAGTTTGGGCAGGGGAGGAGGATTAAAAAAAAGAAACTGATTTGCAGAAAGGAGGAGACAAAGGCCCACTTAAAGGATGCTTTGTTTGTCTTTCTTTCAAAGCAGCTGGGAGAACCGGTGGCCTTGCTTCTGGCCTCCGCCTGAGCCGAAGAATGGACTACAGTCCGCTCAGAGCTAGCCTCTGCTCATCTCATGACATCTCTGCTAGCCAGGGGCATCTGCGGCCTCACCCACGGAGCTGGCTTGTCTTTGGCACGTGAGGTCAAAGGGTGGCAAGCTTTCTCTGTGCTGCAGACGTGGAGCTCTCCCCACATCCCAGAAATGCAAGGTTAAAGGAGAATATTTTCCCTAAAGGAAAATAGCTTAGTATAAAGTGAGAGCAAATCCCATTCCTCTACTAGCATTGATGATGTTATCTAGTTCAGTAATGAAATGTCTGCAAGAAAACAACTAAGCTCAGAGAGCACCAAAGACCCCATGGTTCTCCTCCTCCTCCTCCTCCTCCTCCTCCTCCTCCTCCTCCTCCTCCTCCTCCTCCTCCTCCTCCTCCTCCTCTTCCAACTCCACTCCCTTCTAGTACTGATGATGTTCCCTAGTTTGGTAATGAAATGTCTGCAAGAAAACTGTCAAACTCAGAGAGCATCAAGGACCCCACCATCCTCCTCCTCCTTCTCCTCCATCTCCTCCTCTTCCTCCTCCTCCTCCACAAACCCCATTCTCTTCTGGTGCTGATGATATTCCCTAGTTCGGTAATAAAACATCTGCAAGAAAACCACCAAGCTCCGAGAGCACCAAGGACCCTTCTGAGGTTAATTTTCCATGGAGCTGTGGGTTTCTCCAGAAATCAAACACTGCTTCATGCTTAGCTGCAGCTCAGCTAAAACCAAAAAAACCCCAAATTGGTCTGCTGTTGTTTCGTAAAGGTAGCCACCCACCATCAATCCTAACATTGGAAGGGAAAACCCCTAGGAAGGGAACACACCCCTTCCGATGCACAGGCGGGAACGGTGCTCTGAAATGCAATTCAATAATCCAAAATATAATGAAAGGCGGGAAAAAAATCACAGGCTTGGCACACCGAGGAGGTGAGATTTGCTGCTGCTGTTTAAACCAGTCTCAGCTGGGCTTTTTATTTATTTGTTTGTTTTGCACAGGGAGGAAGAAATCCAAATTTCAGAGCTTTAAGGACTTCTTTGCCAAGAAGAAGAAGAGCAAAGATCTCCCGTCCTCCACGGAGGAGACCAAACGAAAGCCGAGCCAGGCCAACAGCGATGGCGGCTCTCCTCAACTGGAGTCCATCTTGCTGCCTTCGCCCTTGGAAAATGAGTGAGTTCTCCTGCCCGTCTTGTGTCAACAAGCCGGTCCGCTTGTCCCCAACAGCAAGGAAAAACTCTTCTGTCGCTCAAGTTGGTGCACAAACAAATCTCAGCGCTGGGCTGGAATTCCAGGAATTTCCTCTTTGTCATTTGCAGCGTTGCCTCCTGACAGTTTGAGTGGTGAAACCTTTTCCCCTCGGGATGGTTTCGCTTGCAGAAATGCAAAAGAGAGGAAGTCGGACTGCCCCTTTCCTGGAAACCCATCCAGACGGGGCTAATTAGTGGTGTGGGGTTGGCTTAAATGTTTACATGTGTGTGTGTGTGTGTGTGTATTGAAAGCCAGATTTGCTTAACGACTGTGTGGTTCGCTTAAAGACCATCAAAAAAAAAGAGTCTTAACATTTGCTTTCTCCTTTCAAGTGGCAACCTTTGAAAAGTTTATTTATTTCAACTTTCAGGTCCAATAGTAGCGTGGGAGACCAAGCCTTAATGCACGACAGCCAGTTTCCTTCCGAAGCGTTGTGTGATGTGGTTGGGGAAACATCCTTGCAGGAAAATTTCCCTGAGAAGGTGAAAAAATTCGAGGTGAAAAGGACTCCTTGGGAATCTTAATTCCACTGGTGCCTGAAGCAATTTGGGCATAAAAACACAAGAGTCAGAAACACTCCTGAACGTTTGCATTCATAAAAGGCAGTGACTGTTCTAAACTTACACAATTCTTGAATTTCAGCCTTGGCTGTGGCAGTAGGACAAGCCCAAATTATATGAGTTAAACGTTTCCATTTTTGAACTGCAGTTTCCAACAACAAGGTGATTGCAATAAGAGGTCAAACTCTTCTAAGGGAGTTGTATTTCCAGGAATAATTTTCTTCCAAAACTGATAGTCTTTAAATATCTTGACTTTGGACCTGCTCAGCCCAACTTACCCATAAACAATAGAAACAAGTTTATTTGCTTTTTTTTTTTAAAACTTCTTTTATTGTGATTTTTTAAATTATCTCCACCTTCTACACTTTCTGTTGCAGCAAAGTCTCTGCATTGAGTCTCCACTTGTAATGACCACCGGCAAAAGGATGGATGGGGTGGTCATTGTTTCAGAAGATGGTCGTTTGCCCAGAAGCCTTCTGGAAATCTCCACCGTCCATGACATTCTGGTATCTTCTACAACTCAGGTATGCGCCTGGTGAAATTTCCTAGCAGAGTGGTATTTGTCTGAAATGGTTTTAAGGTTTCCTGCCTGAGCAGGGGTTTGGACTAGAAGACCTCTAAGGTCCCTTCCAACTCAAGCTGCCAAGATTACAAAATACTCTTCTGCAGGATTCAGCCCCCTATTGATAATTGATCGTGTAGTTTTAAAAGCTCTTCAGATTCTGGGACTCAGCACAGTTCCTGAAAGGGGTTTACGCAATCTCTTTCCCTTAAGCTGAACAGGATGTATACCGTTTTGATAGATCCCCTAAAATCCTGCGTGTCTTATTTGTCTTAAATTTCCTCCTCTCTCACACTGTCTATCTGCAGACTTCCGACCCTCTCCAGCTCTGCAGCTCTTTGAGTTTAGATGAGACAGACGGCAAAGCCAATCAGGTAAGTATCTAATCAGGTAAATCCAAGTAGTCTCGGCTCAGGACCATAATTGAGTTCCAGAATTTACGCGGCTAAGTGAGAAATTTATTACAATGAGTTTTGTCCCTGTAGTCCAGGGGTAGGCAACCTTGGCTCTTTTAAGACTCGTGGACTTCAACTCCCAGAATTCCTGAGCCAGCATGGCTCAGCCTGGAAACCTCTCCCTTTCCCCTCAGCATGGCTGACTCAGGAATTCTGGGAGTTGAAGTCCACGAGTCATAAAAGAGCCAAGGTTGCGTACCCCTGCTGTAGTCGGATGATCAAAATTCAGACGCTGGGCAACTGACTCCTAATTACGACGGTCGCAGTCTCCGGTGGTCACGTGATCCTCTTCTGCGACCTTCTGACAAGCAAAGCCAGTGGGGAGGGCAGGTTCACTTAACAACGGAGAGGGCTAAATTATCAGCTGCAGTGGCAAGCAAAGGCATAAAATGGGGCAAACTCACTTAGCAAAGGTTTCACTTAGCAAACTAATTTTTGGGCTCGCTGGTGGTGGTAACTCGAGGGCCACCTGCGTTAGGAGCAAGAAGAAACATGCTAGCAAAAAAGAAAAAAATATATAAACGTTTAAAAGGAGGGTATTTGGAACGCAGACAGGAGCTGAAGCACCATGTCGTGTCTGCTTCCGTAGGTTGCTTCAGGGTCTCCTCCTAAGCATCGCAGCAACTCACTTCCTCTGGGGTGTCCTGCCTCGCCCCACGGCCAGGCACTTCTGGTTGATTTCAACACCCCGGCTTCTCCCCTAGGCTGCCTGGATACCTCGGCAGCCAAGCACAGAATTGCGATGAACCCCCGAAAGCAGAAGGGGGCTGTGAAGAAGAGTCGCCATTTTCTTGTGAGTAGCTGCTATTCGACAAGGTCCTTTGGGGAAAGAGAGAGAGAGAGAGAAAGAGAGAGAGAGAGAGAGAGAGAGAGAGAGAGAGAGAGTGTTGCAGAGTTACAGGTTGCTGGAATTGGGTATGTCTAGTTTAATGAAGAGAAGGACGAGGAGGGACATAATAGCAGTCTTCCAATATCTCAGGGGCTGCCACAAAGAAGAGAGAGTCAAGCTATTCTCCAAAGCACCTGAAGGCAGGACAAGAAGCAACGGATGAAAACTAGTCAAGGAGAGAAGCAACCTAGAACTAAGGAGACACTTCCTGACAGTGAGAACAATTAACCAATGGAACAGCTTGGCACCAGAAATTGTGAATGCTCAAAGACTGGAAGTTTTAAAGAAGAGATTGGACAACCATTTGTCTGAAAGGTTTCCTGCCTGAACAAGGGGTTGGACTAGAAGACCTTCAAGGTCCCATCCAACTCTTGTTATTCTGTAATAAAACTGATCATAAGTCACTTTTTTCAGTGCCATTGTAACTTTGAATTGTCACTCAATAAACTGTTGTCAGTTGAGGATTAGATAATAATAATAATATGGTCAGTTTTATAACAGAATAACAGAATTGGAAGGGACCTTGGAGGTCTTTCAGTCCAACCCTCTGCTCAGGCAGGAAACCCTACCTACCATTTCAGACAAATGGTTGTCCAGTCTCTTCTTAAAACCCCCCAATGATGAAGCAGCCACAAGTTCTGGAGGCAAGCTGTTCCACTGGTGAATTGTTCTCACTGTTGGGAAATTTCTCCTTAGTTCTCTCCTTGATTAGTTTCTTTCTGCTGCTTCTTGTCTTCCCTTCTCTGGGGCTTCTTTGAGGCACTTCCTTTTCACGCTTACGACCATTGTAGCATCCCCATGGTCATGTGATCAAATTCAGACATTTGTCAACTGACTCAGATTTATGACAGTTGCAGCGTCCCGGGTGTGTGTGTGTGTCACGTGATCCCCTTTTGTGAGGTTCTGACAGGCAAAGTCAACGGGGAAGCCAGATTCACTTAACAACCGTGTCACTAATTTAACAACTGCAGCGATTCACTTAACAAGGCTGGCAAGAAAAATGGGGCAAAATGGGGCAAAATTCTCGTAACCCGTGTCTCGCTTAGCGACAGAAATCTGGGAGCTCAGTTTTATTTGATTTATTTATCCCTTCACTTTGTTTGCTGCTCATCACGCTGCAAGGCAAACTCTGTATACAAGTAGTCTTATGACCAGAACTGAGCCTGGAATTATGGGTTGGTAAGTTGTACCGGTCACTAAGCAGGTCACCTCTGTCATGTCAGGTGGAGCAGATGTTGGAAGAACAAGAACCTCTGGAGCCTGAGGAAGAAGAAAGAAGGCCCTCCAAACTCCTGGAAGAAGCTGCTGGTCAGAGAGAAGTTTGGGAAGGTAAAGCCACCGGTGCAGGAAATCAGGAGGCAGGATAGCGTTCAACACAAATTGACCCCGAGAAGAGTCAATGGACTCCAAGGGGAGAGAGGGGCTGGACACAGACCTCTTTTGGGGCCGTAGGGACTCTAGACTGATGACGCACTTGACCCCACCCTCTTGCTCAGCTTGGTCATCTCCTACAACCAGTAAGTGGTAGATATTTCTGGAGGCAACAGAGAGCTTTCTGTATTGAGGTTTGAAGGCTGGAAACTGATGATGATGATGGAGTTGATGGTGATGGTGGAGATGATGGTGATGATGATGGAGATGATGGTGATAATGATGATGGTGATGGAGATGGTAGTGATGATGGTGATGATGATGGAGATGATGATGGTGATAATGATGATGGTGATGGAGATGGTGGTGATAATGGTGATAATAGTGATGATGGTGATGACGATGGAGATGATGGCGATGGTCATGATGTTATCCATTCAGTCATATCTGACTCTTGGCGATTCTCTGGGCCAGGTCTCTCCATATCTTCCGATCTGGCACTATTTCTTTGAGTTGTTCTATGTTCTGACCGGTGTCCAGCCATGGTCTTCTGGTTTCCTTTTACCACAAATTCTTCCCAACATAATTGCTTTCTCCAGTGTTTCCCCCCTGCATGACATGGCCAAAATAAACGAGGCACAGTTTTGTAATTTTTGGAAACCATCCCCTTCTCTTATCTTCATTTTTCTTATCTAGGCTTGGTGAGCCACCATGTGGTGAAGGGAAACGAAGACGGGACTGACGATGCGTCATCTGGGACCAGAACCTCTGAAGCTTTGCCTTCTTCCAGCACTGGCCTGCAGGAAGATGAAATGTGTGTCTTGATATCAGACGCCCAGAACTTGCCAGAGACTCAGCTCCAGTCGAGCTCCACCGTGCCCTGTCCAGATGTACCAGCCTCTTTCATCAAAGGCAGAGAAACAGAGAAGAAGGACCATGAGGAGAAGAAAGGAACTTGTCCTCCCACAGATGATCAAAAAGCACAAAGTGGTCCAGAAGTCACAGAAAACTCGAAATCTTTCCACTTGAAGACCAAAGCCACTGGACTCCATAATACACCACTTTCTGCTTTGCCAAAGAGTAAAGTAGGGAAAGAACCTATAGCAGAAGATATCCAGATAGCTTGCTCACAACGAACAGATGTCCGAGCAAATGTTTCTAAACCTGCCAGGAACCGACACAGAGCATGCGATAGATCTGTCTGTGGAGACAGTTCTACTTCTCTGAAGGCCGATCCCATGCTGTATGTTCCACAGCTTTCTTCATCTGCTCTGAAGGCTTCCTCAGATGCCCCGAAGGACTTCATGCACAAGCACAAGCACACTGTCAATGAAGATGGAAGAGGGCCTTCAGATATGGAACTTCAGCCTTCTCAAGGCCCTGGGAAGCCGATAGATTCTTTACAGGGCACGTTGTCCACTCTGGAGGTTGACCCTGACAGACCTGTGCTTCTGAATGTAGCAGACAAGAAACCTTGTCTCCAACCTGAGGACAGCACTGTTCGAGAATTGGGGAGTCTTTCTTCCGGAAGACCGTCCACCGTGGGATCTACTGAGGTTGCTTCCAAAACGTGCCCTCCTGTCAGCACTCCTGGAGTTCCGTTGGGAAACGTCATAACCACGGAAGAAAGCAAAGCTACGGAGATGAACAAGACCCAGGCAAAGTCCTCCTCTGCAAAGCCAGTCAGATTCACCATCGCTCCAGCCTGGCAGAGATCTCTCTCAGGGGGTTCAAGCTCGGTGGACAATTCCTGCCCTCGAAATTCTCCAACATCTCCCGTAAAACCAGAATTGTTTGAAAGACTTTCTCCACTCGATGCAGGGTCCCAAATAATAAACCCCCCTGAAAGACCTGACCGGGCTAATAGAAACACGGGGGTCCACTTGAATTCTTCCCCTGAGGAAGTGCAGAACTCCCAAAGCCCATTTGGAGTGAAGCTCAGGAGGACCTCATCTTTGCTCAAGTACCAAACAGAACATCACTGGGACCCTCCCAAGCTGGTTCCATTGGCAGTTTCTTCACCATCCTCGATAAAAATTGAAGCCAAGGCACCAGGTTCTGGAGCCTCCCTTCAAAATCGTACTGATGGTACTAAGGGTTTACTCGCCAACTCTGGCAAGCAAGACAAAAACCTGCTTGGGACCAAACCTGGAGAAGGAGGCACCGAGCTGCAAGCAAGCAAACCTTCAGGTATTTCTCTTATCGAGATAGGAGAAGGTCAACCAAGAAGGTGGACCAAACTCAAGCAACCGATGCTGTGGAGGTCACCACTAAGCTATGCAACTTTCACTATTAACAGCTGTAGTAACAGAATTGTGCCAATCTGAATGTGTTCTTCCTTCCCTCCCTTTTTTCTCTGGGTGAAGGGGAATTTCCTCTACTTATACTGTAAGTTGCTATACAGTGGGAAATTGATGGGTGTTGTAGTAGAGCTTAGCTGGAGGTCTCCATTCTGCAGAAGGCCTCAGGTGTGAAGAATCAGCAGCATGCGTTATTTTCCAGTTAGGGTGATTAATTGCTCACGCCTATACACAAGAATCTAGTCAACTAATGGTCAGCACTAAGCTGGTGCTAGATAACGAGAACAGAATTCAAGAGGGTTTGAACTTGGACCGATTATGGGAACGTAATGACTCCAAGCTTCTTCCTCTCTTGACTCCGCTCCCGGGCTCTGCCTCTCCTCCACCTCCATCAGGTTGCTTATCATGCTAAAACTCAACCTCTCCACAGTTTTAACAGAACAACAGAGTTGGAAGGGACCTTGGGGGGGGGGTCTTCTCCTCCAACTCTCTGCTCAAGTGGCTATCCAGTCTCTTCTTAAAAGCCTCTAGTGTTGGAGCACCCACAACTTCTGGAGGCAAGCTGTTCCACTGGTTAATTGTTAGGAAATGTCCCCTTAGGTCTAGGTTGGTTCTCTCCTTGGTTCGTTTCCATCCGTTGCTGCTTCTTGCCTTGCCTTCTGGTGCTTTGGAGAATAGGTTCCCGCAGTGTTTCCTTCAAAGTTGAGAAAACAACTGAGGATATTTTGATTTTAAAAAATTGTTTGCACCAAAAACTCCTGCTTGGCTGTGCCTAACAGGAGAGCCTGCTCCACTAGCAAGGTGAGGAGCCAGAGCACAGGTAGGTCACAGTGGAGAAGACAAATCTGAAATGTGACGCTGTATTTCTACCCCTTTCTCTTCTAGAACAAACCCCCCCAGTGTTTTCGGCAAGCCCCTCTGTTCAGCCATCTTGGATCTCCCTGGCAAAACAGAAACAGCAAGGATTCCAGGATGATGCTGTGGCCAAGGGGCAGAAAAAGAGAGAGGAAGCGGTAGCCAAAACGGGAAAAGAGGGGACAACACCTACAAGCGCATCTCGCCTCCAAAAGGTAGACCCAGAAGAATATTGGAGCAATACATTCTGAATCTGTCAGTGTGGAATGTTAGGGGAATAACGGGGTCCTCAACTTACAATAGTTTGTTTAGTGACCCTTCAAAGTTACAGTGGCATAGAAAACAGGGACTTATGACCTTTTTTTTTCACATTTATGACCGTTGCAGCATCCCCACGGCCCCAGGGTCAAAATTCGGACGCTTGGCAACCGACTCATATTTATGATGGTCGCAGTGTCCCTGGGTCATGTCATCCCCTTTGAATAGCAAAGTCAATGGGGGAAGACAGACTCACAACCGTGTGGCTATCTTAACAGCTGCAGTGATTCACCTAACCCCTGGGGCGAGAAAGGTCGTAAAACGGGGCCAAACTCAGTTAACGACTGTCTGACGTAGCAATAGGAATTTTGGACTCAGTTGTGGCCGTATGTCAAGGACTGTCTATATTGCCAGCTGCCTCAGCTCAAGGGCGGATGTAGCCCATCGGCGTGAGCATTCAGAAAAACCCTCCCACGTCCTCTTGAACAATCTTTTAAGTTTTAAATGTAGTGCTTTTTTTTAAACTTTATAAAATGTAATGTTTTTAGTTTTTTTAAAACAAGATTGCGTTTTTCTTTTTCTTTTTTCTTTACAGCAAGTAAGCCTGACTAGCGATGGTTCACCCAAGAAAAGTATCCCTTATCAAAATGTGTGTCTACTGGAGAATAAAGTAGCGTTGAAGTCAGCGCCGTTGGCTGCCAAAGGTAATAACAGAGTTGGAAGGGACCTTGGCTAAAACATATAAGGAACGGTTGCTGGAATTGGGGATGTCTAGTTTAACGAAGAGAAGGACGAGGGGGGAGGGGGACATGACAGCAGTGTTCCAATATCTCAGGGGCTGCCCCAAAGAAGAGGGAGTCAAGCTGTTCTCCAGAGCACCTGAAGGCAAGACAAGAAATGATGGAAACTAATCAAGGAGAGAAGCAACCTAGAACTAAGGAGAAACTTCCTGACAGTTAGAACAATTAACCAGTGGAACCACCTGCCTCCAGAAGCGGTGAATGCTCCAACACTGGAAGTTTTTAAGAAGAGACTGGACAGCCATTTGTCCGAAATGGTGTAGGGTTTCCTGCCTGAGCAGGGGGTTGGACTCGATGATCTCCAAGATCCCTTCCAACTTTATTATTATTATTATTATAACCCCTTGCTCAAGCAGGAGACTTTATACCATTCCAGACAAATGATTGTCTAGTCTCTTCTTAAAAACCTCCAGTGATGGAGCACTCACGACTTCTGAAGGGAAGCTTTTCCCCTGGTTAATTGTTCTCACTCTTAGGAAATTTCTCCTTACTTGCAGCCAGGGGTTGGACTAGAAGACCTCTAAGGTCCCCTTTGACTCTTATTCTGTATTCTTTTAAGGAAAACCAAAATGCCCATCTTCCAATCATCCAGATCATGGGTTGTCCCAAAGGTACTTTTGGGCAATTGGACATTCTTGGGTTTTTTTTTTCTTTGAAAACATTTCGCTTCTCCTCCAAGAAGCTTCTGAAGAACTAAAGAGCTGAAGAAGCTCCTCGGATGAGAAGCGAAACGTTTTCAAAGAAAAAAAAAAAGCTAAAAAAAAAAAAAAAGGCAAGTTGCCTTTGTGAACAAAAGCACCTTTGGGAAAAGTAAAAATGGTATGATTCTGTTTAAGCCTCCAGATCTTCTTAATGTCCTGTGTTGTTTTTCAGAAGGATTTGCCAGAATCCTCCCCCAGGCAGGTCCTCGGATGGAAAAGGACACCAGATTGCCACCCATCCTTCCTGTGGCCTCCTGCAGCTCCACCAAACCTCCTTGGCTGTCCCTGGCTAAGAAAAAAGCCAAAGCATGGAGCGAAATGCCTCAAGCGGTTCAATAGCAAATGACAAAAAAAAATTCTTCTCACACTCTGCTGCCAGTATTAGTGTTAGCCGCCGGAAGTTGACCGTGACCGTATTTCTAGACGTCTTGAGCCATTGAAGAGTTGATCCAGGAGGAAACAAGATTGGCGCTTCTGCCAAAATGGGTGGCTTGGCACAACCACCCAAGGTCATTTCCATGCTTGCTGTCTGCAGGGCTACAATCCAGGTGGGTGAGCCTAGCCTACTTAACTCCTGAAGGACCAAAACTTCTGCTGAGATGATCGGGGTTTGCCCGAAGTAGCTTCTGCTGGAATTTCTGCCCTTCTTACAGCCTGTTGGGATGTAGAAGATCGAGGCCAATGTTCTTCAGACTTGGCTACTTGAAGATGTTGGCTTGAAGTCCCTCAGCCCCCCATTGTCAGGCTACCAAGTTTGACAAACCCTGACAAATGTAGATCCTGGCTTGTAGTTCTCCAACGGTGAAGATATTCACCTCTGTTTCTGCCCCCGTCAGTAATTCTCTTATTCTAGGTGGATTTTTTGAAGCTACCGATCGCGGTGTCGATTCTGGAATTAACTCTTCCTTCTTGCAATTAACCTGTTTCCATCCTACTCCGACGTATTGCCCTAACTTCTCTTTTTGCTCTGTAAAAGAGGTCAGAAAAAGCAATACGTCCTTTTCTTTTCGTCTTGTTACTCATGGTTTCTTTTTTATGTCAATAAATAGCTTTTAAATATAAGGTAAGTAGATGTTTTCGTAATTCTTGTTTTTCTGGATCTCTCCTCCCCCGTAGGTTGACCCTCCTCTTCTTTATGGCAGCCCCCCAAATATTGGAACAATGCTATGTCACCCCTAGTCCTTTTCACTAGACTAATAGACATAGACCTTGATAATCCTTGATAATTACAAAAAAGATGTTGAGAGTTTGGAAAAAATTCAAAGAGCAATTAAGATGATCAGGGACCTGGAGGCTAAAATATACAAAGAACAATTGCGGGACTTGGGTTTGGCTAGTCTAAAAAAAAAGAAGGAACAGGGGAGACATGATAGCAGTGTTCCAATATTTGAGGGGCTGCCACAAAGAAGAGGGGTCAAATTATTCTCCAAAGCACCAGAGGGAAGGACAAGAAACAATGGTTGGAAATTGATCAAAGAGAGAAACAACCTGGAATTAAGGAGAAACTTCCTGACAGTGTGGACAATCGACCAGTGGAACAGCTTGCCACGAGAAATGGCGGTCGCTCCATCACTGGAGATTTTTAACAAGAGACTAGACAATCAGCTGTCTGAGATGGTATAGGTTCTCCTGCTTGAGCAGGGGGCTGGACTAGAAGACCTCCAAGGTCCCTTCCAGCTCTATTCTATTCTATTCTCTTTTTTGGTTCACCAGCAGAGGGCAGAGAGAACTTTATAAAAGAGAACTGCCAAGAAGAGGATTTAAACGGCTTTCCCAATCTCCCATCCGGAGCAAGAGAAATCCTGCCGGACTGGTGCAAATGTATTGTGTGGCCCTAATCCAGACCACTGAATTAAAGCAGAAATCCTACTTCATGATTTTTGAGGAGGCATTGCAACTTAGCGTACTCTTGTGAAGTTTTTTTTTTCCTCTTGGAAACAGTTCTCTTCAAATTAATTTTTATTGCAGTTTTTATTGCTATTTTTGCCCATTCTTAGTTTGCATTTTAATTTTTGGAGAATCAGACTAAAACGATCGACTTGGTTGGCCACAGAGAGCAGGGAGATTCCCGTTCATCACCAAAAATGTTTTTTTGTGGCAATACAACCTCAATATAGCCTTGAAAGTTTTTAATATATTTAAATAGGTTAAATACTTAAATCTATTTAAATAAATATATTTAAAAGCTAGGTGAGGAAGTGTGACAGGCCCCAGGAGAGGGCCTGCCATAATTCCTCAGCCACCAAACCTTTTAAATATATATTTTATTTAAAAAAAAGATGGGGAGGGGCAGCTGGAAGCTTGCAAAATGCTGGGACTCCTAATTTTTAGTTTTCAAAAGTGCCTTCAAATGGATCTCCCCATATTTTGATAAAGAGATTAAAAAGGATAGGAGGCTGCATCAAGGACTCCATAGATGTTACTCCTGCCCACGAATTTCAACCACTTTGCAAACTGTCCTCAGAAATATACCCCCCCCCCTCTGACCCCAGGCCCCTCCTTTAACACATCTACAACTCCAGCAAAAAATAAAACAAACTCAGGCACAATCTCATTTGCTAATACGTGGTGCTCAAGTGCAAAAAGACAGTCCTGTTAATATTTGTAATCTTCTGTTTTGGGTTTCATTTTGTTTTCCCAAAGGGAGAGGGCAGAATCTCTGTGGAAGATGCACCTGGACCCAAATAAGGCTCATGTTGGTTTTATGTGAAGAAGGAAGGCAACATTAGCAAGTTGAATTAAACCAAAGCCGACAGGGACCTGGTGAGGCGGGATGGGGGGGCGGGGAGAGGCACTTTAGCATCCCTGTGGTCGGTTATAAAGGCGAATAAATGTGGGGGTATTGCCGTGGTCGTAACTTCAAAACTGGGTCATAAGCAGTGGTGGGATTCAGCCAGTTCGCACCACTTCGGCAGAACCAGTAGCTATTTTTTTGTTGCCCAGGCCCAGAATGGACTTCCGGAAGTGGCATCCACACAGAAAACTGGTTATTCACATATCTGAATCCCACCACTGGTCATAAGTAGCTTTTGATGGTCCAAGGTATCTTCAAACTGTCACTAAAGTGACTGTTGTATAGTCAGGACTACCTGCAACCACCACTATATATTGTTTACACGCATGCACATACACACAGAGAAACAGTTCACAATTCTAAAAGCACTCAGGAATAAGCATCATTAAATGCAATGGGATTTACTTTGGAGTAAACACACATAGCCTCTTGCATTTTACAACTGAAAAAAAAAACCCCTCTGCAAAACCAAAATCCAAGCAGAAACATCGGTGTGACCAAAATTATATAGTTATTCCCGAATCCTTCAGGAAGGTTTCAGCAATCCATTGCTGCTGTTAAAATAATTCAGACATTGTAGAAGACAGTCAGTTTAGTCTATGGTAACAAAATAAAAAGTCAAGAAGAATCTAGTGCCTCCTCCCCCTCATTTTTTTTAGACCGGCACTTTTTATTAAAAATATATCTGCTTTGGAAAAGCTCGTCCCTTTTTAGGAAGTTTTATTAAGCTGGAGAAGGGGCTACTAGAGTTTTTCCTGATTTGTGAATATTCTAGCTTCACATTAACTGGATTTATTTTAATGCAACAGTTCTAAATAAAGATTAAATTAAATAATAATCCTTGACTTAAGGGACGCTGGAACAAATGAACTCATGTCTGCTTTGTCCAATTCTAATATAGTATTCAGACAGGCGCCTATATGAACGTAGGAACTTTGATTTAAAGGCAGCTGCTGAAAAAGGAACTCCCAAACAAAAACAAAAAAAAAGTTTGCTGGAAGAGGAGATTCATAGCATTCCCTGGGAATTCCAAGAAAACCTTGCTTGGAATTGTCCTCCTGAGGTCTCCTATGGAACATTTCGTACTGTTTCTGCTTTGCAGATCCAGGCTGGGACCAGCTGAATGATTACTGCAGCTTAGAGAGAGAGGACTTCTTTTGTTTTCCATTCAAGAGGTGGGAAAAACTTCAAGTCCTGAGAATTTAAGGCCCTCCGTAAAGTTTGTCTGTCTTCGGCACAATCGGCCAACAATTGGAAGTTGCGCGCGTGTGTGTGTGTGTGTGTGTGTGTGTGTGTGTGAGAGAGAGAGAGAGAGAGAGAGAGAGACAGTGTGAGAGAGTTAGAGAAGGCCTCGGATGCAAGGGAATTCACCTCAGTCACTTTGACTGAGTGAGGAAGAGGAAGGTTAAAATGCTCCTGATGCCTTTTAGACGAGCTTTCAAGGATGTCATCGCTAGGAAAGGAAGTTGAGCTTTGTTCTCCAGAGGAAGGACGGCTAGTATCCACCAGCACCAAGCCGGACCATCGGGGTTCACCTGCAATGAAAAGGCACATCTGCAGCAAATCTGTAGGAGATGGCCAGGCTGAGCTGGAAGGATGGGTCAAATGCGTCATCAGTCATGAGTCCCTGTGTGCCCACAAGAGATTTAACTCCAGCCCACCTTGAATGCCTTTCTGTATTTTATATTTTGATAAACTGATATAAAAAATATGAATGAGATCAAATTTGGATCAACTGCCAAGGGGATGAACTTAGCTGATTATTTCACTGAGTATTTTTTATATCCCAATACACTATATTGTTCTTTCTTTTTTTATTTGCTGTGGCCACTGGCGTAACCAGTAAGTTAAACTAAACCGTGATTTAAAAAAAACCCAAGGATATCTAGAGGAAATTGGCTTTACAACTTAAAAAAATGAGTCATCTTCTCAGTTGAGGATGGAGGTGTGCCTTCCCCTGCTTGCTGGTACCTGTGGGTCTGGTTCTTTAATAGGCATTGGGCCGAAATGATGGATGATACGAATCTTGAGTGAAGATTTCAGAGTGTTGAACCAGGTGCGGGCCTGATCGTACACGGCGCTGTGGAGGACAGCCAGGTGTTCAGAGGCCTCTCCGTGGACCTAATATGGGCACAGAACACAGCAAGAGTTTAGGCTGAATCTGGAGACGCAGGAGAAGGGAGAGAAAGACTTTTGTCAGGCAGGTGCAGGGAAAAGCAACAAAGATGTTTAGGGGACTGAGGGCTAAAACATACAAACAATGGTTGCTGGAATTGGGTATGTCTAGTTTAATGAAAAGAAGGGCTTGGGGTGACATGATAGCAGTCTTCCAATATCTCAGGGGTTGCCACAAAGAAGAGGGAGTCAAGCTAGTCTCCAAAGCCCCTGAAGGCAGGACAAAAAGCAGTGGATGGAAACTAACCAAAGAAAGAAGCAATCTAGAACTAAGCAGAAATTTCCTGATAGTCAGAACAATTAATCAGTGGAACAACTTGCTTCCAGAAACTATGAATGCTCTAACACTGGAAGTTTTTAAGAAGAGACTGGACAGCCATTTGTCTGAAATGGTATAGGGTTTCCTCCCTGAGCAGGGGATTGGACTAGAAAACCTCCAAGGTCCCTTCCAACTCATTCTACTCCACTCCACTCATTCTGGATGATCACAACAAGACGACAATGCTTAGCCAGGATTTGGCTGCTCTACCTTCTAAGGTTATTGCTCCTTCCCACTCACCCCCTGCAAAAACAGATAGTCCTCGACTTACAACAGTTCATTTAGTGACCATTCAAAATTACAACGGTGTTGAAAAATGTGACATGATCCTTTTTTCCACAGTTGGCTGCATCCCTGGGGTCACGTGATCAAAATTTCAGATGCTTGGCAAACTGGTTTATATTTATAACCGCGGTGGCTTCCCAACATGTTTCCCCTTTTACGACTTTCCAAGGAGTAAACTCAAAGGGGGAAGCCAGATTCACTTCACAACCGGGTTCGTGACTTAACCCACTGCCATGATTCACTTAATGATGGTGGTCGCAAAATGGAGCAAAACTTGCTTAATAAAGGTCTCACTTAGCCACAGAAATTTTGGATAGCTCAATTGTGGCCGTAAGACGAGGACTACCTGTTTTGGCCAAACCTTAGAAAAGTCTTTGGGGAGTGGGGGGAGGATACACCTTTGAGTGCCTCTTAAAGCTACGTTAGACAGGTGAGCCTGCCCACTTTCGCCTTTGCAGGTGGGGACCCACCTTCTTGTCCTCAATGTATTCAATGTCTGCTGTGTTGTAGCCATCACACTTGCTGTGCCGTATCACCTTAAACCGCCTCTTGCCTATGCTGTCCACCACGGACCGCCCGTCCTTGAAGACCTCCACGTTCCTGATCTCTAGGATACAGCCGTAATCTGCAAACCTGTTTCCCAGAATAACGGAAGCAAAGAAAACAGGATGAATCTGGGATCTGTAGCTCATCTTAAGCCAGGCGTCTTGTTCTGGGCTTCAAGGGCTGTCTAAACAAAGGCGACACGTGGCTGAGTTAGGTGTGAGCTCTTCAATCCTCTAAGGGTATGAGATGGATGACCATATGTGAGGAGGAGGAGGAGGAAAGATTAAATAATGAAATCTCTACCTGGAGAAACCAGGAGATGGTGAGTTCCAGTTCTGCCTTATGCATGAAAGGCAGCTGGGTGACTTTGGGCCAATCTCCAGGAGACCATGAATTCTAGTCCCACCTCAGCTGGATAACTTTGGGCCAATCACCAGGAGACTGTGAATTCTAGTCCCTCCTTAGCCATGAAAGGCAGCTGGGTGCCTTTGGACCAGTGGTTCTCAACCTGTGGGTCGGGACCCCATTTGGGGTCGAACGACCATTTCACGGGGGTCGCCAAACAATGCAGTCCGCCATTTTCCCCCCCTTTTTCTTAGCTGTGCTACTCCCTTTTATTCTATTGGTTTTTGAAAGCCAATAGAATAGACTCTCTTGAATAGAGTCTAATTCTATTGGCTTTCAAAAGCCAATAGGAATTGTCCAGGCTGTCTCTGCCCTGCTGAGCCCGCCAAAAGTCCCATCCTGCAAACAGTGCTGCACCCGTTGAGTAGTCCTTGACTTATGACCGGTTGGGGGTCGTGGCATTAAAAAGGTTGAGAACCACTGCTCTAAGGAGATTCTTGTGACACAGTTTGCAGACAAACTTGCTGATTTTCGTTATTCATAAGTGACTCCGGTTGCTTGCATCTGGCCCCTAAACATGAAACACGTGTCAGTTCTGATGTTCATCATAGGCTACTCACCCTTTGACGGGGTCTCTAATGCACATGCCAAACTGACGGGTGCCTGTCTCCATACATCTCCGAACCATCAGTCGGTAACAGGGCTCAAAAATATGCAGAGGGCAAGGAACGGTGGGGTAGGCCATCGTGCAGACAAATATGGGGACGTTCTTATTCAAACTGCGGTGACAAATTTTATATTAAACAAGTACCACACTTGCTTGCTTATTTAAAAAAAAAAACAGAAGAGAAAGATAACTCGTAAAGGATAAAATACTTATGTGTTCGTAGTTTTGTAAAACTCTTGCATAAGTAGGCTTTGCGTAAGTAATACGTTTCCTTCTAGCTAAGTGTCTCCCATTTTTTGCAATTTTAAGATGTCTGGATTTCAACTCCCAGAATTCCCCAGCCAGCAGGCTGGCTGGGGAATTCTGGGAGTTGAAGTCCTGACATCTTAAAACCGCCAAGGGTTGGGAAATACTGCTCTAGATTTTTTATTTTTTTGTATCGTGGAGAATCTGGTGAAGCCCACAAACCGCTTTTTTTAAAAAAAACCCCATACTAAATGCATAACACAAAATGGTGAAAGTTGTGCTGTTTTTTTTCCCACCCGAATTTACAGATTCCCTAAATTTTGTCCATTGAGTCTCAAGGGGGTCTATGGACTCTACTCTATGTAAACAACCACACCCACCCTATTCCTTGAAAGATAACTTAATTTGGCAGCTGAAGTTCACACTTCTGAAAGTCACTAATAGAAACACTATTTTAAGAGCTTCGAATATCAGAACATACCCTCAATACACAACAACCAAGCGCAAAGCAGAGTAGGAATAAATCAAAACACCTTTTATTACCCAAACTATTTTTAACCTAAGTCCTGCAGTCAAAATGATGTCAGCTCAAGCTGGGCTGCAAAATAATTTTTCTAATGATTACCGGACATGGAAAACTGGGGTGACCTACTTGGAAAATTCAGCCATTTCTTCCTCGTCAAGCTTTTTTCTTTCGGCAAGCTCCGCCGGAAGATACTTGGCGATTAATTCCTCCATCAACACCGTCTTGCGAAGTTTCTTCATGGCCAGGCACTGGAGGAGAAAAGAGACCTTTCAGAAAAAACAATGGGGGTCAACCGTATCTCGGGAGGGCCGATAAAGTAGGAGCCACCACTGAAAAGGCCCCTTTTTATGGTTCCATCTTTCTTCACTTGGCCAGACTAATGCTTGTAACCCTAAGCCCCGCTAGTTTAACAATGTTAATTTACCTCCAAGAGGTCTTCTTTGCACAAGGGGCACTCGGGGTTATGATCCAGGCATCGTTCAAGGCATCGTAGGCAAAAGGTGTGTCCACAGGGGGTGGTGACAGGTTCATAGAAGAGCCTGAGAGAGTCAGAAGATATCACAGCAGCTTCCATGGACTAGAAGAGCACCAAGGTTACTTCCAACTTGTTATTCATTGCACAAAAAAGACTATGCAACTACAACTCTTTGAGTGTAGTATTGCTTAGAATTGAACTGCTACTTCTGAGCTGGCCTGCCCATAGGGAAAAAAAAAATATCAAATACCTCATGCACAGGGAACATTCCAAATCAGCTGGATCCACACAATCAAAGGCAACACAATTTTCAGAACTGGATTCTTCTTGCTCATCACTTTGATCTACCAGAAAGGAATAAAGGAGAGGGGGAGAGAGAGAGAGAGAGAGTCAGTCAGTCAGACAGACAGACACCACGGTGTGATCATTAGGAAAAAAATTATGCAAATATCATTTTCTCTTGAGGCATCCAAACGGCAAACATGCAGCCATTCTAACACACATTTTGGTACTTTAGGGCAACAGATGTAATCTTGCAAATTTAACATTTATTTATTTATGAGACTTATATACCGCTTTAAGTGCAAGCACTCTCTAAGCGGTGTACACCAGTAAGCAATTTATATATATATTTACATTGCCCCCAACAATCTGGGTCCTCATTTTACCTACCCCGGAAGGATGGAAGACTGAGTCAACCTTGAGCCGGTGAGATTTGAACCGCTGACCTGCTGAACACAGTCAGCTAAAGTGGCCTGCAGTACTGCACTCTAACTGCTGCGCCACCTCAGCTCTTTTTTTAACATTAACTTCATTAAACTTCTGTTCATCATCCTGGATGAGAAGTGAAACGTTTTCCAGGAAAAAAAAACACCCAAGAAAGTCCAACTGCTTTTTGGAAAAGCATCTTTGGAACCACCAGGTTCTGGATGATGGAGAATCTCCAGAGACTTTTATGGAGTCGATTTCCTGGTCTGGTTTTACCTGGTGGATCTGACCATTGTTGAGCGTGGTTGCTTGTTAACACAGCTTACCCATTTTGGCCATTTTGGGAGGCAGATCCGAACCCGCAGCCACTTCAGTCTGGCGTTTTTGCTTCTGGGGTCTCTTCTTCCCAGCGACAGTCTCCATGGGGGAGACCACATCTCCGTTCTCATCCAGGCTTCCTTCCTGGCTAGGGAGGGGGTTTCCTGAGTTGTCACAGTTGGTCATGTTCTGGTCTTCACAGTACTTTTCCTGGTCCGTGTTCGCCTGTAACCGAAGATAAGGAGTCATCCATGATCTCTTTTGAGACTTTTCCTGGGCAACATTTGTGCTCCAGGTGCCACCAGCAGAGACCACGATGGCCTCTCATCTCACCTGGCCAACAGTGCCCACCTGAGTTTATCTGAGTTTATTGAACCAAAACTAGCTGCTTTTCAGTGTTGGACAAACGGACCTGTTTTCATTTGGCCAATTTTGCAGCGATCATTAAGCTAACTCATAGTTTGCTATGGACCGTTTTGTTGGGAGGTTTTTTTTTTGCCAGAAATCAGACTACATAAACCATGGTCATGTGACTGTGGGGTGCTGCAAACAGCCATAAATCCTGGCTGGTTGCCAAGCACCAAAATGCAGTCATGTAACCACATGGAGGGGGGTGTGCACCAATATTAGAACTTCAAAACCAGGTTGGCAGTCCAATTTCGGGGATCTGTCGTTAATTTAGAATGGTCACTAAGCAAGCGGCCGTGAGTTGAGGACTAGATGTTGACTCTGTTAAAAGCACTGGCGCTGGAGCTTCAAAATCAGGTTGCAAGTTCCTTTACGGGGATCTGGCGCAATTTAGAACGGTCACTAAGGAAGCAGACGTTAATGAGGACTAGCTGCAATCTGATCAGATGTTGACTCTTTTAAAATACCATCTATTTGCACATGCGGTGTTTGTGGGGTCAGCTTGCTTTGATGTCACAGCATCCTGCAATGTAGGTTAAGCCAAGCCGCAGCTTGGGACACGATGCCAGGGGTTGTTTTCAAGGTCAGAACGGGCCCTCCAAACCAAATGTTTTCTTGGCCCAAGCGATACGCCAAACCAGCCCCAACTTTAATCCTCTGGTATAAAGCATGATTGTATGTTCTGGCCTTCCAATACATCACCGCCTGACAGGCAGAGGTAACAGATGATTACAAAGGTATGAAAATCACAGGTTCTCTATCTCCTGCACTTATACAATCCGAATTCCAAGCTTTTTCGTAACACAGAGGCTGGAAAACGGTGACCTCAGAAAAGAGCTCTTAAAATGTTGTTTGTTTTTTTTTTTTGGCCAGTCCAGCAAATTGTCATTACTGTACAAAATAAGGTGGATTTTTTTTTTGAGTGGAAAAGAAGAGTAACCTCAAAGAGGCTGGCATTGCAATTCCTTGGCACAATGTCTTAAATTTGGTCTGGAGTCTCCCAGTTATAAGGTCTGGAAAGCCCCCAGAGCAAAGGAGATCCCTGTCCATGCTCAACAGCTGAAAAGAGCTGTTTTAAGAGCCTAACTTCATTTTCAACCCTTATCCATTGTCTCGGGGTGAAAGAGCAAAACCTGAATTCTGCGGCATTGTATCTGATCAGTCCAAGGAGACGCGTTACTGGCTGTCTCCAAGTCACTGCACTGTTGTGGCTTTGCCCAGTTGTGGCTTCACACTTGGCACATGAGCGGCCAAGACACAAGGCCACATAACGCTCTCTTGCTGATAACGTATCTACCCCTTTTTCCTTCAGCAGCTCAAAATGACCTTTAGTTTCAGTGGAATCTCTTTACAAAACCCGGAGATTATTGCTGGAAAGAGGTCCAGGTTTATTTCTCAACTCTATTATTTTTATAACTAAGTCAAGGTGGTGAGCACCCCTAATACTCCTTCTCTTCCTCTTTTTCCCACAACAACAACTCTGTGGGATGGGCTGAGACACAAGAACTGGCCCAAAGTCACTCAGTTGGCTTTCATGCTTAAGGCAAGACTAGAACTCACAGTCTCCTGGTGATTGGCCCAAAGTCACCCAGCTGGCTTTCTAGAATTTGAACTCAGCACAACAACATGGCAATTTTTGTTCAGAATCTTGCATGGGGAAAAAGTTGGGGGTCTCCAATTATAAGAATGAATCCCTCCCCTTTTATCACTATAGTTTGTTCCAGTTGGATTCCAACCTCGCCAGTCCCCAGTTTGCAAACTTCCATCAGGAATGCAGCCATATTTTAAAACTTTTAAAAATCCCAGTTGCTCATTGCCCCTTGCTTGTTTGCAAAAATAACTAGCAAGATACACTAACACAGGTACAAGGATGAACCAGGATTACATTTTGGTGAGGAAAAAGAAGATAACCCACACAACTAAGATGATTAAAGTCCTGAAGACTAAAACATATGAAGAACGGTTGCAAGATTTGGGTTTGGCTAGTCTAGGGGATAAAGAGGGGGGTCAAATTATTCTCCAAAGCACCAGAAGGCAGAACAAGAACCAATGAATGGAAACTAATCAAGAAGAGAAGTAACCTGAATTAAGGAGAAACTTCCTAACAGTGAGAACAATTAACCAGTGGAACAGCTTGCCTCCAGAAGTTCTGGGCGCTCCATCATTGGAGCGTTACTTGTCTGAAATGGTATAGGGTCTCCTGCTTGAGCAGGAGATTGGACTAGAAGACCTGTAAAGATTTCTTTCTTGCACAATCAAGAAAAAATAATAACAATAACCAAGCACCAAATTGACCACGGGACTAACAAAACGAAAGCTGGAGCAGTTTGAGATCCGGTAGCCAAAATAATTTATTTCTAGTGCAACCTCAATCCAGCTGAAATCTTGCAAAGCTGGACATGGCTAGTTGGAACTGGGTCAGAATACTAACTTTAAAAGTGCATCTCCATGTGCTTGCATGACGCCAGTCACATTCTTTTCCTTGAACTATCTCAACCACTTTTAAAAAATTACATAAGCCTTCCATATTTCAGATGTTATCCAGCAGAGGATAAATTCAATGCCAGGTCATAAATCACGGGGTAGTTTTGTTTTCTGACGCTGTTTAGAAAGAACAAAAGTATTTGCGTTGCATGGAGCACTAAACGAAGAACAGAGCTTGCAGGGTTTACATGCACTTTTGCGACTCACAAGCAAAGCAGCTCACATTTATTTGTGTTCCTCCTATTTTGAGAGAGAAAGAGAGAGAGAGAGAGAGAGAGAGGAGAGAGAGAGGAGAGAAGAAAGAGGAGGAGAGGAGAGAGAGAGAGAGACTGGCCCAAAGTCACAAGCCAGCTTTCATGGCTAAGGCAGGACTAGAACTCACCCCCCCCTCCTGCTTTCTAGGTGGATGTCTTAACCACTAAGATCGAACTGCCTCTCTCTATCTACATTAGTATACAATTCGGTTCCTTCTCTACAAATGGCATTAAAATTGTGTGTCTTGCAAAGCCAAGCCAGGACATATGTACGCAAAATGAAAAATAAAAATCCAGGGACGGAATATCATACAAGGTAGACCTTAACGTACGACCACAATGGAGCCCAGCATTTCTGGGGTGAAGCGAGGCATACATTAAGCGAGTTTTGCCCCATTTTATGACCTTTCTTGCCGCAGTTGTTAAGTGAACCCCCTACAGTTGTGAAGTTAGTAACACAGCTGGTAAATGAATCTGGCTTCCCAATGGACTTTGCTTTAAGGGTCGCAAAAGGGGATTGCAGGATCCCCCCCCCCAGGGACTCTGCAACTGTCAACAGTACATGCCAGTTGCCAAGTGTCAGAATTTTGATCACGTGACACTGGGGATGCTTGCAAAGGTCGCTAACAGTGAAAAACGGCAATAAGACAGTTTTTTTCAGTGCTGTCGTAACTTCGAACGGTCACTAAACAAACGATTGAAACGTCGAGGGCTACCTGTAGCATATAATTCTGTTCTCAGTGCGCAGGACCGTTTAGACACCAGTTCCCAGTCTCCAAAAATCTTACAAAGTATTAAGCAGGGGCCAGTCAGTTTTTTTTCCTCCCCCCCCCAAAAAAAAAGTCCAGTGCAATTTCATAAACTGATAAGAGGTCTCCTGCTTCTTTTTTCTTCTTTTTTCTTTTAACAAGGAGATCAAGCTGGATTGCATGTTTAGCTAAAAAAAACGTCACGGCCTCTTACCTTCGTGGCCTCGGATTCGGCCTTCTCGTCCTTGCCCTCCAAGACGAGACACAACAGAAACTCACGAAACGCTTCATCCGTCTTCCCCAGCAGACTCAGAGCATGTCCCTTTCGCACGTGGCCCTGAAAGACGGAGCAAAAGGAGCAACGCCCCCACCTTGGCCATCGGCGGCGAACGCAAAATGGGCCTGGCTGGCCGTGAAAAGTATTTCGAGGAGGTCCCAGCAGTCCTCGGCTTACAACGGCTCGCTCAGGGACCGTTCTAAGTTACAACGGCACTGGAAAAAAAAGCGACTTATGATGGTTGCAGCATCTCCAAAATTCAGACGCTTGGCAACTGACTCATGTTTATGATGGTCGCAGCGCCACAGGGGGTCAAGTGACCCCCTTTCGCGAGCTTCTGACAAGCAAAGTCAATGGGGAAAGCGGGTTCACTTCACAACCGGGTTACTAACTTAACAGCTGCAGGGATTCTCTTAAGCGAGAAACGTCGTAAAAGGGGGCAAAACTCATTTAACAACTGTCTCACTTAGCAACAGAAATTTGGGACTCAACTGGCCCTCTCTGTTGTGCTGGGCGCCGGCATCATTTCGTTCTCTGTTATTTTAGTGGGTTACGTCTACTTATTAGGCCTCCAAAGCAGCTGGCTGGAAAAGCAATTTTCTAAAAGGCTAAATTGATTCGAAGCATCAGGCTAAAAGGTTTGCTGGCCCTTGTTGCAGCTCCTCTGGGCCAGCAAACAAGCCTCTGGGCCACACCCCGGCATTGTGCGCTCATTAGGCTGGCATTACAGGTAGTCCTCAACTTACGACAATTTGTTTAGTGACCATTCAAACAGCCCTGAAAAAAAGCGACTTATGGCCGATCCTTACACTGAAGGACGGTTTGAGCATCCCCAGAGTTACGAGGTCAAAATTAGGGGGGGGAGAGAGAGAGGGGAGGGGGAACAATACGAGACAACTTTGTGGAGTTTAAACTCACCTTCACCCAATAAGGCTGGAGTTCGCAGGCCATTTTGGCATCTCGTAAGGCCTCCTCGTAACATTTCAAAGTGGAATTGATTTGCGACCGGTTGCGATACAGCAAATGATCAGAAGGAGCTGTAAACAGAGGAAACATCAACCTTAATAGCTTGATAGCCCTACGGCTCTTATTTGCTCAGGCTCAGAGCTATTTCTACATTTTGTTTGCTTCCAGGGAATATTTCCTTTTAAGATTTAAAATGAAAAAAAAAAAAAGTTTAAAATTAACCGCGGAGGGCTTGCTGGCTTTTTTCTCTCTTTCTCTCTCTCCACTCCACCCTGTGTTTCTCTTAGGGACTGCTGTTCTCAGCCATCCCATTTCTCTTATATAAGCACTCTGAGGGTTGCATAAATGTGTGAAATGCCAAAGTAAAACAGCACCATAACAATTCCGGAAGCCAAAAAGGGGGGGGGGGGAAGAGACAAGAGAGAGACAGACAGAAAAGGAAAGCAATATTGCAACTGCTACACCAGAGAAAGAGGGAGAGAAAACATCGTAAAACTCTTTGTGTGTATACACTTCAAAACCCCAAGAAGACACTGTCCGAATGTTTACACAGTCTGAATTTTGGGTCGCTTGCAAAGTGCCAGAGGAATTCAGGTTGGTGTTCCTGGAAAGTACCCCGTTTTAAAAACCAGACTTCCCCAAGTAGATGCCCTCCGGTTTTTACAACTTTCCTGCTACCACTAAAATCCAACTCAGCTGGAGGGGTCCTGGCTGAGGTTGGGAACCCAAGCGGCGGCGAAGGTTAGAACGTTTCCGCAAGGGTAGCCATTTTAGATTGCCGCAGGAAAGCCGAGTTGATGGTGGATGCTCTAGCCAGAAAGCTTTGGTCACAAGCGAGGAATCTCAGGACGGAAAGGGCAGTTTTAAAAGCTGCGCAGAGACCCCGACCCCCCCCCCCGAGTCAATTGGCCCTGTGGTTTCCATCGCGGATCAATTCCTGGCTGGCGAAGGTGGACTAAAAAGACAGCAATGCAGTTTTGACAGCTCCACGAACTCTCTTTTAAGGTACCGTAAGATTTGTGCCTGGGTGTTAAGTTTTTTTTTTTCTTGCAGGAGGATGGTCTCACTAGCCACGCTTCTGTACGAAATAGCTCACTCACTAAAGTCTGTGGGACGCCTCAGTTGCCATTTTGCAACACAGCTGGTCCCAAAAGTCGGTGATGCTTTATAGGAAGAATTTCCAAACGCCTGGAGGCAGAAACAGTATTGAAATGCCACAACCGGGCATCACCAAATTTAAAAACCCTCATTTGATCCATTCATCAATAGATAATAAAACTCAATAAAGGAGAGTATTTGCAGGTCAGGTTTGAAATTTGCCTTTTTTGAGCTTGGTTATTTTCTTTTGGGTAGATGCTTGGGTCTGCCCAAATCTGTCTGGAGTCAGTTTTCTTTGGAGTAGACATTTGGATAATAATAAAACATCTGCAAGAAAACCACCAAGCTTAGAGAGCATCCAGGACCCCTGATAATAAACCCAGATTGCAGGCAATTGAAAGAATGGGTGGGGGCATTTCTGTGCTCCTAAAAATTTGCCAATTGGAGAAGAAACAGCCAGAGACCTTGGGGGATGAGTCAACAATAGCTTTTAGGACACAGGGCAGAGTGACCTTCTGTTGATTTTTGAGGTCTCAAGGTTTTTCTCTTCTCTACTTCCCCCATCCCTAGTTATACAACTGTTAAGGAGGGGGGGAGAGAAAGAGAGGACACTCGGTCCAAGCTAGCTTATGCAACCAACTGTCCTCCTGACCTATTTTGGGTTCTGATTAAAAGAGAGCAGACTGCCATTCATCTCTGCAAAGAAACCCATTTCACAGATGTGGGGAATTAGCAACATCCTCCTCTCCTCCAAAGGTCAGTGCAAGCCTGAGAAACGAGCTACAATATGTGTTCTTCAGAAGAGGCTTTCCTACAAAGGTCCAGCCCCATAAATCTCGACAAAAACTTGGAAAAGCATCTCTTCCCCACATTTGGAAGCACAAGCCTGTCTGCATTCAGGTATTCGAAGCAGACCGTGATCCAGTTAACTGTTTTTCTGGCACCAAAGGAAGCTTTGGATGGCATATCCTGCATTTGTTCAAATCTTAGCCTCGAACAGAGGCTTCCTCAAAAACCTTGGCTAATTTGAACTATGGTTTACTTTATGTAAAGAACTGTCCGGAAAAATATAAGGTCTCCTGCTTGAGCAGGGGGTTGAATTAGGAGGCCTCCAAAGTCCCTTTCAACTCTGTTATTCTGTTAATATTATCCTTTTGGTTATGACCTTGCAGTACTGGGTCCAAGGCAGAAATACGTACAAGGAAGATATAAGTCAAAAGACATTTGAGGGATGCTTGTTAACCTCAATAAATAGCCACATAGATCAAAGCTGGGTAAACAGGAGGAAGGATTTGGGGAAGTGGGTTTTTGGAAAGACCAAGACCCTCAGGCCTTGATAGCTAATCAAACTTCTGGGTAGATACTAGTTGGTTTGTTGGCCTATTTTCTTGGGGACAAACACTGCGATCCATGCATAATAAATAACTTTCAGGCTTTACGCTTACTAGGAGTAGCAGAAATGATCAGCTTAGGAGAAAACTTCTCCAGAAGTTAATACCTTCACACTTTTACTGAGCTACTCACTTTGTTTCAACCATGCCTGTTGTGTGACCCAGCTTAACTATGTGATTTCCCGAGTCACACAAACTCAAAATGTTGGGCTAACAGAATAAGCCACAATCATGAGTGCCAATGCAGGCAAGAGTTGATACAGAGTAGAGTGGTTATTGGAAGGTAAAGTCACTTCCCTGCAGAATGCAGGAAGTATAAAGTCCTGGCAGTTAAAAAAAAACAAGGAAAGTCACAGAGCAAGCTAAAAGACACAAAATAACACACCACACTGAATCTGAAAGGAAGGAAGGAAAAAAGAAAAGGCAAGGAAAGAGGAGAAAGGGGAGACAGAGTGGAGTAACTTAATTGTGTGGAAGCTTGCCAACTTTTTTCCTTTTTTTTTTCTTCTTCCAGAAATTAGGGCAGGGATACCTTAGTTATGGGTCAGAGTGGCGTCAATCAAGAGACACAACAGACACAACGCTGCCCTCCCATCAGTTTTCTTAAAGTACACTTCCCTCCCCCCCCATTCTTAGAAAAATGAAAGTTTACAAAAGTTAACAAAACAGGAAGCAACAACCCATCACTGCTGGGAAAAACTGCTTGAACAAAGCAGGCGGATTCCACCATGTAAAAACTCCAAACAAAAACGGTTCAAAGCCCCAGCTGTTGCTGCTAGAAGCCCCCTTCCCCTGTTGAATTTCTGCCTGCCGGCAAAGGGCAAAAAAACCAGGGGCAGCTTTAAAAATTGCAGGCAGCCCTTTTTCTCCCAGGCGAGTCCAAACAACTTGCACCCAGAAGTTGCGAATGCTCCAACACTGGGAGTTTTCAATGGGAGATTGGACAACCTTTTGCCTGAACAGGGGGTCGGACTAGAAGACCTCCAAGGTCTCTCCGACTCCCTGTCTTCAAGGAGGAAAGTCGCCAGGTAAAGAACAGGGGAAACATTTACCCGGGTGTATTGAAGGTTTCCCCTCCTCCCACCCACCCAGGAACGCGTTTCCACCCGCCCCCAACTCTTTTTCTCCGCTTCGAGTCAACGCGCTCCCCTCCACTGCCGCTACCAGGCGCCTCGAGGGCGACACGCGTCACGTGTGAAAGCCCCTCTCCACGTCCCGCGTGGCGAGTAAAGAACACGGGACAAGTTTACTCTCGTGTATTGAAGGCTTCCCCCCCCACACACACACCTCCTCGGCTACTCAACCACTTAGGAGAGTATTTTTCCATCCGCTCCAAAAAGCTTCCCCCTCCTCTCTCAGGCGCCTCGATGGCGACCCGCGTCACGTGTGAACCCTTCTCCCCACCCGCTCGGCGTCCAGAACAGGGGACAAGTTTCCCCGGGTGTATTGAAGACCTCCCCACCCCCACCCCACTCGGCTAGTTCCCACAGGCTCCAAACGCTCTCCCCTGCCTTGCTCCTCGAGGGCGACCCGCGTCACGTGTGAACGCCCCTCTGCCCGCGCCCTGCCCCGTCCCGCGCGACTCCTCACCCAAGCGGAGGGCTCGGTCGTACTTCTCCAGCGCCGCCTGCAGCTGCCCCTCCTTGCAGAGCAGGTTCCCTTCCTGGCGGAGCCGCGCCGCCTGCACCTGCTCCGGGAAACCCTTGGCTAACAGGTGGCTCAGGATGACGTTGACCCGCAGCCGGGACTGCGCGCTCTCGCCGCCCGGGCAGAGGCTGCAGACGCCGCCGGACGCCGCCGGGGCTGCTTCTTCTTCTTCTCCGCCCCGCCGCTGCTGCTGCCGCCGCTGCCGCGCCGAGCCCCGCCGCCGCTCCACGCACTCCTTGCAGAAGGTGTGGCCGCACAGCAGCGAGACCGGCTCGCAGAGGAAGCCCCCGCACTGGCCGCAGCCCAGCGCGCCCCACGGGCCCTGCCCCGCCGCCCCCGAGCCCGCCGCCCCGGCCCCCAGGCGCCGCTTCAGCCGCTCCACCAGCTCGCGCAGCGCCGGGAAGCGCTGCAGCATCGCCGAGGACGGGCCAGGAGGGGCCGGCTCCGTCGCGCCGCCTCGCCCGGCCCGGCAACTCCGGCGGGGCGGCTGCACCCGGCGAGTGCGGAGCTGCGGGCGGCGCCCGTCGAGGTGCCTCCTGCGGCGGGTGGCCGTGGCCGTCGCCCCCGGTGCCGTTGCTGCTGCTACTGAACCGCGTCCCATCGCGCCGGCTGCTCTCACGCCCCCCTGGCGCCCACCCCGCCAGGACTCGGGTTATATAAAGCAGGGCGGGCGCTGATTGGCTCGCACGGCCTGGACGGCGCCGCTGATTGGACGGCGCCGGCGAGCTGGTTACAAAACCGGACACTTTGGTAGCGTTTTGTAACAGGCGTTTTGTTGCAAACGGGGCGGCGGCGCCTGGGAGTATTTATTTTGGGGGGTGGGTTTGCGAGGGGGTGTTGATGGTGCTGGGCAAGAGGAAGGGAGGGGACCCCTTCCTTGCCCCCCACATCTGGAATGGGGAGGGGTCTTGGAGAGCCCCCTGCCCGGTGGTATCCCTGGGTCGCGTGCCTTTAAAAACAAAAACAAAAACAAAAAAACCCAGACCTTGCTGGAGTTTCGGGGTGGGAGGTGGTCCTCAACTTACAACCGTTCGTTTAGTGACCGTTCAAGCTTACCACGGCCCTGGAAAAAAGGGACTCGGGACCGTTTCTCCACCCTCGCTCTGGCTGCAGCCTCCCCGTGGTCACCTTGACCAGAATTCAGTCTCTTGGCCGCTGTCTCACATTTATGACGGTCGCCATGTCCCTGAGGTCATGTGATCCTCTTTTGCAACCTGATGAGCAAAGCCGAGGGGGGAAGCTGGATTCGCTTTAACGACCGTCTTGCTAACTTAACGATGGCCGTGATTCCCTTAACAGTGGCGAGAAAAGTCGTAAAATGGGGCCGAACTCGCTTAACAAATGTTTCACTTAGCAACAGTCGAGGATTACCTGTACTAGCTTGGTTTTGCTGGCTGCGCAGGTGCTCCCATTACGAAACAGGAAAAATAGCCTGTTCAAATTGAAGCGTTTTTTTGTTCGTTTCCAATTGGGCGACTTGAAGATGTGGGGACTTCAACATCCAGAATTCCCCAGCCAGCAGAGGGCGCACCTGTTCCTGCCCTCATATCGGGAATTCTGGGAGTTGAAGTCCACCTTTATTTGAATCTCGCCTTTTGCTGGGCTTACAAATAACTCAAGGTGGTAAACATATCCAACACACCTGCCTCCTCTACGATGACAACCCTGTGAGGTGGGCCAGCCTGAAAGAGAGAGAGAGAGAGGGAGGGACTGGCTCAAAGTCACCCAGCTAGCTGCCATTCATGGCTACAGCAGACCTGAACTCACAGTCTCTTGCTAAGTTGGAAAACACTGCTGTAAATAAAATAGTCTTTATTTTGGGGCCCTTATCTCGAAGTCAAGACAACCGAAAATTGGGAGGATCTTGTAATCCTTTCTCACAACTAATAGGCTGTGGGAGCTGCAATTCCCTTCTTCAGTTGCCCCCCCCATTTGTCAATCAATTAGAGCGGCAGCTAAATAATCTTGTTTTGTCAACATGCACTTTGACATTGTGTATTTCTGCCCAGATGTGGGTCCCTGTCCACTGCCTATCACAAGAAAGGAAATCATTTGGAACAAAGAGCTCTTTAACCAAATGAAAAATAAATAAATAAGTGGTGTGCCAAGAACAGATTGATCGTCTCTGTCCTGCAGTTTGTGATGTTAAAACCCCCCCAAACTGCTAAAATCCGAGAAGGGAGGAGGGAAAATAATGAAAATCTTGGAACATCTGCTTTGCTTTAGACTAGATCAGTGGTTCTCAACCTTTTTAATGCCGCGACCCCAACCGGTCGTAAGTGGAGGACTACTCAACCGGTCGTAAGTCGAGGACTACTCAACTGGTGCAGCACCGTTTGCAGAATGGGACTTTTGGCGGGCTCAGCAGGGCAGAGACAGCCTGGACAATTCCTATTGGCTTTTGAAAGCCAATAGAATTAGACTCTATTCAAGAGAGTCTATTCTATTGGCTTTCAAAAGCCAATAGAATAAAAGGGAGTAGCACAGCTAAGGAAAAGGGGAAAAAATGGCGGACTGCGTTGTTTGGCGACCCCCGTGAAATGGTCGTTCGACCCCAAATGGGGTCCCGACCCACAGGTTGAGAACCACTGGACTACATGACCTCTGGGGCCGCTTCTAGTTCTAATTCCAAAGGGTCACGATTGTGATAGCCTAAGGAGGCTTTGGGGTGTGTCCTCTGAAGGCAGGAACGTTGTGGGTCATCACAACTCTGGATTCTTTCAGTGGCGATGTTGGCTGGGGTATTCTGGGGGTTGACGTCCACACATCTTAAAATGGCCACAGTTGGGAGAAATGCTTTATTAAGAGGACTTAGGCCAGGGGTAGGCAACCTCAGCTCTTTTATGACTCGTGGACTTCAACTCCCAGAATTCCTGAGCCAGCATGGCTCAGCTTGGAAACCTCTCCCTTTCCCCTCAGCATGGCTGGCTCAGGAATTCTGGGAGTTGAAGTCCACGAGTCATAAAAGAGCCAAGGTCGCCTACCCCTGCATTAGACCAAGCAAAAAGGAATGAATTGGCGACCACAGGACGAGCTTCTGGATCGCTTTTGAGCCTTGGTGGGAGGCTTGCAGACCCCATTTCCTGGCACATGCAGGTAGCAAACACACGGAAGTAGTGCAACATTTCCCATCACTATACAGGTGGGTCAACTCACAACCAAGCCCAAGACTTCTGTTGCTAAGTGAAACATTTGCTCAGTGAGTTTTGTCTCATTTTACGACCATCTCACCATGATTGTTAAGGGACTGTCTGCAGTCACCCCATTCCAGCCCACTCTCCTTCCTTACACAAGCAATTCAGGTGCCTGCGTTTTTAAAGGAGAACATCTGCCTGATGCTGTGGTTGCACGAGCATCAATTCTGCTTCATGGCAATTGGTGCCCCTCAAGTGGACTGCCTTGCCTGGCATCCTGCGGCATCTATCCTGTGGAACTCAGGACCTCAGGATGCGGCAATGACCAATAATCTGAAGGTTTGGAAAGAGGATTACTAGGAGTTAATCTATTAGTAGCTTCAAGGCAGGATTTTAGATTACCTACAGCAGCAGCAGGACGACGGTGCCATTTATTCATGGGCTGTAGGGAAAAAACTCAGCCTGTGGCCCTATTACAGTAGTCCTCAACTTATGACCACAACCCAGCCTCAAATTTTCACCGCTAAGCGAGAGTTCATTCTGCCCCATTTAACGACCTTTCTCGACACAGTTACTAAGTGAATCACTGCAGTGGTTAAGTTATAACTTGCTTGTTAAGTGGATCTGGCTTCCCCCCATTAAATTTGCTTGTCAGAAGGTCGCAAAAGGGGATCACATGACCCCGGGACACTGCGACCGTTGTAAATATGAGTCGGTTGCCCAAGCGCCTGGATTTTGTCCTAAGATCACGTGATCCCCTTTTGCGACCTTCTGATAAGCAAAGTCAATGAGGGAAGCCAGATTCACTTAACAACCAGGTTACTAATTTATCAACTGCATTGATTCGCTTAATAGGTAATAATACTAATAGAATTGGAAGGGACCTTGGAGGTCATCTAGTCCAAACCCCTGCTCAGGCAGGAAACTCTATACCATTTCAAACAAATGGCTGTCCAGTCTTAAAAACCTCCAGTGTTGGAGCATTCACCGCTTCTGGAGGCAGGTTGTTCCACTGGTTGTTTTCACTGTCAGGAAATTTCTTCTTAGTTCTAGGTTGCTAGCTGTGGCAGGAAAGGTCGTAAAATGGGGCAAAACTTACATATGTCTCAGTTAACAACAGAAATTTGGGGGTCAATGGTGGCCGAAAGTCAAGGAGTCCTTGGGGTGCTCTGAGCTTGTTTTCTTGCAGATGTTTCATTACTTAAATTAGGTAACGACATCAGTGACTAGCAAGGACCCCTCATTTCAACCCTGAGCTACAAAAATATTCTCCTTTATCGGTACTACCTGTAATCCTTCCTTCTATTTTCCTCATAACAACCCTGTGAGGTAGGCTGGGCTGAGAAAGAAAGAATGACTGCCCCCCAAATTACTCCGTTGGCTTTCGTGGCTAAGGCAGGATTTGAACTCATGGTCTCCCGGTTTCTAGCCTTATGCCTTAACAACTGGCTCCTCGCAATTTTGGAGGGTGGGGGGGCACTGAACTGAATTCTGTCATGGATTTTGCTGGGATTATTTTTTCCGTCTTCCAAAAAGACTAAAACCCGTTTCGGTGCCCGAAGATCAGACAGTTTGAAATACACCAGGAAAATGAATCATAGTTCATCTGAAAAGGCTCTTTGTTCATTAGGATAATTATTTTTAAAACATTTGGATGAATCATACATAAAAGGGGCTAAATAGGAATTATGCTGTTAACACTTATGTGGGGAATTCAAAGTTTTTTAAAAAAAGTTTTGTAAACAAGCTTTCTACAAGCAGTTTTTGACCCAGAAAACAACAAAAAAAAGTACAGCCAGCTTCTGTAAGGTTGTATAACCACACGTAATCACAAAAAGGTGTCCTTGTGTTTTCTGTGCCGCTGAGTGCAACTCTTCCTATGTTGAAAACCTTTTTTTTTTTTAAACGCTCAGTCCTGTATCTTCAAAATGCTTCTTTTCTCCAAGTCGTTCATTTCCTTTAAGATGAGAGCGATGTTGTACCTTAATTCTTGGAATTTGGCCACTGGGACCTGGCGTATAAAACGAAAGGAAAGAAAATACAATTCTTTACAAAAGCGGAATTGGTCTCTTTCTAACCCACATTTATTTAGCAATATAGGTAGTCCTTGACTTGGCCCTTTTATGACTTGTGGACTTGAAACCCAATTAACAACTCACAGCACTTCACAAATACAGAGATATCCAATTAAAGTGTCCATGGTTAAAAAATTAAAACACATTAGACCGACAACGACAAACGTTCCCTAAAATTCTTTTATCAAACAATTGCTTTTCTCTTTCCAAAGTCAAACTTTTCTACATCTAAAAACGTTTTTAAAAATACCTCATGAAACTACACATTATTTTTTTTAAAAAATTCCTTCTTCAAAACTACAGATAAGTCTATGAATCGGATTCTGAGATAAGTTAGAATCATACGCATAAAATACAGATTCTGGGGAGCATTTTGAGCTGAAAAATCTACGGGAAAATTCAAAGAAACGTCGTCAACACCAAGTTTAACTACCTTGCTAGCAAGACTTACTTC